GAACCATGACACAAGTGTATCGTATCGAAGCGAACCATGACACAAGTGTATCGTAACGAACCGAACTGCGACACAAGTGTATCGTATCGAAGCGAACCGTGACACAAGTGTATCGTATCGAACCGAACCATGACACAAGTGTATCGTATCGAAGCGAACCATGACACAAGTGTATCGTATCGAACCGAACCGCGACACAAATGTATCGTATCGAAGCGAACCGCGACACAAGTGTATCGTATCGAACCGAACCGCGACACAAGTGTATCGTATCGAACCGCGACACAGGTGTATCGTATCGAAGCAAACCGCAACACAAGTGTATCGTATCGAAGCGAACCGCAACACAAGTATATCGTATCGAAGCGAACCGCAACACAAGTGTATCGCATCGAACCAGGTGTTTGATTGGGAAGAATCAATTGATCACTCAGTTAATCGATGACTGGGTCTGTGTGTCCATCAGCCACGAGTCGCTCTCTCTGCAGCGGGAGCTGGGCGGTCTGTCCGAGCGTTATTCCCAGCAGTGTGTGGAGCTCAGCCGCGTCCAGAACAGCACCGAGGAGCGAGAGGGGGCGATCCAACAGAAGGAGAGAGAGATGGAGCAGCTCCGCCAGGAGAACCAGGTAGACCGGAAGTGGGATGAGAGGAATGAAGCCATTGGAAGATACACAATACAAACAATAGAAAATAAAATTTAAACTTCTAGCATCCCCAAATTTCAGATAAGCCAATTAAATAATGCATGATAAACACATGGATCTGAGACTTACTGGACCAAAAAACATATTCTTCCTGGGATGATTGCCCATACAAGGAAATCATAATTATGACATTATGATATTCATAATTGGACTTTTTACATTTCTGACAAACACAGGAAACTTTTTTTACTTCTGCTGTTTGTAACTGACGCTTTATGTATTTTATAAAATACGCTGAAAAAAATCCCACTGGTAATTAATTATGGTGACATTCAGGCGTGCTGATTTCATAAACACGCTCGTTTAGACATCACATTTCATCCTGTGACTCAATCCATCATGTCATATATTGAAATCTAACACAGAGCACCTTTAAATTTTCAACACACATCAGTTATTCAGAGGGACAGAGCGACTGATTTCAGTGTGTGTGATATGTCTCGACACACAGCATCCTGTTTCACTGTCGGTGTTATCGTCACCAAACAAACGGTCGCCTCGCTGTCAGTGTGTGAATGAGCAAGGCTTCTTGTGTGGTTTTTAGCTTGGATGTGTCAATCACATTTCCTCTTCCTGTACAAACAGGAACTGCAGGCGCGTCTGACGGAGGAGATAAGTCTCATGCGATCCTTCATCACTGGTCAAAGGTCAGGAGTTGTTCCCCTCGGCAGCTACGAAAGGAGCACCTCCGAATTAGAGGTGAGGCTCTGACCTTCGACTAGGTTATGTCTTCATGATAATTCAGAGAGAAGTATATTAGAATATTCTAATTAATGCAAATTAAATCAGCATGTAAAAATTCACTACTGTTCAAAAGTTTTGGGGTCATATTACAGTGATTCTGAAGGATCATGTGACACTGAAGACTGGAGTAATGATGCTGAAAATTCAGCTTTGATCACAGGAATAAATTACATTTTAATATATATTCACATAGAAAACACTCATTGTGAATTAGAAAATATTTTCACAATATTTCTGTTTTTACTGTATTTTTGAGCAAATAAATGCAGCCTTGATGAGCAGAAGCGACTCGTTCAGAAACATTAAAAAAATCTTACCGACCTCAAACTTTTGACCGTAGTGTAATGAAATAAGGAAGAGTAGATAAATTGATGTTTTTGTAAGAAATTTCCTGATATATCAAAAGTTACTAAAACTCAAAAGACTGTTGTAAGATGCTAAACACTATATTTGATACTGTACGCAAAGAATAATCAATAACAAACCAGTCAATTCACTACCCATCAAAAATATGCTAAAATAGATTAGGAAAACACACAAGAATTGACAATACTGTAATCCTCCATTTTGTGTCCAAAAATGATCCACTACATGATTAATCCACAAAAAATACTTCACAAATAAATCACAGATTGTAAGTGAAATTATATTTTTATATAATCCATTTAGAAGGAAACAAGTATTCAAGAGGTCTCTTTCCTCATGGCTGTCACCGTTGTTGACCCATTTTCCTCTTTCATATAACCCTGATTAAAAGTCCTCTGCACTTTCGGTGGTGTTTAGGAATCAGAAGAAATGTCTCCAAACATCACACCATCCAGTAGAAGAACATAGGCTTATTTTTAAGTTTGAGGGGTGAGATTGAAGGTGCCTTTAGGGTGTAATTATGATATCAACCAGCAGGGGCTAATTGACCATCCCAACGATCCCAACCATCAATCAATCAATCCTCGACTCCTTATTATACGTCACATTTTCTGGAAAAGCATTTAATAACCAGGGATTTCCACTCAACTTTGCATTACTGTGTTTCAGAACATATAATGCATAAAAAATGGAAAAAGAGTGTGTAGTTTGGCTTGTATTGGAGTGTAGAGACACGTGAGGTGGATGGCGTCATCAGGGGCGGGGCATGTGATGTGCGTGATCTGTGGGCAAACGCTGCCATCTATTGATCATACGGCTAAATAAACCTTTGTTATTTAGCAGATCCATGGTTTTCCGTTCTAAATCCTTATAAGTGTTTGTGGTTTATAAATTATTAATGATAAAACTAGTTTGGGCGTTGTTGACAAATAATATTAACAATTGAAAGAATATATTCTAGGTGCTGTGACTGGTCCTTGTTTCCTTTTTTTTTTTTTGCTCTAATAGTGTGATAAAAAATTTTCAGGAACAAAATGAAATTTTTGGATTAATATGAAGTAAAAAAAACAAATAAATATTTGTATCAGAAATGGAGAAATGGTTTAGTATAGTCATTCTGTCGTGTCCATCTGTAGATGTTGCTGAAAGTGAAGGAAAGTGAGGTGGATTATCTTCACAAGGAGATCAGCTGTCTCAGGAAAGAGGTCCAAACTCTAACTAAGGTACACATTCAGCATTAAATCAAAATATTATCCATTATTCATGCTTATTACGGAGAAAATAACTTTTATATTGTTGTATTCGGCCATGAATAATTGATTGTTGATTGTAATGTTGTTGTGTGTGGGTGCAGGAGAATGAAGCGCTGAGCGAGCGCTATAAGGAGGTGTATGTGGAGCTGACTGAGTTAAGGGGCCGCAGTGAGAGAGACATCAATGCACTTAAAGAACACCTCAAACTCACTGATGCTGCGCTGGAGGAGGGGCGTCTCCTCGGCAACAGCAGAACCGGCCAATGAGAACACACCACGAGATCAGACGTTAACTCATCGGATTCGCTCATGTGTATACAGGATATTGTGTTATGTAGAGGTCTTTTCTTGGTTAACTTAAAAATCATATTCTTTAGAAATGACTAATGGTGCTAAAAATTCAGAAATATTACATATTCTTAAAGCAAGATGTATTTTAAGTTAAACACAATAAAAATGCCTCTGTTGGACTTTCTAAGTGTGTGAAAATGTATTAATATTAATGTAGTCCAATCAAACACGCACTCACTCACTCACATTTATAACAAAAACACAACGAGCAACTTAACATTCAATCAATTTATTAAATAGAAGAGAGGCTATTGATGAGGGCAGCCTCAAATCATATTGTCCTAGACAATGTTTTAAAAGCTAAAAATAGCATTAAACGTTGGCTTCTAGACATGTTTAGTGTAATGTGGGAATCTGAACACTAGAGTGTGTTGAAAATCTTTATTATTGCATAAATATATATTCTGTTGATCTGCATCTGGCACCTCTTGGAAGATCTGCAGACCGCTGGAGTGAAGCCTGCACAAGAACATAAACATCTGCAACCACATACACACAATATAATAGTAATACATAAGTTACACATTATAATGGTATAAGTCTACCTTTGCTCAATCGTCATCATCATCATCATCTGGGACGAAGATCTCATGTTCCTCCAGAAGAGCAGCGAAATTTTTACTGATCAGATTACCAACATAAAGGAACGGAATCACCACTATAAACATGCGGGTCAGACCGAACGGGACCTGGGGAAATATTATAGAAATAGATCAAAAATTATACCTAAATTAATAATGTGTTCATATTGAAACCTTCACAAAGAATCATTTGGCGTTTTAAATATAAATTTAAAAACATATTTATATTTTGTATACGGTACACTGAAAACACAGTCGATAAACTGACATATAAATAATTGATTTTTAGAAACAGCCGTCACGTCACGAAATACACTTCCTCTTTTGATAAAATATGTGCCGCTCCAGCAATATGATTGGCCATCAGTCATGTCAATCAAGACGTTCTTATTTTTCATTGGCTACAAGAAGCCCTACCCTGGTTCCAACGTATCCTTGGGAGCCTCTAACTGAAATGCACATGTATAAACTCACCTTAACTGGTTTAGGAAGGACTCTCCCCGTTGTGGATGTCACGGCGTTTCGGCTGAGAGTCAGTCCTGTCACATTCACTGATTTTGGACCAGTGTTGCGGCTCAGTGTTGCTGTATTTCTAAAGACAACTGCTCGAGAGAGACGAGCCACCAAAGACGCCATGTTTCCTGTTTGTGCGCTTCAGAGGAACGCCGAGTGGACCCGCCTCCTTTGGAATTTGTATTTATTATTAGAGGGAGGAGTGAAAATGCGCCATAGTGTTAACCCAGCAAAAAAATTGACAGAATTGATGTCAATAATGTCAATAAAGATTAAATGACAACGACGCTATTCATTTTAATGACTAAATGGGAAATTGTTTCACAGAGACACGCCCGTCAGTACAAGGTCCTCCTTGGCCTTGATCAAGCTCGACATGATAAAGCACGATAATATGACAGATATTTATAAAATATTTATGTTAATTATTAAAGTGTACTTGAAAGTGATCATGTAAAATAAAAATTAGAATATGAACATTTTAATTAACTGCAGTATAAATCGATTGTGATAATGTTGACTTGAATGCATATGCCAAACTAACGTTGTTGATTGGTTGAAACATTTTCAGACCCAGAACGTGGGAAGTAACCCGCCCTCATTTCCTTGATTGACGGCTTTTGTGACCAATCAAAGCTCTGATTTGAGAAGGCAGAGCCAATCGGCGAGCTGCTCGGGCTGGACTGATGGCAAATCCAAAGAACTGGCAAAAATCAAAAATGGCGCCCAGCTCGAAATCTGAGAAAGATGACAACAAACAAAAACACCAGAGAAAACATAAAGATCACATCATCAAACTCCTCACTCGAGGGCGGGTAGGTAGAAAGAGGGACGTTGGCCCAAATGTCGCATTTGTTGCGTGAAATGTTTCAACAGCATAACGTAGATAATAAAGTGTATGTTATTAGCATGTTTAGCTGTAGCCTCATTAAACGCCTTTATTATGTGTCTATCAGAGTTCATTATTTGTGTATGTGAAGCTATTAAAGGCCAATCTTCAAAAAAGCGAAAATATTCCTTTGCAGCAGTACATGGGTCTTTAGGGCAGTTACAACAACAAACAATAGTCCTGTTTATATGAATCTGTCATGATTGAGATGTCCATCAATTATAATAACATAATTATCTTATTTATTGGTTTGCACTGACATCTATCAGTAACATTCAAATAACAGCATCTGTCCTGAACCCCATCTCATTTAATGAAAAATGTCATTTTTAACATACACGAATGGTAGCAATGCCTCAGCCAGGTTGAGTTCAGTGCAAAGATGATTTCAATAGGTTATCATAACTATCAAGGTCTTGATATTTAGCAATTGATTAAGGAGATTTGTCAGTCTAAAAGGGTTTGGCTCACGTGTCTCTGTAACTGAATTAAAGTCTCTGTCTGTCTGTCTTTTAGCTGAATGGGCAGCTCTCGCAGCGGCTTTTCCGAAAACTCCCTCCTCGCGTCTGTGTCCCGCTGAAGACCATCGTCAGTGAGGAGTTCCTCAGAGCAGGGTGAGGAGAACGTGCGATCTGTGTCGGAGCAATGTGAATGCTGTGTCTGATTCATCTCTCTGCTATCACAGGCACATCTTCCTGGGCTTCACCAAATGCGGGCGGTACGTGCTGTCCTACACCAGTGACTGTGGAGAGGACGATGACTTCTCCTTCTACACGTATCACCTGTACTGGTGGGAGTTTAACCTGCACAGCCGCCTCAAACAGGTCTGTCAGAGCTTCGGATCCTGATTTAAGGTCACCATGAAATCGAAATTGACTATCATAGTACTCATTATAAATTGTAATCTTTAATCAAAATAACTTACTTGACATGTTTACTCAAATGAGAAACATAATAAAATCAAGTCCCACCCTACTTTTGTTCTTAAGCCAGAAAAACTGTGAAACAAACATATATATAAGGCTGAAATCCCCTCTAAAACATTAAAGAATACATTTTATTTAAGATAGTACATTCATTTTTTTGTCTGTTTTGACTGGAGAGGATCATAAGTGTGACCTCTAAGTGAGGGTTCAACTATTTGAACAGTCTGTAGTTGTGGCTTCTTCACATCTAGAGCGACGTGACAGGTCAGTTTCTTTCTCTGCAGGTGCATCATGTGCGTTTGTTTGCGGGCGAGGACATCTACACCGATCTCTATCTGACCGTCTGCGAGTGGCACAACGATCATTCCAAGCTGGTCGTCTTCGGCTTCAAGTAAGAGTCTGTCTTCCTCCTCTGCGCTGGGTCGGTGGCAGGGTTGCTTTAGTAAGAATTTAGTTAAGATAAATCTAAAGCCATAAAAAATGTTTGTTTCTTGAAATAAAACAATCATTAACTGAATTAAAATATAAAAAAATATATATAATTCAGGTTTTGTTCTTTTTTTTAGCTTGGGTGTATGTAAACCTGTTGTAGGAGACTCAAAATAGCACAATAGTGGCGCTTGAACTAAAAATTCAAAATGAAATGTCGTATGGATGATGTAAACTTGTGTTTTCTGTGATCTGTCAGCACACGCAGCTCCAGTTCAGCCCTGATGAACATGATGATGAGTGATGAGAACAACAGAGACATCTACATCACCATCACCTCAATGCCTCCTGCAGAGCCGTGCAAACAGTGCTGTCCCACGACCACCGTGTCCACCATACGCACAGGTACACACACACACACACGCTTTATTACTGAACGCTCATTAGGGATTGAAACGGAGCGGCTGAACAACTCTCTCCGGTCTCGGCTCAGGGGGCGAGTGTCTGCAGCACGGGTACGTTCTGAACGCTCGCTATCAAGTGGTTTATCCGTTCCCGACCTTCCAGCCGGCGCTGCAGCTGAAGAAGGACCAGGTGATCCTGCTCAACACCAGCTACTCTCTGGTGGCCTGCGCCATCTCCCTCTGCCCAGGTACACACACACACACACAGCGCACTGCTTTGTTGATGTTTGTGTGCTCTCTCAGGTGTCAGCTCTTAATCAGGAAGTTCATGATTGTCAAATTCCTCCATCAGATATCAGGCCGATTATTAACCGATATATTTTAAATGAGTGGCAAAAAGAGTGGAATATGTGCAAGAATAATAAGTTGAATGAAACTCATCCGGAAATAACAAACAGACTTTGTACCAATTTTAAATCTAGAGTTGACCAAGTGGTCTACACCAGATGACGTATGGGTCATACAAGTTTGACCCATGCTTTTTTGCTTAAAGGTGAAGACCCAACTTTATGTATGTTTTGTAAAATTCCCTTATCTGTCAAACATGTTTTATTAGATTGTCCTGGACTTAACTTACTTCTTTGAAGGACATATTTAATGAGATTATGCCTGAAAAGGTTCTGGATTTTTTATAATTGAAAAAAAAATATTGTATAATATGAGTTCTTGTTTATATTTGTTTTGTTTTTGTTGTATTTATATGATATTTGTATTTTTGTAAATGAATTTTTTGCCATGAAAATAGACTCCTGACATGGCATGAAATAAAATAATCTGAATCTCTCAGGTGTCAGGAGGATGTGTGATTCGTTTAAGAAATTGTTCAATTTCAATTAAATGGATAAAGGAAGTAGTTTACTTCAAACTGATATTAACTCATGCATTTACTTTTTCATTTAAAGACTCACAAAGTGTCATTTGTAAGAATAAAAAAATACAAAAAAAATTATTGCATATTTATATTTAATATTTTTATATAGCTTATTTATTTATTCATGTATTTGACTAAATTATTTCAAATGTAAATTATGTTATTTAATACTATTTTTAATTAATTTGTGTGCTCTACAGTTCAGACGGGGACTTGAAATTAAAAATGAAATGAATACTTTTATTCTGTAAGAATGCATTAAATGAATGAGACGAAAGATAATAAATGCTGTTGTTTAATCTCTCTCTCTAGGAGACGGGCAGCAGAATTGTCAAAACAACCAGATTCTGTACCGAAAGAGAGAAACGTCCTCCTCCTCTCCTCCTCCTCCTGCTGGACCTTCCTCACCATCCTCATCCTCATCGACCTCATCTGAGGGGTCACCTGACCTCAGCCAGTTAAAGCCCCATTTCATCCCGCTCTCTCCCGGCCAATCACAGGCTGCCGTGCGGGCCAGGGAGTTTGCCGCTGACATCTTCCGCCGAGCTCAGGCCGGAACGAGGGAACACGACAGGTGCAAAGCCAAAGAGAAAGAAGAGAGAGAACCCCAGCGATCCCACGGCGAGGAAGAGCGAACGAGGGAGAGACGTGAACGAGACGCTGAGGTCCCGGGACCCTCGTCTTCCTCCTCTGTGGGGAACCAAAGCTCAGTGCTGCCCGCAGAGGAAAGCGCTGTGTGTCGCACTGTCATGTCTCCGGGATCCGTCTCCTCTCTGTCTCCACACGCTCATGAACCTTCATCCTCCTCTTCCTCCTCCTCAGAACCTGCTTACGTCAACTACTCCACTCTCAGATACAGACTCCCACAGGCCCGAGCGGCGGAGCAGCCCAGTGGTACTACAATTACTAACATCTAATCTATCTATCTATCTATCTATCCATCCATCTATCTATCTGTCCTATCTATCTATCTATCTATCTGTCCGTCCGTCCGTCCGTCCGTCCGTCCGTCCGTCCGTCCGTCCATCCATCCATCCATCTATCTATCTATCTATCTATCTATCTATCTATCTATCTATCTATCTATCTATCTATCTATCTATCTGTCCTATCTATCTATCTATCTATCCATCCATCTATCTATCTGTCCTATCTATCTATCTATCTATCTGTCCGTCCGTCCGTCCGTCCGTCCGTCCGTCCGTCCGTCCGTCCGTCCGTCCGTCCGTCTATCTATCTATCTATCTATCTATCTATCTATCTATCTATCTATCTATCTATCTATCTATCTATCTGTCTGTCTGTCTGTCTGTCTGTCTGTCTATCTATCTGTCTATCTGTCTGTCTGTCTGTCTGTCTGTCTGTCTGTCTGTCTGTCTGTCTGTCTATCTATCTGTCTATCTATATATCTATCTATCTATCTATCTATCTGTCTGTCTGTCTTTCTATCGTTCATTCGCTCTATCGTTCATTTTATCTATCGTATCTTTCTAACTAATCTTTCTTTCTAACTAATATTTTTTTTTCTAACTAATCTTTCTTTCTTTCTAACTGTTCTTTCAGTCTGTATGTTTTCTACTCTCTAAAACGAATCGTTCGTTTGTGAATCAGTCTACAGTGGTAGTAGTACTGTATTTAATTTTGATTCACTTGAAGTAATTTATTCATAAACCAGGCTTCACCAGTTGTGCCTTATGATTTTGATTCTGATTCACTAAAAAGAACCATATTATAAGAGTCATTTGTGTGTCTCACACTTTCTTTTCTTTTTTGGGGGGATTTACTAAAAAAAGAAATAATTCAGATGAGTCATTTGTTTGTGAATCAAACTACACCGGTTGCACTGTATGCCTGTGATTCACTTAATGGACAACCGAGTCACAAGAGTCGTCCTGAATCAGTCGACTCTGCCAGTGCTGTGTGTTTTTGATTCACTTAATAGAACTGGTTCATAAGAGATGTGATCATTCGTCAATGCATCTGACTAGTATAAAGTGTGTAGAAATTTTCTCATTTCTTTTTTCCTGAACCTTTATATAATCTGTTGTCTGTGTGTGTGTGTTGTCTCCAGGAGAGGAGGATGATAAAGTGCAGCTCCCGTTCACTGTGACGGACCTGAAGGGGCGAAACTTACAGCTGGTGACGGGACAGTACAGCGGTCAGGTGTGTGTGTGTGTGTGAGACGTTATCATGAGACTGCACATGCCCAACTCTGCAGGATGTTGTGTGTGAACTCTCGTGTGTGTCTCTCAGTGTGTGTGTATCGAGCAGCTGACGCTGGATTTCGAGTACCTCATCAACGAGGTCATCAGGAATGATGCGGTCTGGGGCTCGCAGTTCTGCTCCTTCAGCGACTATGACGTCGTCATCCTCGAGGTGCCGTGATTTCTGCTGTTTTGTGTTTCAGTCTTCACTTGAGTTGTTCATGAGCACCATTTATTCATATCACACATTTAAGCTAACGAATATTTCAACGATCAACACAAATAGTTTCACGATTAAAGGTTGAATTGAGCATTTTTTTGGTTCGGTTCTGATGGCTTGGCACATTGGAGTGTTTTTTGTTACTTAGAGGTTAAAGGTACAATATGTAGGATGTGTTGTAGTAAAATATCCAAAAACCACTAGGCCAATCTTATATATATTCATATTGTTTAGTTGATTACTTACAATATCCCCAATGTTTCCAACTATTTGCGAGAAAATTGCGATTTTAACCGAGGAAACCGCACTTGTGTGTAGTTCGCTAGAATGAAATGTCCTTATTCCTTTATATCCGGGGGACTCGCGTTGCATGTGGCGATGTTATACGTCTCTCATTAGCACTCGCGCCCTGCTTCACCACAGTCATGTTAAAAACATCAATGTATTCGATCATCAATCAAGATCCATAATTCCGCTTCATGCTTTGTGTCATCGATATACGCCTTTGTTATTGTAAGAGGTTAGCGACCCCTGGTGGCCAAAAATCCTGCATATAGTACCTTTAAGGAAAAAAAAGACTATTTATAATGAAAATTCTTCCTTTTTATTTATTTAAAAAGTGTAAATATGTATTGTGTGAATATATATATATAAATTAACCCTGGCGGCTCATATGGTTGCGAAAGCTCACATCTCAAATCAGTGTTCCTGTGGACAGAATGAGTGTAGTTGTACCGGCGGAACCCAGCTGTCACTCTAGCATGTGTTCTGTTGTTGCTATGGTGACAGGTTTGCCCGGAGACCAACAAAGTGGTGATCAACATCGGGCTGCTGCTACTGGCCTTCTCTAATTGTGAGGATGAGCACTGCAGGTACACACACATACACTCACACATACTCTCTTTCTCTCTCACACTTACACACACACACACACAAATGAAATGCTCATTAACACTTTCTGCTCTGTCTTTGTTTGTAGACCAAAGTCGTATCACTCCAGTCTGCAGGTCAGTTGGGACTTAAACACGGGAGCCTGTCGCACAGTCGGCGTGGGCGACCTCACTGAGGTCAAAGGTCAGACCAGGTAACGCCCTTCAGATGCTCTCCCAGAGTAGACAGATTTGTGTGTGTGTGTGTGTGTGTGTTGGCCCATTCACTCAGATTCTCTCGTGTGCTTGTGTCTCAGCGGGAGTGTGTGGAGCTCCTACAGGAAGTCGTGTGTGAACACCGTGATGCGGTGGCTCGTCCCCGAGAGCAGCTCGCGCTACATCAACCGCATGACCAACGAGGCCATGCATAAAGGTGTGCTGTACACACACACACACACACTTGCATCAATACACAAAAGTTTGGACATAATTTTAAAACTGTAATGTTGTGAAATATTAATACCATTTAAAACGGCTGTTTTCTGTGTGAATATCTGTTAAAATTCGTCGAGACAAACTTTAAGTTGGCTTGTGAAAGTTTGGACCAGAAAGTTTGAAGTTTAAAGTAAAAAAAAAAAAAAAAAAAAAAAAAGGGTGGTTGGGTGCTAGGGTGTTCTGGGTGGTTGCTATGGTGTTGCTAAGGTGTTCTAATGTATTTTGGGTGGTTGTTAGGGTGTTGTAAGGTATTTTAGGTGGTTGCTAGGGTATTTTGAGTGGTTGCTTGAGTTTTCTGGGAGGTTGCTATGGTGAACTATTTATGAGTTTTAAAGTTAATAAGTATGAATTCATGAGAGTTCATGAATTCATGAGTTTATATGTTTATAGTTATAGTTTAGAATTGATTTTGAAAACATAAATAATTAATAAACATAATTTAAAAAAAACTGTAATATTGTGAAATATTAATACCCTTTAAAACGGCTGTTTTCTGTGTGAATATGTTAAAATTATGATTATCATCTATGTTGTAAACAATATGGGTTGAAACCTTATTTTATATGCATTGAAACATATTTTACAGGATTCTTTGAGTGGAAAAATCTAAAGAACAGCATTTATTTAATATACTAATTATTTGTTACAGTATATAAACTTTACTGTCACATTTGATTAATTTAATGCATCTTTGCTGAAGTATTATGAATTAATTTTTCTTTCTTTAAAAAAAAAATCATACTGACTCCAAACTTTTGAACAGTAGCATATATATTTGTATTTTTATATTTACAGATTTATATTTTCTTTTCTGGTATTTTAACTTTAAAAATGGAAGCCACATGTTTTTTCCTTCAAGAAAAAATAATAAAAAGCTAATGATGAATAAATTGTCGCATCGTGAGACATAGTAAAGGGAGGTGAGTTACGTATTTAAAATGCATTTGATTATTTAAAATAATTTATTCACTTTTAAATTATATTTTTGCCTTTTATTTTATTAACTTTATTTAATAACTAATAAATTAACTTATTTACTTGACTTCAATTAAATAATACTACTTTATTTGTTACTTCTAAAAGCAGTTCGTTTCCGCCACAGAAAAAAAAAATGGAATTGAAAAATTGAAATTGACTTTTTACCTCAGAATTACGTGATGTAAACATGCAATTGCGAGTTATAAAATCAGAATTGTGAGATATAAACTTTTAAATTGTTTTATTCTCTGGCGGAATCAAGCTTCCATAAACAATACACGTGTTACTTGTAACATGTTACCCACAATCCTTTGTGTGATGTTGTTTTTGCAGGTTCTTCTCTCCAGGTGTTGGCTGATAATGACAGAAGCACGTGGATCGTCCTGTGAGACACACACACACACGTGCTGCTCTACAGTCCAAACGCACTCGCTCTCCGTGTCTCCGTCATGTGGGAGTGCATTATTCAGGGACCGGCAGATAAATACTCGTTTTGGCCAAACCGATCCCGGCTGTGTGTCCCGACACTCTGGGATCTCCACATCAGACCTGTGACTTTACGAAACACGCCATTCAGATGCAAAACACTGCTGAAGAACTGAAGTCTGCCCACACACACACTTGTTTTGATGTTGTTTGGAAAGTGCATCAGGACGGTTTGGTGGGCGGATAGAGACAGCAGGGAAGAGACGCTGCTTTGTTGTTATTTTTGTTTTGTTTGTTTCAGGACACAGTTGTTTACACCATTTAGGCATCAGCCAATCAGAAGCCGTCGACGACGACAGTGGTCGTGGCCTCACAGCTGGACTGGATGAGAATATTGTTTTTACGCAACATTGTTTTACTTTATTTTTGATAAAATTAAATATTCCTTGAATAGTTCATGGGGTTTTATGACTCTCATTGCATCAGCAGTGCTGATTTATATATGGTTATAATATTTATCACCTTTTCAGATTTCAAGATTGTTTATAATGTCCATTTTAGTCATTTGCATTAGTTTCTTTAATATTTCTATGTCTGTTTTTAGTCATTTCAGAACGTACCTTTTCAGTTGGTTGCTCCTATCTAATATTTCAGCTTTATTTCAATTACTGAAAAAATAGTTTTAGGCAACAAGTATTTGTCTTCCGAATGCAAGAATTTTCTTAAAAGCTTTTTTTTAAAGGGACACTGAACTTTGAGGCACAATAATACAGATTTTTACATCAATTTCTGCTACAGTTACACTTCAAATAAGGCCATTATGGTTTCAACAGTACATGATAATAAAACTATATCATACATTAGCATAATCAAACACTGGAATCATTTTCATACGACTAAATCCATACAATTTGCATATAGTACAATTGAAGAAACACTGATATATATGTAGTATATATATTCAAAAACAATATAAACCTGTGCATACATAATCATAAAGCATATCTATAGCGTTTAACCATCATTAAAACTGCTGCCAAATCATTAAAGTCCCTGTAAAGTCAAAATTAAGTATGTGTTCTGTCACACCACAGAAAAATGTGTAATTAGCCACCCAGCCAAATTTGAATGATAAAAAAAATCGTGAAGTACATAAAATAAGCTATCAAAATCATGAAAAAATGAGCAGATTCTCTGCTCTCAAACGCTGGGGGCGTGTCCATTGGCTGTGCTGAAACCACGCCCACTCACGGGAAAGCTGTTGACGGTGATATTAGCTGATTAGCTTTTGGAGACGGGAGGATGAAAGCTGAGGCGGGAGATCGTCGTTTCGGCCCCGTTCACCAGTAACAGCGGACTATCACTGAATCCTCTTCATCAAGGTAACGTTAGGCTCTCTAAAAACCTCTTCTTGATGTGATCGTTTTTAAGGGAATTTAAATGAAGATACCGATCTGTTTTGTACATGATCGCATCCAGGTAGCAGCCCATGCATGTCCGTGTCGAAGGCATAGCTAGCTAGAAAACTGTAGGCTCAGCTGTAGTAACTAATAGTACTGACAGACACTCGCGATTGAGCGGTGAATGCGAATGTGCTCGGGGAGTGTGTGTGTGGAGAGGGGGAGATCAGACTCCGCGTCATCAAGTAGGAGGGTGTCCAGCAGCTCATGGGTTCCAGTGCGTCATCGAGCCCTGTTTTAGCCCCGCCCAATTAATCCGTAAAATTGCAATGGTGAAAAACTGTTTAACGGTCTAACTCCACATTTCAGTACTTCACAGTTCAGACTTTGTAATATGTTTTAGCAATACATATGCAACATTTATAATGTGTTTAGAACTTTTTTGTAGAATTGACTTTACAGGGACTTTAAATTTGACTTTGAACATCGTCCACACCACAACTATGACGATATCGCCGCTTTCAAAATGACACTGACAGCCAATCAGAATCGATCCTGCTTTAACGAGCTCGAGCATTTAAAGCGACAGACGACAAAACTGCAGCGCGCGCTTATAATAAACAGAACATGTCGTCCGTTAGTGTGTATGCTAATATCGTTATAGAGCATCACAGTCCCGCCCACAGCCCGAGAGAGCGCTGCTGCCGGAAGTAAATTTCCCATTCATTTCTCCCATTGACATTTTGTAAAATCCATATGTAAAGAGTATTAGAGCATGTCTGAGGATAACCAGCTACGGCTGAACTCATAAGCATACAACACATCATTTCGAGTGAAAAAAACGAAGAGAAAATCCCAAAAAAGTCGAGGGTACAAGCCTGTGTACATATTTTCATTTCCGAGCAAAGGACCCAGATAGCAAACTGACATTGAATCAACATGGAAACATGACATCGAAACAACGTTGATCGGACATTGTTTTGCTCACCGAATTGACGTTGAACCAACGTCAGACGCGTCATTCTTTCGAAACTAACGGAAAATCAACTTGAAATCAACGCGTTGTTTCAACGTTATGAAAGCAAACCAATTTTCGATTTTCATTTAGCTTTGAAGAATGCCGCGTCTGACGTTGGTTCAACGTTAATTCGATGAGCAAATCAACGTTGTTTCAATGTCATGAGAGACGTCGTTTCCACGTTGATTCAATGTCAGTTTGCTGTCTGGGGAACTCCTCCTCCCATAAATCACCGCGCCTCACTGAAGACGTCTGAAAGCCACCCTGAAAGAGCCTTTGTGAGCGACTTCCAAATCTGACGACGGGCACGTGGACTTTCCTCCAGTGAATTTTATATAGTGAATGTGCAGGGAAACTCCTTTTCCTCAATTTACTCAAGCATTTGCAGCTCGACATGCAAAAACATTGAGTATCTGGCTCGCTCATTAGCTAAGCTGTGGCAACTGCACATCCAATGGCGCGCGGGCGTCTCAGAAGTGCGACCAATGATCTTAGCCCTACGTCATCACGCGATCTTCAGTCTTCACGTACCTTCGCGGGGTTTCAGACACGTGACACGACTTCCACCAATCAGATGCATCACTGTTGGATTGTGGGATTGTTCTGGATTGTGGGTAATGAAGTACTTATCCAATACATCGCGAATAAAAGGCATTTATCTTAAAACCGTGAACTTTTGGCGTTTATATGGGCACATACAATCGCTTAGTACAGCCGTAGCTGGTTTTAAGTCTACCATTTATGGTTACGTTTTTATGGCTTATATCTCAAATGTCAATGGAGAAATTGTATTGAATTTTTTCTTCCGGCACCGGCTGTGGGCGGGACTGTGATGCTCTATAGGTGTGTGAACGTGCCTTAATTAGTGCGTGACCGAAGCGTCCAATCACTAAACAGCTTTGCTAATAAACGTGTCCATTGTGTTTGTGAATGAATCAGAAATGAATGATTGAGTGTGACATGAAGAACACTGACAGATGAAATGAATCTCATTATGAACACATGATTCTTTTAATTCATTGTAGTGGTCAATGATTAAACAGACATTGAGCCTCATTCATGAAACTTGTGAGGGAAATGTACATTTCTGCATTGAACTGAACATGATAGTTATGCGAAAACTGTTGACACAACTAATTCTCCTCATGTTTAATGAACGAGGCCTGAAAATGTAAAGCATCCTCATCATGATTGTTTTTCTACATTTATTAATACGTTTATGGATCTCAGGATTGAATAATCCTCTCAAGGCACATTTTGATCCATTAGCATCGGACAATCCGACCAAATCAAAAAGCATCGAAATTAGACGTCCGATTAAAGCATAACAGCTGTATATATTTTCATTAATATTTAAAAAAAAAAAAAAGAAGAAAATTCAAAAGCATGGAAGGACGTGAAATGCAAAATCTCTTCAGTGACTACACTCATGAATATTAATGAGGAACGGGTCAAGGTAAGGTATGATTGGCTTTGGCAAAGGATGATTTCAATGGCAGCATGGAGTATCAGAACCAAACTCTTAAAGGGACAGTTCACACAGAAATGACGTCGTTTACTCTCTCGTTCCGAACCGTATGTCTCTTTCTCACACTTTAGCGAGACTTTAATTGAATACTTACATTTTTGGATGAACTGTTTCTTTAAGAGTAAAGACACATGGCAGCTTTGATTGAGAAAATGAAGGCAATGAAAAATGTGTGTGTGAGCGCTTAATTAAGGCATGTGGATGTTACCGTTCATTTAGCAGCTCTGGGGTCTGATGCACCATAGGAAAGTCACATGATCACTTTCTCATTGTGAACTTCCTCAAACAATTCAGCAAGACTGACTGTGAAAGCATTGACTGTATAACAGATGAACGCGTGTGTTAGTTCTGCGTGGTGTTGTTGAACAGCTCTGTTCTGGCCAGTTTTGTGGGCGGCTCCAGTGACTCCTCCCCCAGAACCAAGGAGTTTTCCGGAACGGCCATGTCCTGATCCTCATCGGTCTCGTCCGTCTCGTCGTCCTCTTCCTCATCTACACACATTCAGACACATGACATTTCCTGATGCTAGAATGTTCTGTTCTGTGTGGTTGCTTACAACATGTGAATTTCTATGAAAGCTCACTCGACTTGACATTAACTTCTAACGGTTTCCAAGGTTACTTAGGCCACAATTTTGACAGACACCATGGGGGAAAACTGCCATATAGACATTTTTTTACATTATCTTATAATTTGGCAGCAGGTAAATTAGGCTGATGTCACTTTAAAGGGTTAGTTCACCCAAAAATGAAAATTAAGTCATTAATTACTCACCCCCATGCTGTACCAACCCCGTAAGACCTTCGTTCGTCTTCGGAACACAAATGAAGATATTTTTGATTAAATTTGAGAGCTGTATAACTACCACATTGGCTCCTAAGGGACTGCCTCTTGACGGCCCAGAAAGTCAATGAAGAAAATGTTTAAATATCCCAAGTGACTACCGTGGCTCAACTATATGTTTATCAAGCGACGCGAATACTTTTTGTGCGAAAAAACAAACAAAAATAACGAGTTTATTCGACTATTTCTTTTCTTCCTTGTAGGCCAGAACGAGACTTCCTTATAGATTTCCACGACTCATGCGCGAGAATTGCGATCTGAAGTAGTGTAAGCTGGTGTAAGCAGATCGCAAATCTCGCGCATGAGTCGTGGAAATCTATAAGGAAGTCTCGTTCTGGCCTACAAGGAAGAAAAGAAATAGTCGAATAAACTCGTTATTTTTGTTTGTTTTTTCGCACAAAAAGTATTCGCGTCGCTTGATAAACATATAGTTAAGCCACGGTAGTCACTTGGGATATTTAAACATTTTCTTCATTGACTTTCTGGGCCGTCAAGAGGCAGTCCCTTAGGAGCCAATGTGGTAGTTATACAGCTCTCAAATTTAATCAAAAATATCTTCATTTGTGTTCCGAAGACGAACGAAGGTCTTACGGGGTTGGTACAGCATGGGGGTGAGTAATTAATGACTTAATTTTCATTTTTGGGTGAACTAACCCTTTAAGACCTGACGCGTGCGTTTTCTTTCTCGACTGTGCGCTCACTTGAAACATAACTTACTGTTTACGTGAATACTCGTCAAGACTAGGGTTGGGTATCGTTTGAATTTGAACGATTCTGATTCCGATTCCTTGTTTCGATTCCGGTTCCTAACGATTCTCGATTTCGATTCTTTTAAGAGGCAGGGTCAAAAAAGTTTAGCTAACCTTTCTGAAGGAAATAATCCTTCTGTCACAAATACTTGTCACAAATTTTGCCGAGATTTCGTTAATTTTTTAGAAAAGTGAAGCCACACTTTGGACCGCCGAGGTAAGCTACTCATGTTCGACTCGCGCGGTTATGCCAACACTTCAGGTAGACGCTTCTTCGTTGGTGTTGTTCAGCGGTTTCTTCTTCCGCTCAGCGGACTGTGAATATCGAAACTAGGAATTGAAATTTTAACTTTTGAACGATTCCGGGAAAAACGAAAAAGTTAGTCCCGGTTCCAATCGATACTCGATTCTCGATACCCAACCCTAGTCAAGACTGACATTATTTGACTGTTTAAGTGCAATAGCACTCAATTTAGTACTGAGAGGCGGCTTATGTGGAAAAGTGTGAAAATCTATTCAGCTGAAAATTAGTTTTGGAAGAGTTTTCGAAAAACTCTACATTGCACCTAGTTTATTATTCGAGATGCCTTTTTGATGCTGAAATCGGGTGTTAATGTCAAGCCCTGCTCGGAAGAAAGATGTCAGGCATTTTGATTGTTCTGACTCTGTACCTTTATCCGGATCCATTGACCTCTGACTTCTGTTCAGACAGGCAAACTGAAACAACGAACAGGAAGTTAAATCGCTGAATGACTGTCTATTTGACAGTACGCGAGTGAGTGTGCATGCGTACCTCTCCCATAACAGCGATGGGCGTCTCTCCTTTGGCCTGTGCGACTCTGTGCTCGATCAGGTAGTACATGTACTCGTCATACAGCAGTCGGATCAGATGAAACGAGCCGAAGCTGGCTGCGCTGCGCAGGGTCAGATCTCGGATCACCATTGAACTGTAAAACACAACACATAGAGTAACTAAACACTCTAAAAGCACACAGAGAATTTTGTTTAATCAGAGAATCAATACACAAAACTAAACTAGGCTTGGGTATCGTCTGAATTTGAACAATTTCGATTTCGATTCTGCTTAGCAATTTTCGATTCTTATTGATTCCTGATTTCGGATGCGTGTGCGCCGTATAAAACGGCGTTTGAGTCGTCTTGTGCTTGAATGGTTTAAAGTCATTTTGAAATGTTTATTTTATGGCATGTATTCGATTGCCAACCCTAGTGATCACTTGGGGTGTAACAATATATATTGATAGTGAGACGACTCGACGCCAGGAGACGACTCAATGTTATGCCCTAAATAAATACTTGATTAACTATCTGTATCTTATCTGTACGTTTCTGAAATGCACTTTCTGTGAAGCTGCTTTGAAACAGTATGTATTGTGAAAAGCGCCATACGAATAAATTTGAATTGAATTGAATATATCGCAATTGGGGCTGTCAAATGATTAATCGCGATTAATCGCATCCAAAATAAAAGTTTGTGTTTACACAATAATATATGTGTGTGTAGTGTGTATAATAATTTTATATATATATATATAAATACACAAACATTCTTGTATATATTTAAGAAATATTTTAATGTATATATTTATATATAATTTATATTTAAATATTTTATATATAAATTGTATTTTTTTCTTAAATATACATGCATGGGTGTGTATTTATATACAAAATAATTATACACAGTGCACCCACATATATTACGTAAACACAAACTTTTATTTTGGATGCGATTAATCGTGATTAATAGTTTTCTCTTATTATTATCAGAGTTTTCGTGTCAGTACTACATTCTACATACACTAATGTATAGTAATGCAATGGGGGCATATTTGTGGGTGCCGATAATGTCAAATGTCACCAGTAAAAAAGGCCGACATTATTTTAAATATATCCAGTCAGTTCAAGCATATTCGTGCAAAATAATTCTTTTCAGCTTCATAGTCATGAATATTGTTATTCTGGTCTCTATTGTCCTGTGCTTTGGGTTTCCAGCACCAAGTTCAAGCCTATTCATTTACAATGTAACACCAAATTTAGCATTTTAAATTAACTTTTTAGTAGAGCCAGACCGATATATCGGCAGACCGATATTATCGGCCGATATTAGGCATTTTCCAAACTATCGGTATCGGCAGTTATAATGGCCGATAAATGAATATTTCAAAAATAAAATAAAAACGGACGAAACACGCTTGAACCATGTCCTTAATGTTGGAGTTGTATAGTTTGTCCACCAGAGGGCGCTCTACACCGTTCCTGTTGGCAACACTCGTTGAGTTGGTCACGATAACAATTAAAAGAACATCCCCATCAGTTCTCTTAACTCAAGTAAGCATGACAAAATTTGTGACTATCATGTCCAGTTTAAAATAAATAAATAAATAAAATATCGGCCGATATATCGGAATATCGGATATCGGTCGGGCTCTACTTTTTAGCACATGTCTCAGAGTATCGCAAGATCGTGAGTTCAGTATCGCGATATGTATGGAATCGTGACACGAGGGCCTCTTTACACCCCTAGTGTTCACTGATCGGCAAGCACCTCACCTGTAGAAGCTCCACTTGAGCAGGAAGAGTTTGGCCGCTTTGGGTAAGGTCTGGCTGTCGGTGTACGGCTTCAGGACCTGTGAAACCACCCCATCCAGCCATGCCGCCCACTGCTCCAGAGAGTTCTGCTGCTGCAGGGTGATCTTAAAGTCCTGCTCCAGCCGCTGGACCATGCCATCTTCACAGCCACACACCCACGAGGCCTGCTCCTAAACCGTGTGGAGCACTTTTATCATGGATGGATGCACTTTGATGGACTTTTAAAAAATAAACGCCCATTCACTGCCACCATGGCCTGTTTTAACATAACTCTGATTGTGTTCGTCTGAAAGAAGACGAACACCTAGGATGGCTTGAGTGTGAGTAAATCATGGGGTAATTTTCATTTTTGGGGGAACTATCCCTTTAAGATCTGCAGGGAGATGAGCGAGCTGTGTTACCTGTACGTTGGTGAAGTCGACGCGGTTGAGGTCGCTGAGCATCTGTGTGATCTGAGCCGTGTTCTGCAGGACGGCGCGGGCCGCCTGAGCCAGATGATTGAGAGACGTGTAGCGACGCAGAGTCTGAGCGAACGCTCCCGCACACACCACCTACACAAAACAACACACACCGTCCGTTAGCATGACCACGCCGAGGACAGAAGCGAGTCAGGGGCACATCTGTGTGCGTGTCAGACCTTGATGCGGACCATCTCCTCCGGGATGCTGATCATGGCGTTAGTGAGCCAGTTCTCCAGATTCTTAGCAAAGTTACGGATGGCTTGAGTTAAGGCACCTACAGGAACCGAGAGAAACAAAGAGTCAGAATAGAGATAACCAGACCTCAAATTCTGCATCCAAAGTACAATTTTAATTTATTTTCATGGTGATTTGCTGCAACGAGATGGCTTTTAGGATACGAAAGTGTTGATAATGTTCTGTTGAATAGTGTAGAGTTATATTGAATTGTGAGGAGTTTGTTTGTATGTAAAGCTGTGTAGAGTTTCGGTAGCTAGCTATGTATATAATCTTTGGGACTAGAATATTTTTTATAGAGTTTGTGCAACTTACCAGGAATGATGTTTGTATGGAGTTTGTGTAAAGGGTTGTGTCTTAAAGAATTCTGTAATTTACTGTGGATTGAGTTGATATAGTTTGTGTAGAGTTGTAATTCACTGGAATGGTGTTTATAGTAAGTTTGTTTGGAGTTTGTAGAGTTTTGTGATTCACTGGGACTAGAGTTGATATAGAGTTTGTATAGCGTTGTGTATCCCAGAGAGGTTGGTGATTATAAATTTTGTAAATTCCATTGTGTAGAATTTTGTAACTTAGTGAGATTGAGTTTATATAGAGTTGTGTAACTCACTGAGAATGGGTTTTAGGAGATCAGGGACGAGGATTGCGAATATATATAGTTTGTTTATTGACTAGAGTTTATTTTGAGTTTGTATTACACTATGTAGGATTGTGTAGCTCACTGAGGATTGCGAATATATATAGTTTGTATAGAGTTATGCAGAGTTTTGTAACTAATTGGGATGTATTTATATAGTTTGTGTAGAGTTTAGTAACTCACTACGGATATTGTTTACATGGAGTTATGTAAGGCTTTAAAGGGTTGTCTTGTAGACTTGTGCAACTTACTGTGGTTGGAGTTGATATAGAGTTGTAACTTACAGAGGATGTTTTCCTTACAGAGTCATGTAGAATTATGTCTTATAGAAGTGTGTGACTTAATGTGGATGTTGGTTTAAAATTGTGTAGAACTGTAACGCATTGGGACTAGAGTTGATATAGAGTTTGGGTTGGGTTACGTAGGGTTGTGCATGGCAATGGTGAGTGTGCATAGCATTGTGTAGAGTTGTGTAACTCACTGGGAATGGGGATCTCCATTAGACTTTGGTACTTATATAAAGTTTGTTTAGAGTTTGTAAAGTTTTGTAATTAATTGGGACTAGAGTTTATTTTGAGTTTGTATTACACTATGTAGGATTGTGTAGCTCACTGAGGATTGCGAATATATATAGTTTGTATAGAGTTATGCAAAGTTTTGTAACTAATTGGGATGTATTTATACAGTTTGTGTAGAGTTTAGTAACTCACTACGGATATTGTTTACATGGAGTTATGTAAGGCTTTAAAGGCTTGTCTTGTAGACTTGTGCAACTTACTGTGGTTGGAGTTGATATAGAGTTTGTATAGTGTTGTAACTTACAGAGGATGTTGTTTACATGAAGTTTTAATGTGGATGTTGGTTTAAAATTGTGTAGAACTGTAACGTATTGGGACTAGAGTTGATATAGAGTTTGGGTTGGGTTACGTAGGGTTGTGTATGGCAATGGAGGGTGTGCATAGCATTGTGTAGAGTTGTGTAACTCACTAGGAATGGAGTTTCTATAGAGTTTGTGTAGAGTTGTGTAACTCACTGGGGATGGGTCTCAGGACATCAGGGATGAGGATTTCGACTAGGCTTTGGTACAGGAAGTTGTCGCATTCACGGGTCCAGTGCAGGACGGGCTCATATTTACACAACAGAACCAGAACTGACTTGGGCAAACGCTTCTCTGATTCATCATGACTGTCGAGACAGAGAGAGACATCAGGGAGACTCGCATCCCAACGCCTGTGACTGTATGAGAAGTCAATACACGTGTGTGTGTGTGTGTGTGTGTGTGTGAACAGCTCTCACAGGTCAAGTGTGTCCGTGTCGCTGGTTTGTCCTTCACTGAACCTCCAGAAGCTCTTCCACAGCGTCTCCACAAGAGGGAACTGCAGGTTTACCATCACGTCCAGAATCGCCTACAAACACACATTATTCACCAAAAAAACACTACAATAAACACACATAGCTAAGCACACACACACACACTCACCTCGCAGTGCTCTCTGTAGATCACCTGATATGTGTGTATGTGTTGAGGAAGGAGTCCGTCCGGCAGAAATTTACCCTCGTCCTCGATCACGGGGAACTCAGGCAGACTGTGAGACGTATCTGAGACACACACATTCAAACAGTTGATGTCATTTCCTGTAGAATATGTGTCCGGAAGAGAGAGCCGCTCCTATATTTCCATTTTCCAATAACCGGTATAGAGACAGATGTTTGTCTTACCCAAAAACTGCTGATACTGGTGAACCTGGGCGCTGATGTCGGATAGCCCCGCCCCTTGTTGATGCCCCACCCCCAGACCCATTCCATTGGTCAGTCCCTCAACCTTCTGCACAGGCTTTATTCTATATAAAGAGACAAGGGCTGTCAATCAAACTAACAAAAGCAAGTGATCATCAACACAAACCTTAAACACACACACACACACACACCTCTGTTTCTGTGAGTACGGCTGTTGTCTCATGGCCAGGTGTTGCTGGTCCTCTACCAGCCTGTGCAGAGGGGAGTTGCTCTTGATTCGAAGGCCATAGTAATGGTACTTCGAGTTCCCTCTGAAATACACACACACACACACACATTGATATACTATTATAGTTTTGCTGTTAAAGTGAATCAAACAACCAAAGAAAAACAGATAATCACTCGCTGCTCTTGACTGAATAACTTCAGTAGCTTTAATAAGAATACATTTCTTACTTAAATGCTCTGGCAAGGAGATAAATGTGTTTACTGAGGGGAGGAGCTAAGCTAATAGGGCAGATTCTGTGCCAGTCATGACGTCACACTGGAGCGTATACCAGAACGGCTAATTTTGAGACGATGTTTCGGATTTTTACAATAGGGTGGTTGTGTTCACACACTGCGGACACATGAAAATGGTTCAAAACAATATGAAAGTGAATTTAGCATAATAGGTGCCCTGAAATTTTGTTGTGTATTTTGGCTTTTTGAATAATTCTATATATTTTTTAGTCTTTCTAAAAGTATTTCTAAAACCCTCCCACTTCATATTAAGTCCTGCAATACAATTGTCACCCAGATAGCAAACTGACGTTGAATCAACGTGGAAACATGACATCGAAACAACGTTGATCTGACATTGTTTTGCTCATCGAATTAACGTTGAACCAACGTCAGACGCGTCATTCTTTCAAAACTAACGGAAAATCAACTTGAAATCAACGCGTTGTTTCAACGTTATGAAAGCAAACCAATTTTCGATTTTCATTTAGCTTTGAAGAATGCCGTGTCTGACGTTGGTTCAACGTTAATTCGATGAGCAAAATCAACGTTGTTTCAATGTCATGAGAGACGTCGTTTCCACGTTGATTCAATGTCAGTTTGCTGTCTGGGCAGTTTTAAGACAAATTTGAAAACCCACTTTTACTCTCTTGCTTTTAATTCTCTTTAATTTTTTATTTATTTATTTAAGTGTATTTAAGGAGCCCTGTACTCATTTTATGAATTTGTTAAGGCATATTGTTGTTTTTGCCTTTCCTGTTTTAACCTGTGAAGCACTTTGGGTCAACTGTTGTTCGGTTAAATGTGCTATACAAATAAAATGACTTGACTATTTAGTATAGTATTATTAGTTCTAGTTATTTTAGTACTTCAAGTTAAAATAAACGAAAATGACAAATGCGTTGTTGGTTGTTGTTCGTTGTTTGTAATTTTGGTTACACTTTATTTTAAGGGGACGTAGTTACATTGCACTCATTTAAATTTCATTCGTAAAATTTATTCGTAGTCTTGTTACTGGATTAAAAAAAAAAATCTGGACATTTCGTTTCAATTAAATTTGACTGTGGGCGGAGTTACCCAGTACAATGAATTTTTTTTTAATGCTTTATTCAATAACAAAACATACAATAATTAAATACAAATCAATAATAAAATTAAATAAATAAAATAAAATTAATAACCATATATATATATATATATATATATATATATATATATATAACTATACATAGGGGTATTGAAATCAACTCCAACTCCATTTCTTTAATTACAAAATAATACAAAGGCCCTTAAAAAGGATAACATTTCAAGGCTTTACAACAGTCTGTAGTCTTTTTTTGCCTTGCTTTTTCTTACACCCTCCAATGTTTTAAGGTACTGACAAATCTCAAATTTAAATTGTATTTTTGCCCATCGAGATTTATGAATGTGATATTTACCTAAAATAATAAACAAATTGAGGACAAAACCAATTTTCTTTTCTAGAGGCTTATCGTAAAAAAAATATTATATCCTTATCAGTACAAAGAATATAGAAATATAGTGAAATGTTGCGTGCCGTGTCGTGCTTAAAGCTTTATTGTGCCACACCTGGTCTGGACAGTGTGTTTGTTTGTACCTGGTGCCGAGACGTCTGGTTCTGAGGCCCATGAACACGGAGCGGATGAGTTTTCCAAAGGAGGCGGCGTTCACGGGTTCTAGCTTGGTCTGCTGACAGTGCAGGAGGTAATGACAGTAGAGAGTACAGCGAGGAAGACTTACACCTTCAGCTGTCTCGTAGTTATCCATCAGCCACTGCACCTGAAGACAGACAGCAGATGTCGAACGGTTAAAGGCTGACAAGATGGGCCTTTAATAAATCTGGGCTGTTTATGCAATGTTTTTAAAATCAGTGCCACAAGACTAGAGAAAATGGGCTGTGATGTTTCCTTTTGCCAAAAATGTAAACATCCATAATGCACATTTGATTTTGCAACCGCCCCAGTCCGTGGGTGAGAATACAAAAATGTGAAGTTTAATCTGCAACTCTAAAGGCCCTTTCACACTGAACGCGATTTTGACGCGCGAATGATTCGCGCGATGGTTTTATTTTTTGATCAGCTGTTTGTGTAATGAGTGCTTCCACACCGAACGCGAATCTGCTGCGGCGAAAAAACGACTTTTATTTTTTTCGCTTCGATGTCGATTTTTGAGGCGAAAGAAAAGGCTTCAGCCAATCATATACAGGGAAACAAAGGTGACGTGACCGCAGCAATGACGGACGGACCTTCTGATTGCTTGTGTGTCGAGTCTGTGAATGAATATCTGAAACAAGGACTGGTGGGACGTTGTGCTCGTTCGTTCGTATCGAGCCCAACTGGGTGTTTACAAGGCTTTTCAGTCCATTTGAGCCTTCAATCCGTTTACTAAAAGTGTTTATTTGATTGCATGTAAACGTAGCACCTGATGAATGGGACAGCTCACCTTCTGCCATATGTTTCTAGCTCCGGTAGTGGGTGCCCCAAACCTTCTTTTCTGCTTTTAAATAAAATAAAAAGCTTGTCTTCACTGGCTGATAATGATGGTGATGAAGAAGCTATATGTTCCACGTCCCGCAAGTCATAGCACTGTACCGCATTTTTTTGTCTGCATCCTTTTATTTAATCGTCCTTTAAATAACAATTCTACAATTTAAAAAAAAATGTAATAAGAAAACATAGAAAATGCACAGCACAGACGTTAATGGAGCCATCACAAACAAACAAACTCTTCGTGGAGAGAGTGTTTGCTCTGATGAATGCTGCGTGGACAAGGAACCAGGCAACTGTGGACCTAAAGTGAACTGGTGAAAGTGAGCTCCACCTGCCAGTAGTGCGAGTTACTGACATGCACATAATTAAAAAGAAGGTCCAATCGAAGCTGCCAGATCATCAGACAAACAATATAAATTCAAAATGCACTGATCGAATCCGGTAAGAACGCATTCATCTTTATCTTTCCTAATGGACGTGTGCTTATTTGAAATGTGCTATTTAGAGATTGGGATTTTTTTTATTTTATAAAGCCTATTAAAGCATCATGTTAACATCACTGCAAAAAGACATCTAATATAAAATCTATATTTATTCACCTATAGGCTATAATAGAGTAGCCTACGTTTTCTGATGAAAATTAGGTCTGCTTTCATCGGCGCGAATGTTTTGGAATGTTGAAGTTCTGAACGTCGCAAATTCGCGTCGCGGCTGATGTGAATGGTTTTGACGCGAAATATTCTCACGCGAACTATTCGCTTTTTCGTTTCGCTTTTCCGTTACGCATCCGGTGTGAAAGGGCCTTAACAAAAAAAAACAACCCTGAGCTGTCAAAAGTCAAGCAGATATCCACGTTTATTTGTCATCAAAAGTCTGGTGGGTGACGTAAAACTAGGGATGCACGATATATCGGCCAGCATATCGGTATCGGCCGATATATGTTCATTTTTAATGTTATCGTTATCGGCCTGGTAAGAAAATTTGTCCGATATATTAAAGCCGATAAATAATGTATTATTCCCTTCAGCTGAGACACTTGTTGAGAACGGTTTATGTTTTTGAATTTCTTGAAATATGATTGAAATCTCTTCAAAAAATGAAAATCTGGTTCGGGACAACATGTGCACCGCAAATCTGTCATATCGGCTATACAACACTATAATGAGAACATCATTATAATTGTGCGCTTGGGACATGGATTTAATGGTGAGACTTTTGTTTTTGTAATCAGGCTCTCAAAATTAGATACAAATTTGGATTTAAGTTTATCGGCCGATATATCGGTTATCGGCCAAAATTTTCATATCGGTGCATCCCTACGTAAATCACTGCGTGAAACTCTCTCTGGGTGAGAATCCGAAGCTTCATTCGTGCCCGTGCCACCAATGAACACAAACATACTCACAGTCGCAGGTGAAGCGCGTGTGTTGTGTGAGAAATTCTGGTTCCCTCCGCCGAGCATGTACCCGCCCTGAATCACGTAACTCCCCGCCCCTCCGCCGGTGGCCCCGCCCACTTCCGAGGAAGCCCCGCCAGTCACCACGGTGATCCCCGAACTGCCCTCTGAGAACATGGACACCACCCCTGTGCCCATCCCGGACGTCACGGACACAGCCTGAGTGGTGGCGGGGGACGTGACCAGGGAGCCGGTGGTGGGGGAGGTCTCATAATAAGTGACAGAGGGCGTGGCTTGAGGGTAGAGGGAGGGGTCTGCGAACGAGTAACTATTGGAACGACTGAAAAGGGAAGAGAGAAAGAGAAATACAGAGCAAGGTAAATGTTTTCAGGAGCATAGAGCTAAATATATCCCCAAAGAACTGTGTTTATGCTCACATTGCAGCATCGTTGTAGTTGGCGTCTCCCTCCACAAACTGGCCTGAGTACACATGCTGTAACCGACACACACAAACAAACAAACATCAGTGTCACAGCAGACGTTTAAATGGCTCGTCTGCATCCGTCAGATATAAGGGCGGACATCACAAATCATATTTATATGATGTCAAATCTTAAATTGTGTGTGTGTGTGTACCTCAGGTGTGATGTGTAGATTACTGACCCCCAGTTGTCCACTTTGACTCTTGGTTACAGCCTGAACAACTGACCTCTGCTGGACACAGATCAGCAGAGTTTATACATTTAACATTTATTACGGCTTTGATGTGTATATATACACACAAACGTACGTGCATTACCTGTGCTGTCTGCACCTGTTGCACTACCTGTGTGGGTACACCTGTCTGTCCCGCCGGGGGAGAACTAGATTCAGAGTCATTTGAGTGAACCGAGCCCTCTATATAAACATAAGTTACATAAGCATTAAATTACTGTATGATGTGCTCATTTGCATATTAAAGAGATCATATGATCAAATCTATTAAAACTAACTGCAACTTTTAAGAACTCAAAGAAAACCATTTGACTCAAAACTGCAAAAGTGAGCTCTGGAATGATGAGCTCATTAACATAGGACCGCCCATATTTCATGTGAACAGCAAATTGTCAATGACATTGTTACTTATTTCACATGTAAAGAGGTCACCAGTCATAAGAGGTCATTTACATATCAGAATCTTAAAGGTACAGTAGCCAAAACAACCTAGAGGAACATTCTGGGTAAAAGTTAGACTATGGCCACTTTACACTGCTGAATCTAACATCCACCACATCTTACTATAAAGGCATATGTGTGTGTGTGCAAGAGAGACACACAATGAGAGGAAGACGCACTAAAAGGGAAGATAAAGAGACAAAAAAAAAACGAAATGAGAAGGAAACACGTGACAAAACCGCTCTCAGAAAGGAGGAAATGATGACTGTGTAAAAGGGGAAGATGCGAGTTAACTTTTACTTAGTACAAAACCTACAGAAGGAAATCCAAATATAATATCAACACAGATGCAGCTAACAAACAAGCCCTCATACTTACGATACAGCACATCCAGACTGTACAGACAGCTACTGTAAAACATGATCTGAACACACACACACACATCAGCCATCTCTCTTTATATATCACGCTCATACGGGCCGGCCTTGAACAATTAATCTCCACAGATGGGGCAAGAAAGCTCTCGTTCAGGTAAACACGGGTATCAGAGAACGGATGAGGATATGCATCGTTTACTTCACCTGTGGCTTTTATTTTGATTTTCGTTCTGTATTTTCCGTTTATCTCGCCCTCTCTCTACTCAATTCAATTATTCTCTGATATCGCCATCCTTCATGTGGTCAGCTTTCAACTATAGCTTTTCTACAGGTGTTTTGCTGCTCTCGTTTTTTCAAATCGAATACACGTTAGATAATATACTTACATAGAAAAAAAACTACTTTTTCGATATTTTACATAGACATGTAATTTATGTTGATGTTTTATGCTGAGATTTTAATAATATATAACAAATAACTTAGCGATAAATACATATATATTGATTTTTATTTAAATATAAAAATATAGTCTTTTATTTTCTATTCATTTTAATATATTGATCAAATTATTACTGAATAATATAATTAATAATAATATAGTAAAAACAGTAATATTATGAAATATATTACAATTTAAAAGAACTGTTTTTTAATGTGAATATATTGTCAAATGTAATTTATTGCCGTGATCAAAGCTGAATTTTCAGCATCGTCACTCCAGTCTTCAGTGTCACATGATCCTTCAGAAATCACACAAGAACAGCATTTATTTGAAACATCATAAAAGTCTTTCCTATCACTTTCATTTGAGGTTTTTGTGGCCACTATCTATAATCTATCAGGTCATCTATTCAGCATATAAACTCACACACACTTCTCCAGTCACTAAAGCACACACGGCTGCCAATTAGAGCGTTAGGATGTTCAGTCATCAGAAAAAACATGTGTATTATACAATAATCAGTATAATTAACAGGTTATTTCTTTATATACTGTTAATTATAGTGAGGAGGATTATTCAGCATACCACATGTCAAATTAAAAGTACAGGGCAGGCACATGTGTGGAGATTTATTTTGAGGTCTTTCTATTCAGGGAGAGACCCAGAAAGTGTCAGGTGTCTGTTAGATCGCATTACACACACTTTTGTACATGCAATGCGTGTAAACTAGTAATGGTCTGTCTGCAGGTTCAATCCCAACTAAGAGTGACATGGAAAGTTAAGTCTACATGTATCTAGTAAAGTGCATGTGCTCACCAGTAACGGTCACCACTATGTACTGGGCGCTCCGGCCGTTTCCGGCTTGGGAGGCGGGGCTTTGTATCTCTCCTGTGACGTACTGCGGTCCCTGAGGGGGCGTGGCCAAGACTGCTTTCTTTTGAGTGACCGAGGGCGCGGCCTGTGCTCTTATGATAGACCCCGTCTGCGATGACGCAGACCCCGGAGAGCTCTGCATGTCGGACAGGAACTGAGACGTGCCGGTGGTGGAAGTGGCTTTCTGCTGGGTCGATGAGGCTGTCGTGACGTTGCCCCCTTGTGACTGGGAGGGTTGAAGATCCTCGGCGGTGTAGCCTGAAGTTGCCATGACGACAACAGCCGAAAATCCCTCTGCAAACAGAAGTGAAAAAAACTCAGATTAAGCCATGCAGGACGTTAACAGATTTGGACTTGTTGCTTTAATTATAGGCAGTATTGCTTGCCTTGCACTGGAAGATATTTCACAAATACATTTGTTTCCTTATGGAAGAACACCTCAGGCAAACCTATTGGTTTTTTCATGCAGTAGTAAATTAAAAAACGCTGATTCATCCAGTAAATTCATAAGTCGACGGCATTGCTGAGTATTTTCTTCTTAAAACTGCAGTGAACTCAAAAACACGGTTTGAAATCGCTGGTGTTTCTGACGTCACACACTGCCTTGTAACCAATCAGATCAACGTGTGATCGCCAACGAGTGGATCTCTGAGCTGAGTGAGTGGGGACGGGGCTCATTTGCATATTCATATAGCCACGCATACTGAATTAGGCAATGGTGTCGAGTTACATACAAGAGTTACGGGATTCAGAGTTACATTCAAGCTATTTTAAAGCATGAAGAAATTTCTTTCAAGGAAAAAACGTTTCAATACGTAATTTTGGATGAGTTTTAAGGGATAAAATAATGTATTGACTACTGAGGGACTTTAACCCCCTGAGCCCGACGGCGTCGTCGACGATGCCACACGTCACCTCCGATAAATGTTTACATAACTCGATGACAGATTTATCGATTTTCTTACGGTTTTTTTCAGCAGAAAGCTAACGAGCTAGCCATCACGGGGGTGTCTTTCGGGTCTTTCTAGCCTTTACAGAAGGTTTTCTATCCAGCCTGGAACTTGTGCTTCCTTTCAGAGGTTTTCAGCAATAAATCCAAACGCTTTATGTCAAACTTTGATAATCTTGAAGCCCATAATTCATAAATATTCGGTCATTTTTGCCGCTAGCTCGATGCTAGCGGACATCCTGGATATCACGTGATGTTTTCACGTGATGGTTTTTGACCAATTACAGGCTGATCCGTTGTAAACATTGGTGTGCGTCATTACGCATGAACCAAGCGCTGATATAGTGTAGAGAGATAGAGAGACTCACGGAGACGCGCGATTCACAGAGAAACACAGCGAAATGGACGTAAATAAAGCGCTGGTCTATTTTGGTGCATTGCAGGATGAAGGATTTTCAGGAGAACAGAGCTTTTTGACAGATGAGGAACTAGATTACCAGGATAGACCCAGCTGAAGTGCCATTTATTTATTTACTGTAAAAAACTATTATAGTAGTATAAATGTATTATAAAAGAATAAAAAGAACATAATAAATAAAGAATAAATAAAATAGAAATGCAAAACCTGTGATGTGGCCCTCTGTGTGATTGCTGATAGGAACTGTTTTGAGGCTTGGCACCAGTGAATTTCATGAGGCCCCAAACGCCTGGACTTCTTTTGGAAAAATGTCAATATTTTTTGTTCTGTACAAGTTATAATGTTTATTCCTGTGCTCCAGGACTCCAAAGACATGAACAAACTATTTTCCAGAGGAAAATTGCTTAGCTTTTATTTATTTGTGTGTGATTTCAATAAATAATTGAGTGATTCCATTTCCGATTTATTTTTTCATTTGTCTTTATGGTCCCATAACTTATTTTACATTCAGGTGACATCAATGTAACACAAATATGCTGAAAGTTCAATTTGTCCTGAAAAAAAAGAGGTGTGTCAATTGTCTGTGCACCAAAGGGTTGATATTTTACAAGCTTTTTTAGTAAATGACACCAGACGGAAAATTTATTGTAAAAATACCCTTAGGTCTCAGAGGGTTAAAGTACTGTGTGATATCTATTGGTTAAAATATTTACCCTAATAAACGCGGAACGCCAAAACGCAGAAGTGAGTTAGCATTTTAGCATTACGGTCCCTCGCTCTAAAGTCTATGGGTTTTTCGAATGGGTTTTTGCTAAATCGCCTGAAATAAGGTCTGTGACGAACAAAGCCTCTAAATATTTCCACGTTTTGATCTATGACATAGAACACACAGTTATAACCTGCTTGTGGTTTTTTAAACTTTATTGTGTCTCCTTGTGTTTTTTAAAAACTTTATATACGCTTCAAAATGTATAAATTTTGGATTAACCTGTAAAGATTATCTTGATAGACTAAACGTGTAAGGGTCACAACTCTTTGTTGAACACAGATCTTATCTTTTGCGATTTTCCAAAAGTCTATGGGGAAAATGCATAGCTTTTCGATCGAGGGAACCCATGCGCATGCTACAAAGTGACGTCCTCACTTCGGCACTCTATAGTACCTTATAATAAGGACACACATTTTCATTATGTAAAATATTATTTTATTAAGCAAATTCACAGGCATTTTTCTTCTGGTTTAAAACATAATATGCATTTAGAATATTATTAACAATTAAGCTAAAAAGTGTTAAGCATTTTGTCTCACTCAAATTCCAGTAGTAGTTTTGTTCAGTTAGGTCGCATTTCGTACATGTGGTAGTTTTTTTTTTTTTTTAGACTAAAACGAAACACATTCTCTTTCCCTGTCACACGCACATAAATCCTTTGTGGTTTTGAGCTGGCTAAACTTGTTTAACAGTACTCTCATTTTCCCTCAAATTAGAGGCAACAGGCGGCCCTTGCGTGCCCCGTCTTGTGATATGAAGCTCCTGTCAGAATTAGTCAGGAAGTCATTGTGTTAAACAAACTAAAAAGAACCACTCACATTATTAAAATCATGCCATAAAAAGAAAAACACGAGCGCATGAAATCACAACATGTATACGTTCATATCAAAGTAACTTAACAAGCATATATTCTTGGCTTATTCTCAAATTTACACGCAAAAATGTCAGAGATTCATTAACTAACTTAATAACTAATGATTTTTACTACTGAAATGAATCATCACTGAACTTAAACTGGACTATGACACCATTTACAGCTGCTGTACAGCCAAAAACAAACTTTGTTGCATTACTGTTATCACAGTAAAGCTGCTTTGAAACAATCTGTTTGTAAAAAGCACTATATAAATAAAGGTGACTTGACATTAGCGTCAACTTTGACTTTGATGAATCTTCTGTTATGACAGACCATAAATCTGTCCAAGAAAATCTTCTTACTATAGTCCAAGTGTATATGGTCAATGTTGTTATGTACTGAAGTACAACAGTAATAAATATATTTGTGATCTTTATGCTCATTTCGCCTCAATATAGTACCCGTGTTAAGATTGTATTGCATAATATTTACACATGTGTCTTGTTATTTATGACGTTTTTTCTTCATTGCTGCCAGAGAACAAAGTATATATGTAACTAGATAGACATCTGTCAATCACGCCCTTTTAAGTTCACACGCCCCGCCCCATTCGCAGACCACGCCCCCTCCACTCCCTCCGCACTGGAGCTGATCTGGCACACATATGGCTGTTCGACGACTCCCTCTACAAAGTTTTCAACCCTCTGAAAATACAATTCACGAGTGTTTGATCCAGCGAACGCCAACATTTCATCGTCATTTGCGTTAAATAAACGGAGCGCCGAATTAAGATTACAGTCGAATGCAGATTCACTGTCAAAAGTCGCTCTTTGACATTTGATCCTAAACTGTTCGCCCGTTTCAGTCATCAAGTCAGTTAAACACACTTCTGACGTCACGGTCAGCAACCATAAACAAACAACAACAAGTAAAAGTCACACACTCTCACGTTACAACACCCGCCATTTTGTAGCGCTCGAGAAGATTTGACATCGTCATAACAACCGCCAGCGCGTGCAAGAGGCGCGGGGTCGAGTTGAGGAGCGATAACTGAGGAAATCGCGTCAGGCACACTTCAGCACTTGCAACACAAAACAAGAGGAGGTTGCTTAAAATAAAGTTGTTGCGTTCACCTTTCGCTTCTTGCTGGACGATCTTAGTTTGGCGCGGAGTTTTATTTTCTTAATGCCTCAAATTGTTGTTGTTGATTCTCGTTGCTGGGTTCTTGTCGCCACGACTACCGTGACTATGGCGCCTCGTCCTCACCGGGGCAACTGTTGCTACCCACCCGTCTAAGCACCGCCCTCTTGCTTAGCAGCGATTGGCTGCGTGTCTCCAAGGAAAACGCTGTTCTCTCTTCATTATTGGATAAGACGAGTGCCTATAACAAACCGACATTGTCATTCGCTGACAGTTGCTGTCAGTCGAGTTGCTCTGTTACGCAAGAAGTACACGCCCCCTTCGCGTTCATTCATTGGACCGCAATTCTATCAGTCAAACTTCACGGTCAACCGTTACCCAATCAGTCAAGACGAAAACTGAAGCTAAATTAAAAACAAAACGTTATTATATATATATATACAATTAAAATGTATCAAAATAGTGTGTACAACTATAACAAAATCATTTATTATCATTACTCTTACAAAACGGTATATCAATGGTATATCAGTTTTTGAACATCATAAAGTATAAATACTTTATAACATCATCAGATGGCAACACTGTGGAACTTTGATATGTATTTATGTATTGTATTATATTATATTAACGTTCCATTTGCAAAGTAAATATAATCCAACATATTTTAAAGCTACACATCTACAGAAACATGCCCCCCTCCCCCCCAAAAAAAACAAACAAACAAAACAATACTTTTTCATATTTCTTCCATAAAACAAGACAGAAATTAAGACTTGTATCCGAATACTGTACCCTGAATAAACAAATTATTCTCAGTTTAAGTCTCCAAATGTTTCATTTTATTTCTAATTTCGTATTATTTTAATTATAGCTATGCATGCAGTGTGAGCTCATTAGCATATTATTCATAATACTATAAATTATCTCTAAGGTCAGACAGGCAACCAATTAGCCCATTTGCTGAAGGCTCATCCATGTGCTGTTATCTCTGTGAATGCCAGTGTCTGAATCATATTCTCCAGACTTTCTTATCTCATGACTGTATGATTAAGAAGAAACGGGCTTTTGCTGATATGCTATGTAAATTACCACTTGCACATAACCATCACTTTCTCACATCCATATCCTCGACCTCTTCTTATCTGTCTGAAATGTCACCGGGGCTCTTTGTGTCAGGAGAGATCAGATAACCCAGCCTGCACCCCATAAGTTTTCTATTCTTCAATTCTTTATTCTGTATTGATTGAGATATTACTTGTAAATTCTATGGAATGGAAATAATGGAAATAATCAGTGCACAAGTCCTGGGTTTCAATTTTCTGCTATATATAAACTATATATATATATATATATATATATATATACAGTATATATATATATATATATAGTTTATAATATAAGAGTTTAATTATTTTGTTTTCTCTTCTGATGTTTAAAATTGAAAATCATCATCCTTGTAAGGTGTGTCTGTAGGTGTAAATTCCTTTTGTTGAATACGACTATCAATGCATCAAAATGTAGATCCTTTGTTTACACACAATTAACATCTTGTAAGAGCTTCTGTCAAGTTCTGTTAATAAAAACAAATCTCAGAAAATATTAGTTTTCTGCGATTAGACGGTCGGTATAGCGTAAAAAAGGTCATCATGAGTAATGAGATCAGGTCGTCTCATCCGACATCTCCCCCCATAGAGGAGCGCTGGGCCGGGGCTTTGTTTTCCTAAAGGTCTTAACCTGCTATCACAGTCTGCCCTGATGACACACAAGCAACGCTGGCTCCATCAACCCCTATAAAAGACACACCAGGCTGAGGCGACGTTAGACCCTCTTTCAAACCAAGAAGGACAACATTTCCAGCTCCTTAAACTTCCTCTCTCCACTTCCTCATGTGTAGAGCTGCAGTTCTCGCACTCGGCCTGTTGGTGGCGCTGCTGTATGGAGGCGCTCAGGCCACAGACGGACTCCCGATGTACGGAGTGAAGCTGTGCGGCAGAGAGTTCATCCGGGCGGTCATCTTCACCTGTGGAGGCTCGCGGTGGAGGAGGTCTCTGGATGTCTCAGGTGAGATAAATCAAGAAAGCAGAAGTTTTATTTATATGTTCATTCCAATACAATTCACAGTTAGAGGAACCCACATTTTGTTTCATAGATGATGCAAGTTTTAGCCTACCTTCTTACAGCAATTCATAATATTTAACATTAACATACTGAACAGTATACATACAATTTAACATTAACATATTGATAACAATATTTAAATTAAATGATTATTTATTATATTATTATTATTACATTTTTATTATTAATGTATGTTCATAGATATGTAGCTATGTATTGTATATTTATATATATACAGTATACAATTATTATAAATAATAACATATTTATACAGGAGTAGTGTTCTGAAATGAGGAGGCGCAGTTTTTAATGTTTTTATTTTTTAATAAATCAAATGTAAATTCATGTCCCAATTAGTCACATTACATTTCCATGGTTAAATAAACATTACATAAAAAAAGAAACCAAATAAATGTTTGAATTTTTACATAAACAATGTTATTATAGTGCTATTTATTAAAAACAAGTAATGTTTTCAAGCCTTTTTACATTTATTCCAACATAATAACTAAAGGCAGTAATAACTTAAACAAAATCTTTTATTTGTGATATAACTGATGTTCAGCTATTTAATAGAATCATCAGTCATCAAGCATTTTAAAAATCTGATCAACAAGACACATGATTTGAGGAATGTCTGTACTGAATATATAAGTTCAGGTTTGCTCAAATAGCTACACGCAGTAATAACAGTGTTCCTCCATTGTTCTCGGGTCAGGTGACCTGTCCAGTGACCCGCTCTCCACTCATGACGACGAGGCGTCTGACAGCTGGGACCCCATCCTCCTCCCGGGACTGTCCCACAGACCCCGTCCCGACGCAGAGGGCCTGGCCTGGGCCGGACAGAGTCAGGAGAGCCCCGTGTTCAGCCGTCCCGCTCGCTCCATCATCTCAGAAGGAGTGCTGGAGGCCTTGCGCACCTCGGACCGGAAGGGTCGGGACGTGGTGGTCGGGCTGTCCAACGCCTGCTGTAAATGGGGCTGCAGTAAGAGCGAGATCAGCTCGTTATGTTAAAGAACTGCACGATCCCATTCCCCTTCCACTTCCATCCCAGCCTTCCCAGATGTGCAAAATGAAGAGGTTGTTCTGATGAAAATACTTGTTTCATTGCCAAAGTAAAGCGCTTGTTTGTTACCGTTTGTTATCTCTTCATCTCTGTCTTTGTATGTTCTTGTGTGGTCTTTGATTTAATAACAGCAAACAGGAATAAAGTTTTGATTGGTTAGATAGAGTTTATTGTAATTTGGTTTATATTGGATCATTCAATATAAAGTTTATAGAGTGCACACTTCAGTTATATGCAGTACAATAAAAAAAATATCTATAATTGCTAACATAGCTTAGCCTAAAGCATTTATTTTATTTTTATGTATCCAGGAAGGTCCCATTGATATTAAAATAAATTACCATATTAGCATGTATGTTGTGAATTCTGTACATTATGCAAATTAAGCTGTATAATAACATAATTGACTAAATATGTACGTATATAGCCTACAACAGAACACACTGCACTGGACACTATCCTGGAGATAACTGTCTTTTTTGGTGGGTCATAGTCATACCTGGTATTTGTTGCCTTTTGTCCATCATAAAAAGCAAATCACACTCAGGTTTTTCATTTAGTCATGATAGGGTGATGCAAAACGTTTGAAAAAATATTCTGGTCAAACTCGGGTAAATAAATTGAACCATTTATTCAACAAAATAAATGAAATGGAGGAGCAAAATTGTCCACCCAGTTAGGGACAGATACTTTTAAAAGGTATTACATTATTAATACTCTAGTAAATTTTCAATATCACTGAATTATTAGGTTTTTTTTGCTGATTTTATGAAATTTTTGTATAAAAGCTCAACAGGGTGGAAAAGTGGTATAACGAATGGATGATTTCCTATTGCTCACATACAACCAATAACATTATTACTTTAGTTTGAACTGGATTTATTTCCAATACGAAAAATGGACACCGGTCAGTGAATTGAACTCAAAGAGATGGGGATTTGAAGAATATGGGTAACCAAACAGATGTCATTGATTTCCATAGTATTTTTATAATCAATGTGGTCCATCAAATGTTTGGTTACCAACACATTCTTCAATATATTGTCTTTTGTGTTCAACAGACGAAAGAAACTTGAGGCCACGTGACCATCTTGTAGTATTGCAGTATGCCATTCTAGAGCATCATGAGGATAATGCCATACGATGGGATACCATGTAAATACACATTAATATAGTAATAATCACACATTATTTTGGCAGATCACAGTACCATGATACTTCTAATGGAGGCCAATGAACCTAAATGACCCATTATTTCACCGTTGTCTCCATCTACAGGTCACAGCATGAATAACAGTTCTCCACAATCAATTTAAATCCGCCACAAATCTTCTTTAACAAAACATAGATCACAATTAATGTGTTACTCGCGATATATACATTTTTTCTCGCATAAAGTAGGGTGAGTACTTACTAAGTAACTTAGTAGTAGCGCCGCTTCTTGTAGTTTTATGTTAAAGAGGTATGACGTCAGCGTAACGGTACGGAAGCCGCGCAGATCCAGACTGCACGATTAACGCGTCCGCCATGCATCAGGCGCCGCCGGTGAAAGAAGAGCACAACGATTAAATCCCGCAGAAATCCCGTAGAAACCCGCGGCGAGCCATCCGTTACCGCGACCCGACGTCCATCAGCGCTCGTGCCGCGGCAGAGAGACATAAACGCAGATAGACGGACAGAGAGAGCCACTGACTGAAGGTGAGAGCGTTTGGCGGGTTAGCACAGCGGCTAACGGCTACATCAGCGTCTGTGTGTGTTTATTCATCATCTTTACAAACGCTCAACGCGCACATCTAACCGATTTAATGCGTTTTATTTCGTGTGTGATCGGTTAACGCTTCTGATATAAGCTGGGGAATTGGGTTAAACCGGGCCGCGTAAACACACACACACACGGCCTACACTCGTACACAGAAAGATTATACACTAATACAAATACACAACACACAGTAATACATACACAAATACCACACATACTCACTCACGCAGACAAACAGAAACATGTAACAGTTAGCTACACACTCTCACATACACTACACTTGGATCATACACACACTCAGTCTTATACTCAATATATATTTATATACTATATATATATTTATATATGTATATTATATATAATGTAGATATATATAGAGATAAAAAGATAGATATAATATAGCTTATATCCACTTAAATATAGACTCTTATAGGTTTATACAAACAATATGCATAGAGGCACTTAAAGGGATAGTTCGCCCCAAAATGAAATTTCTGTTATTAATTACTCCTCAGGTTTCAAACCCGTAACATCTTCGTTCATCTTTGGAACACAAATGAAGACATTTTTAATGAAATCGGAGAGCTTTCTGTCCCTCCATTGACAGGTTTTAAGCCCAAGAAAGATAGTAAAGACATCATTGAAGTAATCCCTGTGACTCCAGCGGTTTACCCTCAATTTTATGAGGTGACGCGAGTGCTTTGTTCAATTGGTATTTGCCACTTTATTGAATCTTTTACGCACGTTCGACGACAGCAACACGCCACGTGTCTGTGTGTCGTGTCTTGAACAATTTTTGCTCAAACAAAGCACGAATTGAGACTACCACTGAAGTCACATGAATTTCTTTAATGATGTCTTTACTACCTTTCTGGGGCTTCTGGTAGTTGCGTAGCCTGTCAATGGAGGGACAGAAACACTCCGATTTCATCAATAAGATCTTCATTTGTGTTTTGAAGATGAACGAAAGTCTTGCAGGTTTAAAACAACATGAGGATGAGTAAATAATGACAGGATTTTCATTTTGGGGTGAACTAATCCTTCAATAAAACAAGTGCACAATGGGTTCACAAGTCCACATTGAAACTTGTAAATGAACTGTGAAACAAAGCAACATCATCATGAATGAAGAAATTTGAATATTCTGCACCATTTCTATGTGACTAATCAAATGAGTGGCTTTGATCATGTGACTCTTTGTACATATGGTCTGATGCTCTTCCATTGATGCCCGAGATGCTGGAGAACATGATCGGCTTTTGTTCATGAAGCTCCTGCAGACGTTATCAAATTAATCTTTTCACATGCAGAGTTAAGAGTGCCGGGAACCCGGTTCCTTCTAGACTTTCCCTATGGGGGTTTTCAATTTGTGTTGACTTTATCATCTACAACGTAAATCACACACCCATAAAACATGTGATATTAAAGGGGATAAATGCAAAACCCATGCATTTTCATGAGCGTCGAAAGACTCATTCACACACACGGCCCACTCAGCCTCCGCTCACATTCACACTCTCGTCTGCCTCGATCCCAATTAAACCTGATCAGATGGTAAAGCGGATGTGTGAACGTCCCGTCCAGCTGCTCGGGTGGATTAGCCTGCTTTCAACAATTAATAGTGTTTTAAATGGGGTATTTGCCTTCGGTCTGAGTGCATGTGTCTGTGGACGATAGTTTTGTGTGTTGTTTGCTCAACAGTAATGAAAACAGAAAGCAGTAATGGTGTTTCCTACAAGTGTGTGTGTGTGTGTGTCACTCATCTATCTGTTTTCTGTTGTGTGTGTGTGTGGCACAGGATGGAGTGGCAGCCGGATGAACAGGGTTTACAGCAGGTGCTCCAGCTGTTGAAGGACTCTCAGTCTCCAGATACGGCCACACAGAGAGCTGTTCAAGAGGTGTGTGTGTGTGCACATCATCACTTCTGATCAATATCAGTGTTATCTGTCTGTGAAGCTCATTTGTTCAGGTTATCGCTAAATGAAATGTGAAATTTAGCTGTTACAACCGAATGAATGGCAGGGTTGTTTAAAGGAACACTCCGACTTTTTTGGACTTTAGCTTATTCGCTGTATCCCCCAGAGTAAGATAAGTCCATACATACCTTTTTCATCTCAGTGCGTGCTGTAACTGTCTGACGCACCCGCTGCTAGCCTAGCTTAGCACAAAGACTGGATGTAAATGGATACAGCTAGCATACTAATCCCAATAAGACAAAATAACGAAAACATTTACCTATTAAAAGCCGCGTTCACTTCGGTGTGTTCCTTTAACACAGGGCTCTTGAGAATCACATGTTTAGCATCTGTGTGGTCATTTTTGGGTTTTCGTTACGGATGTGTATGGTAGTTGTGGATCATATTGGCAAAATAAATCCTGATATTTTTCATTTTTTTAACAAGTTTGGGATTGTAGGAATTGGTGTTTTGAAAGAAATTAATACTTCAATTTAGCAATTGGGCTGTAACTTCAAAAGTGACTGTAGAGATATTGTTAATGTTACAAAAGATTTATATTTAAAGTAAATGTGGTTCTTTTGAGCTTTATATTCATATAAAAAGTATCAGCAAATCATATTAGAGTGATTTCTGAAGGGTCATGTGACGCTTTACATTTATTGTGACAATTATTACATTTTATATTGTATATTTTGTATTGTAATTCACCTGCTCGGGGACTACAGATGGAAACTAGCTTAAGCTAAATCTGGTGCAAATCATCTTTAATTAATGTTTTTTTTTGCATATTGTCCCTGTTGAAATAAATAAATAAACTAAACTTTCTTTCATATGCACCAATATAACAATTCATAGTATTATTTAGTGCTATTTTTCTACAAGCAATGCAGAGATTTGAAATGATGATCCGTATGATTTTTTGAATCAGATTCTTGATTCGTCATTCGTTGAATCAGACCGTAAACGAGTCATTTGTGGAAATGAATTGAACTTCTTCACTCCAATGCCATTTTTTCTTTTCTTTTAAGGATTAAACCAGACAGACTAATCTACAAGCATGGGTTTTAGGCAATAAATATAAAAAAAAAAAAAGTGTATTACATATAGATATGATTTAATATTTGCTTCAAATTATGTGCAAATATTAAGAACTAAAATCTAGTGGTAAATGTTTCGTTTTCATCTCAATGTCTGATATCCGATCTCTCCGTCGTCTGTGCACTTCATCATGATCTTTTTATCAATTTTCCAATAGAAACTGGAGCAGCTGAATCAGTATCCCGACTTCAACAACTATCTCATCTTCGTCCTCACCAGCCTCAAATCCGAAGGTCTGTATTATCCCATCATGCTTCATCTCGTCTCACACACACACTCTCTCCGGTCACACGAGGAACACGTGTCTCTGTGTCTCTGCAGACGAGCCCACCCGTTCTCTGAGCGGTCTGATTCTCAAGAACAACGTGAAGGCTCACTACCAGAACTTCCCTCCGGCTGTGGCCGACTTCATCAAGAGAGAGTGTCTCAACAACATCGGAGACCCGTCCCCGCTCATCCGCGCCACCATCGGTCAGTCCGCATTAAACCCCACAAACCTCTTTAGAGTCCTCTGGCTGAGTTCATTTGATTCGATCAGTGTTTATTAGTGTGCGTTTTCTTTTAGAGAAGTATGCATTATTGTAAAGGGAGCAAATATGGGCCAAACTGCTCTTTTTACCCGTAGTTGAATTGGTGTGTGTGTGTGTGTGTGTGTCCGCAGGTATTCTCATCACTACTATCGCCTCTAAAGGGGAGTTGCAGACATGGCCAGAACTGCTGCCTCAACTCTGCAACCTTCTCAACTCCGAGGATTACAACACCTGCGAGGTAACACACTCAATCACTCACTCACTCAATCACTCACTCAATCACTCACTCACTCACTCACTCACTCACTCACTCACATACTCACTCACTCACTCAATCACTCACTCACTCACTCACTCACTCACATACTCACTCACATACTCACTCACATACTCACTCACATACTCACTCACATACTCACTCACATACTCACTCACTCAATCACTCACTCACTCACATACTCAATCACTCACTCACTCAATCACTCACTCACTCACTCACATACTCACTCACTCAATCACTCACTCACATACTCACTTACTCACTCACATACTCACTCACATACTCACTCACATACTCACTCACATACTCACATACTTACTCACTCAATCACTCACTCAATCACTCACATACTCACTCACTCAATCACTCACTCACTCACATACTCACTCACTCAATCACTCACATACTCACTCACTCACTCACATACTCACTCACTCAATCACTCACTCACTCACTCACTCACATACTCACTCACTCACTCACTCACATACTCGCATACTCACTCACTTACTCACTCACTCAATCACTCACTCACTCAATCACTCACTCACTCACATACTCACTCACTCAATCACTCACATACTCACTCACTCAATCACTCACTCACAAACTCACTCACATACTCGCATACTCACTCACTTACTCACTCACTCAATCACTCACTCACTCAATCACTCACTCACTCACTCACATACTCACTCACTCAATCACTCACATACTCACTCACTCAATCACTCACTCACATACTCACTCACTCACTCAATCACTCTCACTTACACACTCACTCACTCTCATTCACTCACTCACTCACTCACTCACTCACTTACACACTCACTCACTTACACACTCACTCACTCACACACACACACACACACACACACACACACACATAATGTAGTATAGTTACTGTTACTGCATGTATATTTAGTGTTTTCTTAAATGACCGGTATTCACCCCAAAATGCAGTGCTCTTGATGTGGCCTTCTGTTTGAATAAAAGTATGTGCCCGTATGTGCTTAATTTGTCTGCAAAAATACACTGACGATGTTTAGCAAGCCGAAGTTATGCGTTTCCAAGATGATAATGACAACGTAGTGAGCAGAGATCAATCGATATCTGCATCATAATTGTGTGATGAACTTTAAAGTTAAAAAACATTAAAAACATTGACTTTTCTAGAAAATAATAACAGTATTATAGCATTACTGTATTCTTGTTACATATTGTTTGCAAATGCTGTTTAAAAAACAGTTATACTGTGCAGTAGGCAGTGTTGGTATCTCACACTAAGGGAATGGAATCATCCATTTTGATTTCATGGTGATGTTAACCTGTGTGTGTGTGTGTGTGTGTGTGTGTGTGTGTGTGTGTGTGTGCGTGCAGGGTTCTTTCGGTGCGCTGCAGAAGATCTGTGAGGACTCGTCTGAACTGCTGGACAGTGATGCTCTGAATCGACCCCTCAACATCATGATCCCCAAATTCCTGCAGTTCTTCAAACACTGCAGCCCCAAGATCAGGTACAGGACCGCACGCACATCTCTTTACAATTAAATACGGTCTGTTTTATAACGAGTAACGTGTCTGTCTTCAGGTCTCATGCCATAGCGTGCGTGAATCAGTTCATTATCGGCAGGGCTCAGGCTCTCATGGACAACATCGACACATTCATAGAGGTGAGTTGATCACTGATTGCTGTTATTTCAAGCAGTGATTTTAATCTTGCTTTTGAAGCAGAAAGACTTTTAACGACAGATTCACACTAACCATACAAATGAGCTTTTTGCCTTAAATTTGCCTTAAAGAAGTAGTTCACTTTAAAAAAAACTTTTGCTGATAATTTACTCGCCCCCATGTCATCCAAGATATCCAAGTCTTTCTTTCTTCAGTCGAAAAGAAATTAAGGTTTTTGATGAAAACATTCCAGGATTTTCTCCTTATAATGGACTTCAATGGGAACCAAATGGTTCATGCTCCAAATGAGAGTTTCAGTGCAAACTGTTCAAAGGGCTTTAAACGATTCCAGACAATGAATAAGGGTCTTAACGTTAGACCCTTATTCATCAAAACGTTAGAAAACGTTAGGCCACGTTTTGAAAATGAATAAAAAAACTTTAAGATTTATAAGCACTGTTCTGTGATGCGCGTTTCTGACTCTCCTGTTCGAAGTCGTTCGTCAAAATAAACAAATCTTTTTTTCAAGCCATTTCGTTTATTTTGTTTGTTGATAAGACCCTTATTCATCGTCTGGAATCGTTTAAAGCCCTTTGAACAGTTTGCACTGAAACTCTCATTTGGACCTTGAACCGTTTGGTTCCCAATGAAGTTCATTATATGGAGAAAAATCCTGGAATGCTTTCGCCAAAAACCTTAATTTCTTTTCGACTGAAGAAAGAAAGACATGACATCTTGAATTAAATTATCAGCCATTTTTTTTTGTAAAAGTGAACGACTTTTCCGAGTTTTCCGTTCAGTGAATCATCTGAGCCGACTGATTGATTCAGACTGATTCGATAAAAAGAATCACATGATTACACGGCACGGTTATGAATAACACTTGTAGACTTCATCAAATCACGGTTGTAGTAGTTTCTAAAAAGCATACTTTACTAAACAAGTACAATTGTGTTGACGGTGCACTATGAATGAATCTGTAGTTATTCCTGTGGTGAAGGCTGAGCTCTTCTGTGTTTTCAGTCTCTGTTCGCGTTGGCGGCTGACGAAGACTGCGAGGTGAGGAAGAACGTGTGCAGAGCTCTGGTCATGCTGTTGGAGGTCCGAATCGACCGTCTGATACCGCACATGCACAGCATCATACAGGTGACACATGCGAACATATGAGGCGTTGTTTACTGTGGAAAGGTGGAGGTTTGAGTCTCACCCGTGTCTCTCTGCAGTACATGCTTCAGCGCACGCAGGACGCGGATGAGAACGTGGCGCTGGAGGCGTGCGAGTTCTGGCTGACCCTAGCGGAGCAGCCCATCTGTAAAGAGGCTCTGTCGGGACACCTGGTCCAGTGAGTACTGCAGGCCATCACACACACAGATGAAGCCCCTGGCCTCCGCTAGGGTCTGTTTGTGAGATCTGATCTGATGTTAATGTGTGTCCCTGCAGACTCATCCCCATCCTGGTGAACGGAATGAAGTATTCTGAGATCGACATCATTTTACTGAAGGTGAGTCACCAGATATGACGCACAATCTGTTGAGTCAAATCATGTTTATTGCATTAGTTAGGTGTGGTCACATTATCAATTCTGATGCAATCGCAGTATTTATTACAGGGCTCGACGTCATGTGCTTGTCCTTTGACTAAAATGCATGCTTGTCCTGAATTATTTTTATTTTTTTGTGGTGTAAAATTTTATTCTGAAGGAATTTTCTCATCAGCTTTGACATTTAAATCTGCATATTTATGGCATTTTAGGCCGCGGAAATCAGAAAAGGTCAGAACACAAAATATCAAAACAACAGCTAATTAAAAATATGAATACAGGGCTCGACATCATTAACACGAACAAGCTGATTTTTTTTTTAATTGAAAGACAATTTTACTTGACAAACCGCATAAGTGGCCTGATTAAAGTGTCAAGTTTCACTAAGGAATCACCAAAACACGAGATTGCACTGATTTTGTTAGAGGTAGTGTGTGTGGCGAGCAATAGTGGATAATGATATATAATAGGGCTGAATGTTATATTGCGATTATTGAGGTCAATATTGCGATTGCGATATAATAAACAAATGGTTTCATGGGTCAACTTGCTTGGTTTTAAAGTAAAATGCACACAAGATTAGTGATCATTCTGTGTATTTCTCAACTCAAACTAGCAACAACTGAATGATTGATCAATAAACCATTGGATAAATGGTTGATGTCTGGATAAAAATGACGACACCCCCCACATTTTAAACGTTAATTATAGCCATCCAACATTACAGTGATTCCATCATTACAATTGAAAGCTATCAACTTTTTAAATATTTATTAGGCTTAAAAAATATAACAGCTTTTAAATTAAGTGAACTTCAAACAATCCTCACATGAACCCATAATGCCATATTTAGCTGTGCCCTTCCTGTCTTAAAGGGATACTCCACTTTTTTTTTTTGGAAATAGGCTCATTTTACCACTCCCCCAGAGTTAAACAGTTGAGTTTTACCGTTTTCGAATCCATTCAGCCGATTTTCTGATATTTAGAAGAATATCAGTAACCAGACAGTTTCTGGTCTCATTGACTTGCATATAGGAAAAAAATACTATGGAATAGGGATGGGCAACGATGAATCGCGATAAATCGCATCCAAAATAAAAGTTTGTGTTTACATAATATTTGTGTGTAGTGTGTATAATTAATTTGTATATATAAATACCCACACATGCATGTATATATTTAAGAAATATGTGCATGTATGTATTATATGTATATTTATTCACAATTAATATTATATATAAATATAAATATTTGATATATTAATAACACATTTTTCTTAAATATATACATGCATTAATTAATTTGTATATATAAATACCCACACATGCATGTATATATTTAAGAAAAATGTGTTATTGATATATCAAATATTTATATTTATATATAATATTAATTGTGAATAAATGTATATATAATATATACATGCACATATTTCTTAAATATATACATGCATGTGTGGGTATTTATATATACAAATTAACAATACACACTACACACATATATTATGTAAACACAAACTTGTCTGGTTACTGATATTCTTCTAAATATCAAAAAAAATCGTCTGAATGGATTCGAAAACGGTAAAACTCAACTGTTTAACTCTGGGGGAGTGGTAAAATGAGCCTATTTCCAAAAAAAACTGGAGTATCCCTTTAAGTATCAATATTGGAATTGATTGATTTTGATACCCAGTGCTACTAATTTATCAAGATCTCCTGAAGAGCGAGCACTATGTAGGTGTGAATCAGAATGCAGCTGCAGTGTGTTAATGTGTGTGTGTGTGTGTCTCAGGGTGATGTAGAGGAGGACGACAACGTCCCTGACAGCGAGCAGGACATCAAGCCTCGCTTCCACAAGTCCCGCACCGTCACGCTGCAGCACGAGGGAGGAGAAGGAGAGGAGGGCGAGGACATCGACGAAGATGAGGATGACGACGACGACACGCTGTCTGACTGGAACCTACGTGAGTAAACCGACCGATCGGAAATGTTCTTATGCGTGTATGCGTGTAATTTAATTTGCAACATCAGCACTGTTATTAATCTGACTCCAGCTGAATAACGACACTATTGCTTTCTGTACAGCTGCTTATAACCGAATTGAACTCGTTTCGAAATTGTTGAAATTTACAGTTATTGATCTAAACTGAATCAACATTCAACTCGCTGAAATATGACAATATTGTATTTTTAGAGCTGATTTTTGAGCTTGACTTCTATTGGATGTTGGGATGCACCGATATGAAAATTTTGTCTGATACCGATAATTCTTTACATTTGAAAGGCGATAACCGATATATCGGCCGATAAACTTAAATTCTAATTTTGAGAGCCTGATTACAAAAACAAAAGTCTCACAATTAAATCCATGTCCCAAGCGCACAATTATAATGATGTTCTCATTATAGTGTTGTATAGCCGATATGACAGGTTTGCGTTGCACATGTCGTACCGAACCGTATTTTCATTTTGAAGAGATTTCAATCATATTTCAAGAAATTCAAAAACATAAAGTTCTCAACAAGTGTCTCAGCTGAAGGGAATAATACATTATTTATCGGCTTTAATATATCGGCCACGTTTTCTTACAAGGCCGATAACGATAACATTAAAAATGAACATATATCGGCCGATACCGATATGCTGGCCGATATATGGCGCATCCGTAATTTGATGTCTTATGCTTGCATTGTTGATCATTATTTTCCTGTTTATTCCTGTGAGGCTGCTCTGAAACGACCTGTATTGAATAAACCGCTGTAAATAAAGGTGACTTGACTTGTATGTGTTCACAGGGAAGTGTTCTGCGGCGGCACTGGACGTGTTGGCTAACGTCTTTCGGGACGAGCTGCTGCCGCACTTGCTGCCGCTGCTGAAGGGTTTGTTGTTCCACCCGGACTGGGTCATCAAAGAGTCTGGGATACTGGTGCTGGGAGCCATCGCTGAAGGTCTGTATCTCGCACACACACTCATTTCACACAATTTTGTTTTGTGTTTATGGTTGTAAGAGTGCATATTTAATCCTATTTACCTTTTTTTTAAACAAGAGCTGAGAGTAGTTACAAAAAGACATTTCAAAATAAAAGTCCCGGTGTAATTCAGGCTTGTTTTATAGAGGTAGGAATCTTTTGGTACATCACAGTTCGATTTGAATTCATTCTTGAGGCCATGATTCAATTTTAAAATCGTGCAAAATGTGCATTTTGATTGTAGTTTATTGTTTTGTGTTACTTATTTGATTCTGTAGATCGTTTATTAGGTCTGGAAGGAAAAAAATCCTATTGAATTAATTAATTGTGAACCTTGAAATTTGTTTAGTTTTTCTTCCCATTTTTCAGTCTGCTGTAGGGATGGGCAACGATTAATCGCATCCAAAATAAAAGTTTGTGTTTACATAATATATATATGTGTGTGTGTGTGTTGTGTATAATTATTTTGTATATATAAATACTAACACATGCATGTATATATTTAAGAAAAATGTGTTCTTAATATATCAAATATTTATATTTATACATAATATTAATTATGTATAAATATATATATATAAAGTATATACATGCAAATATATACATGCATATATTACTTAAACACAAACTTTTATTTTGGATGCGATTAATCGTTGCCCATCCCTAATCTGCTGTATTAAAGTGAGGCAGAAAATGTTATTTTAATTTTTAAAATTAAAAACAGGAACAAAAGCAAATTAAAAAATTAAAAAAAATATACAAATTAAATAAACCTAAAAACCTGTCTGGTGCAGTAGCACGTGTATGAAACGTATTACTACCGAAATTGAATAATCTAATGTAAAAATAAAACACTGTATATTCTTCACTTTATGAATTAGATATAAATTGATTCATGTTAACAATAAAAAAGGAATTCAGTCAAAAGCAGAGTGATTTTTTTTTTTTTTAATTTTAGGTCCCTTTAAGAATGAATGCATGCCTAGTTACACCTGATTTCCCTTTTAAAAGGTTTGATTTTAAAAACTCGGCCAACACTGCCTGAATCCTCTGTCTCCTTCAGGCTGTATGCAGGGGATGGTACCGTACCTGCCCGAGCTCATCCCACACCTGATCCAGTGTCTGTGCGATAAGAAGGCTCTTGTTCGCTCCATCGCTTGCTGGACGCTCAGCCGCTATGCACACTGGGTAGTGAGCCAGCCGCCGGACGCCCACCTCAAACCGCTCATGACAGAACTGCTCAAACGCATCCTGGACGGCAACAAGAGGGTGCAGGAGGCCGCCTGCAGGTGTGTTAGAAATGACGCTTGCTTATTTAGAGCCGAATCATTTTGGATACGGCTGTGACACTAAATTTTGGAGTAATAAAGTAACTCTGTAATGTGTTTTTCAGTGCATTTGCGACTCTGGAGGAGGAGGCGTGCACCGAGCTGGTTCCTTATCTCAGCTTCATATTGGACACTCTGGTGTTTGCGTTCGGGAAATATCAGCACAAGAACCTGCTGATCCTTTACGACGCCATCGGCACCCTGGCAGACTCCGTCGGGCATCATCTGAACCAACCGGTAACACCATCTCCCACCTCCTTTTACACTCCGGCAATTTAAAATTAGATTATTTTTTGTTTTTGAAAGACGCATTTTCTTTGCATTTGTTTGATCAAGTACAGAAAAGTACAGTAAAATTTTATTTTTATTTTTTAAATAGTAAAATATTATTACTATTTAAAATAATGGTTTTCTTTGTGAATTATGTAAAAATGGAATTTATTCCTGTGATCAAAACTGAATTTTTTGTCTTAAGTGTCACATGATCCTTCATACATCACTCTAATATGATGATTTGATGCTCAGGAAATAGTTCTGATTATGATCGGTATTTATTTGAAATGGAAAACTATTGTAACATAATTAATGCATCTGTGCTGGAAAAAAGTAATTAATTCTTCGCTTTTTTCTATTTTTCCTATTAAATTATTCAACTATTATACCACCATCTTTTATCTGATTGATAAGTGAAAATGCTTTTTTTTTTGTCATTTTGACAGTGTTTTTTGTCAATAAATGACATGTACGTTTGGGTTAGAGGCTGTTAACTTGATTTAAAAATCAAAGTACAGTATCACTAAATCACCCGTAGAGCTCAGTGGTGTGATCTTGTGTTGTGTGAACAGGAATACATCCAGAAACTGATGCCTCCTCTGATCCAGAAGTGGAATGAACTGAAAGACGAGGATAAAGACCTGTTTCCCCTACTGGAGGTGAGACACTCCGAGTGAAACCCTTCGGTTCATAGTTTTAACGTCGTGACGTGTAATTGTAGATTCGTTTTGAAAGATGAAACAAATAAAAGGCCCTCATTTCTTCTGTGTTTTGTGTGTGTAGTGTTTGTCGTCTGTGGCTACAGCGTTACAGAGCGGTTTCCTGCCGTACTGCGAGCCCGTCTATCAGCGCTGTGTGACTCTGGTGCAGAAAACACTTGCACAAGCCATGGTGAGAACACGCACTTTATTCAAGCACATGTACATCAGTGTACCACAGAGTCATTAACATTAACCCACCCCTGTGTGTGTGTGTGTGTGTGTGTGTGCAGATGTACAGCCAGCAGCCGGATCAGTACGAGGCTCCAGATAAGGACTTCATGATTGTGGCTCTGGATCTGCTGAGTGGTCTGGCCGAGGGTCTCGGGGGTCATGTGGACCAGCTAGTTGCCCGTAGCAACATCATGACCCTTCTGTTCCAGTGTATGCAGGTACAGTGTGTGAGACGGGTTAAACATGTGTGGTGGTGGTCTTCCCATTTTTATTATTTAAATAATTGACAATATTATATAAAATCAACATATTCTAATCATTTCAATGTTTAATATATTATAAATGTATGTTATTGTATTTTTATCCACTGTTATTATTATGATTATTTGAAATATATTGTTATAAAACTAATTTATTTTAGCAAAACTGATCATTTTAATTTTATATTTACTAAATTACTCGTATTTGTTTTATGATTGTTGTTTATAATATTATTATTATTATTATTTGAATTTACAATGTGTTATTAATCTTGTAATAAATGCATATATATATATATATATATATTAGTTATTAATTGAAATATTTACTATATTTTAAAATAAATTTATTTGTTATTTAACTTTATTTTGAAAATATAAATATTGTTTACTATATTATGCATCTATTTTTTGTTGCTTTATTTATAAGTAATTGTATTGTTATAAAATAAATTAATTTTAATAAAATTAATCATTTTAATGAGGATTTACTATATTACACATTTGTTTTATGATTTAGTTTATAATATTATTTGACTTGTTTACAATATTGAATGAATTAATTTTGTTTATTATAATTACAATATTTAATTGACTACTATATTACATTTATTTATTTTATTTCTTTGAGTTATTTGAATTAACTATATTGTTATAAAATAAATGGGATTTGAATGATTAATTATATATATATTAATTATATATATATAAATATTTATTAATGTGTTTTATTCTTATTTAATACTTCATATATTTTTTACATATATTATTTACTATATTATGCATTTATTTGTTTTATACTGTTTTTATATATATATATATGTAATTATGTATTTTAATATATGTTTTTTAAATGATTTACTCTTGTTAATATAATAAATGATGATAAATAATGAACGTAGTTGTTGCTGCACTGTAAACCCAGTAAAGAGTGACGCTGTTGTGTGTAGGACACCATGCCCGAGGTGAGACAGAGCTCGTTCGCTCTGCTGGGCGATCTGACCAAGGCCTGTTTTCCACACGTCAAACCCTGCATCGGTAAGAAGACACCTGAGCACTCGATCTGCGTGATGCACCCTTACATGCTTGCTTATATGATTTAATCCCGGAAACTGTGTGTGTGTTTAGCGGAGTTCATGCCCATCCTGGGGACGAATCTGAACCCTGAGTTCATCTCGGTGTGCAATAACGCCACCTGGGCCATCGGAGAGATCTGCATGCAGATGGGTGAGGGGCATCGCACGCATCACTGGATTAGAATGACATCATCAGAGATTTAGAACCATAGAATTCAATTGGCCGTTTGAGTGAGTTCGTAGTGAGGTGATTGTGACCAGTGGCTCATGTGTTGCCGTAGGTGTGGAGATGCAGCCGTATGTGTCTCTGGTTCTTCCTCACCTGGTGGAGATCATCAACAGACCCAACACTCCCAAAACCCTGCTGGAGAACACGGGTATGACCTCTGACCTCATTCATGACTTGCCTTACACACACACACACACACACACACACACACAGCTGATAAACAATCCTAACCTGAACTCCTGTTTACAGCCATCACGATTGGTCGCCTCGGGTACGTCTGTCCACAGGAAGTGGCTCCCATGTTGCAACAGTTCATCAGACCCTGGTGAGTCACTACATCTAGAAGTATTTGGGAGAATGAATACAGCAAGGGTGCATTAAATTGATAGTCATTCAGGAAATATATTACTATATAATATAATATAACTTATATAATAAGTTTTTACTATATAATATAATATAAAATATATAATATAACTTATTATAAATATAATTTATAATACGTTTTCTATAAAATGCTGTTCTTATGAACTTTCTTAAAAAATGTATTAATATTTTACCCCCACAAAAATATGAAGCAACTGTTTTCAACATTGATCATAATGATAAATGTTTCTTGAGCATCAAATCATCATATTAGAGTGATTTCTGAAGGATCATGTGACAATAAAAAGCAATAATGCTGAAATTTTAGCTTTGATGACTTTTTTTTTTAGCTTTTAAAATATATTCACATTAGAAAACTGTAAAAATATTTCACAATATTAGTTTTTACTGTATTTTTGACCAAATTAATGCAGCCTTAGTGAACCCTTACCAACCCCAAACTTTTGTTAGTTAATTTGATTTTTTTAATAATAGTATTCCATGTTTGGTTTAGAACGGCTTATCTATTAACGCCAGCTAAGTTATATTTTTTGATTGTCTTTATGCAGGTGCACGTCGTTGCGAAACATCCGAGATAATGAAGAAAAGGACTCCGCCTTCAGAGGCATCTGCGTGATGATTGGTGTGAATCCTGGCGGCGTGGTCCAGGTCAGTTCTGACACTCTTGACTCCAGTGTGATCGACACTGATGTCACTCATCCCTTCATCACTCATTTCCTTTCATCGGTCTCTCCCTCCACAGGATTTCATCTTCTTCTGTGATGCGGTGGCCTCCTGGGTCAACCCTAAAGATGACCTGAGGGACATGTTCTACAAGGTTAGACGGGTGGAACGATGCCCTCATGTCACGATTCGACAAATATCACGATACTGAACTGATACGATGATATTGCGATACTCCAAGACAAGATGATAAATGTACTTGATTAAAATGCTAAATTTGGTGTTACATGGGTGTAAATGAACAGATTTGGTGCTTCAAACCCAAAGCACAGGACAGTAGAGACACCAGAATAACAATATTCATGATTCTGAAGCTGAAAATACTGAATTATTTTAGACTATATATCTTGAAAATAATGTATCAAATGATCAGGAGCCATAAATATTCCCCCATTGCATTATTATACATTATTTTCAACATAATATATAGTAGTTTAATGTAGTACTGACACCAAAACTCACACAGTAATTTTTATTTTGGTTGAACTATCCACAATATATATATTGTCACTATCAACTATACATAGTTGCACTTTTGTATTGCGATTTGATATATTTTTGCACCCCATTAGACGCGCATTGAGCTGCGTCACATAAAAAATGTCAGCACTATAAAAGATTTGAGTTGTTAAATGAGGTCGTGTGTCTGTAGATCCTACACGGTTTTAAGGACCAGGTCGGCGAGGAGAACTGGCAGCAGTTCTCGGAGCAGTTCCCGCCCATCCTGAAGGAACGCCTCTCTGCATGCTATGGCGTGTAGCCCCGCCCCTCTGCTTCACACACAGCAACCGCTGTCAGGTGAGTGACCGCTGTCCAGGTCTAGTCATGTTAAGGGTAAACTCTCACTCTGTATATCTGCGCTACGTGGCAGATAACAGGTTTGTTTGCGTAGTCAAACTGATAAACTGTCGTAAACTTAAAAACAAACAAACAATAATAATAACTGTCTGGTGGCTATTTTTAATGTTTAATTTGTTTTTTTTTTCTTAATTACTGTACTACAAAAAATAAAAAGATAGTATCATAAAAAATATTATGTAAATATCTAAATATATTAATTTGAAACAAATATTAATTAGAAATATATTAAGTAATAACATGTATGTCATTTATATTTATGGATCCATTTTTTTTAATCCAAATTTATTGGTAACACTTTACAATATGTTTTCATTTGTTAGCATGATTTAAATGCATTAGTTATCATTAAATAACAATGAACAATACTTCTACATTTATTAATTTTAGGATATGTAAATTTCAACATTTTCTAATGAATGATCTAATGCATGATCAAAATGTGAAAAAATTGATCAAAATGTAAAATTACTTACTTTTCTTTTTTTACTTTTTTTTATTAACTATCATTAAAGCTTAATATTGTTTATTATAATAATATAAAAGTAGTAATATAAAAGTTATTGTCAAACTGATAATCGGTCCAAAAAAAAAATCTTGTTTCACTCTGAAAATACGTCAAAATACCGAAGTCAGCCGCAACTTCAGGTTCATGCAAATTTGTTAAAGATTAGGTATAAAAGTAATTGTCAAACCGATAATCGGTCCAAAAAAAATCTTGTTTCACTCTGAAAATACGTCAAAATACCGAAGTCAGTCGCAACTTCAGGTTGACGCTAATTTGTTAAAGATTAGGTATAAAAGTAACTGTCAAACTGATAATCGGTCCAAAAAAAAAAAAATCTTGTCACTTTGAAAATATGTCAAAATAAGTACTAAGTCTGTCGCAATTTTCGGTTCACGCAAATTTGCTATAGATTAGGTATAAAAGTAATTGTAAAACCGATAATCGGTCCAAAAAAAAAAATCTTGTCGCTCTGAAAATACGTCAAAATTAGTGTGAAGTCTGTCGCAATTTAAGGTTCACGCAAATTTGCTATAGATTAGGTATAAAAGTAATTGTAAAACCGATAATCGGTCCAAAAAAAAAAAATCTCGTTTCACTCTGAAAATACGTCAAAATACCGAAGTCAGCCGCAACTTCAGGTTCATGCAAATTTGTTAAAGATTAGGTATAAAAGTAATTGTCAAACCGATAATCGGTCCAAAAAAATCTTGTTTCACTCTGAAAATACGTCAAAATACCGAAGTCAGTCGCAACTTCAGGTTGACGCTAATTTGTTAAAGATTAGGTATAAAAGTAACTGTCAAACTGATAATCGGTCCAAAAAAAAAAAAAATCTTGTGTCACTTTGAAAATATGTCAAAATAAGTACTAAGTCTGTCGCAATTTTCGGTTCACGCAAATTTGCTATAGATTAGGTATAAAAGTAATTGTAAAACCGATAATCGGTCCAAAAAAAAAAATCTTGTGTCGCTCTGAAAATACGTCAAAATTAGTGTGAAGTCTGTCGCAATTTAAGGTTCATGCAAATTTGTTATAGATTAGATATAAAAGTAATTGTAAAACCGATAATCGGTCCAAAAAAAAAAATCTCGTTTCACTTTGAAAATATGTCAAAATAAGTGTGAAGTCTGTCGCAATTTTCGGTTCATGCAAATTTGTTAAAGATTAGGTATAAAAGTAATTGTCAAACCGATAATCGGTCCAAAAAAAATCTTTTCACTCTGAAAATACGTCAAAATACCGAAGTCAGTCGCAACTTCAGGTTGACGCTAATTTGTTAAAGATTAGGTATAAAAGTAACTGTCAAACTGATAATCGGTCCAAAAAAAAAAAAATCTTGTCACTTTGAAAATATGTCAAAATAAGTACTAAGTCTGTCGCAATTTTCGGTTCACGCAAATTTGCTATAGATTAGGTATAAAAGTAATTGTAAAACCGATAATCGGTCCAAAAAAAAAAAATCTTGTCGCTCTGAAAATACGTCAAAATTAGTGTGAAGTCTGTCGCAATTTAAGGTTCACGCAAATTTGCTATAGATTAGGTATAAAAGTAATTGTAAAACCGATAATCGGTCCAAAAAAAAAAAAATCTCGTTTCACTCTGAAAATACGTCAAAATACCGAAGTCAGCCGCAACTTCAGGTTCATGCAAATTTGTTAAAGATTAGGTATAAAAGTAATTGTCAAACCGATAATCGGTCCAAAAAAATCTTGTTTCACTCTGAAAATACGTCAAAATACCGAAGTCAGTCGCAACTTCAGGTTGACGCTAATTTGTTAAAGATTAGGTATAAAAGTAACTGTCAAACTGATAATCGGTCCAAAAAAAAAAAAAAAATCTTGTGTCACTTTGAAAATATGTCAAAATAAGTACTAAGTCTGTCACAATTTTCGGTTCACGCAAATTTGCTATAGATTAGGTATAAAAGTAATTGTAAAACCGATAATCGGTCCAAAAAAAAAAATCTTGTGTCGCTCTGAAAATACGTCAAAATTAGTGTGAAGTCTGTCGCAATTTAAGGTTCACGCAAATTTGTTATAGATTAGATATAAAAGTAATTGTAAAACCGATAATCGGTCCAAAAAAAAAAATCTCGTTTCACTTTGAAAATATGTCAAAATAAGTGTGAAGTCTGTCGCAATTTTCGGTTCACGCAAATTTGTAAAAAAAAAAAAAAGTAATTGTCAAACCGATAATCGGTCAAAAAAAATCAAATAAAGAGATGCTAGAATCTACTTTGCTCTTATTTGTCTCTCTCTCTTTTTCAGTTGAACCTTTAGGAGGGGGGAACTCATCCATCTGTGTATTGCACTGCCCTGATCATGGGGGAGAGGGACGCGATTGGCCGCTCCGCCTGACGGACAGATCCCACGCCCTTTGTGTGTCCATGAGGGTGGGTGGGTGGGTGGGAGGGGGGAGGGGACTCCTCTAGTTAACTGCAGAATGCACCCAATCACGGGGAATAAACCTAAAAACGTAGGGAAGACGAGAGATAGTGTAACCGAGGGAGAGCGAAAACTTAAGAGAGCGGGAGGGAGGTCGTAGGTTTAACGGGAGGGAGGTATAGACAGTTATCTGGGAAATTAAGATTAAGATTAGGGAGGGAAGCTAGACAGCAACTGTTATACAACTTTTTTTAATCTCAAGTTAATCCCAGGCATAAGAATCAAACGCATTCACACGCAGACTGACCATAGAAACTCTTGCACATGAAGTTGCAATAACTACGAGCGGCCTGCGGTGCCAGCGCTGCCGTAGCAATAGCATAATCAGACTTTAACACTGAGACTATCTAGGAAAGACTAGCGTCGTTTTTCTTTTTTTAATAATTACCATTTGTGGAAACCAGAAAAAAAAAAAAAAAGATGGTTAGCGCGCTATGGCGAATTTGTGTTTATGATCGTTAGTAAGGGAGCATTTATGAATTCACAGTTTTCATCATCATCCTCATCGGCTTTGTCGTCGTCCTGTCCGATTGTCGTCATGATTCTCTGCTTGCGTCTCTTATGCGTATCGTTTCTTTTACAATGTTTCTTCTCACTTTTTTGCGTAGTTGGCTTGTAGTTTTTTCCTGGGCTTGGTCAGTGTTCGCTGTTTACATCGTAGTTTACAGATTTCAATCACACCGTAGTTTAATCTTGTCGTGATTTCCAGAGATTCGGTCTCGTCGTGAAGGAGCTGGAACGGAAACTCCATAGTATAACGATCATGACTTGCGTTGTGTGTGTGTGTGTGTGTGTGTGTAACAGTAGCTGTGTTGGGAGCTTTTAAGTGTGTTTCGTTTGTGTCATTGCCATGTATTTTTTTTCGTACTTCGCATACGTGTATTCTGCGTTAATAGATTGTTAATTGTTTTAAGGTACCTTACACTTGACTCCTGGACCCCTATTGACCTGTAAACTGTGACCAACGATGTGTGTGCGCTTGTGAGTGTGTGTGTGAATGTATTTGTACCGATAAATTTTGATGCCATATTGATATTTGGTATTTAGTGATTTAATCAGCTTATCCAACAAACTACAACTATATCAAATATAGTTTTACAACAATAAGGTTAAGTTTTTTTTAGTTTTGCTGCTATTGCTGATTGATGAATAGAACTGAATTCACAACATTTAAATTCTATTGGTGCAAAATGCATAATTTAAATTGGATTATCGCTTGTCATGCACTTTTTTGTGTCTGTTTTTATTCTTTTTTTTTTTGTAAGGACTTTGCTGGTAAATTTACTGATAAAACTGTTGGATTCATCATGTGTCTTGTTTTTTTCTCGTCGTGACTATTTGTTGGTTGGAAGATTTGAAATAAGAGCAAGCTGAAAGTAAAGACAGGAAGTGACAGTTGGAAGGATGGCGAGGCGGGGAACGATTGCTGCGTGTTGAAATCTGCACTGAGACTCTGAAAGACAAAAACAATCACACCTTTCTCTCTTTACCTTGCCAGGAAAAATAAAACGATTTTTTACCAAGCTGAAGAAGTGTTTTCTGTCTTTTGTTAGTTCTTGATTTCTTTCGATCACATCACACCTGCGCACTTGGCTCGGCGTTCGTGGTTCGACTGCTTGAGACTAGGGACTTTAAGCAACAGCCTCTGGTGGAACGGCAACGGCATTCTGGCGTTCTATTGCGCATGCGCGACATTAACTGCTACTTCTTGACGTTCTACTGTAACCGTCTACTACGGGAGAACAGCAGATTTGCCGTAGTCGTTACTACGTGACAGATTAAGACAGTTAATGTTATGTTTTAGGTTATGTGGCATTGAAATCGTTTCTGTATATAAGTGCTAAAATTAACCCTTCTCTTTCTTTTTAAAACCACTTTCTTTTTGTATTTTGTCTGATGATTAAATTATTCCCTATGCCGTCCTCTTTACTGTTGCTTAGTGATTTTTGCTCTTTAACTACGGCAGTTAACTGTTTATTTCCGGCTGCCGTCGCCGTTCTATCAGCAGCTGTTGCAAAGTCCCTGTTTTCGCGAAGTGGACTGTCTTTATTAAATATCTTCTTATTAAACGGTCTGTACACTTACGCCGCCTTCAAACTTTTTTTTTTTTTTTTTTTTTTTATTGAAACAATTTCAAAAACAATTTCAAAGACAATCACAATATAGTACGCCGCCTTCAAACTGGCAGTTGAAATCAGCTCTGTAATACGCAATACATTCCCAACGGACGTCATACACATTGAAAAGACGCGGGTAGAACAAAATGGCGGAGAGATTAGAAAGGTTGATTCTGTCCGATCTCTCTGATTAGGGTTAACTTGTTATATATTAATAGGAAGGCTGCTGCGTGAGGAAAGTTGCTCAGGACGTCGACTAAAAATGTGGTAGGTATAGTGGTCAATAGTTCAATGTCTGCCTACAATTTAATTGAATTAACTGCCCTAATAACGTTAGAAAGTCATGAAAATAAAAAAATGACATGACAACTTACCGTTATAAAATCATTATTTATTTTATTAAACGTTAAGAATTCAGGTTTGTTTATAAGTACCATAGCAACGCTCAACTTCCTGGAATTTTCGGATAGTAACCGTCTGTAGATTTTCGCAAGAGTTCGCATCCGGATGACCAACGGACACGATTTTCTTCACACCGCACTCGGTCGGACCCGTTTCGGACCCATTCGCATGCGGTCTGCGAATCTCCATAGGAAATTAATGACTTCCGGTCGTTTCGCAGCCGCATTGGAGCTGATTTTGCATGTATGGACCATGATTATGCTACAGTGCTAGTGTGGGGCTATTTTGAGCCTTGTTGGTATTAACTAGCGATTTTTATTTTCATTACTCTATGCCCTATATACTAGCGTTATAAGCTAAACAGTTTTTAGAGATAAAACTCTTTACATTCGATAATCACGAAAACTCAGAGAACGGTTGACAATGTGTTATTAGACCAAAGGTTCATTTTGCGCTGGAGTTCTCCTTTAAAAACTGCTGTCAAAATTAACACGCTGTGGCTTTTATTTAATATTTGTACATTTTGAGATCATCTATATGCACAAAAAACAAAAATTTTAAATTTAAATTCTCCATGTAAAACACTAAAATGTTGATGACATCATGGGTGTGTCAGTTTCTGAAAGAATGAGAATAATTGAATAATTAAATGTTTTATATATATATATATACATATAGTTGATTAGACATGTGGTGTTCATAATATCTGGTTTGGTTGGATGGAAAGTGGCCGTGATTTGAGTTCAGGATGTAAAAAAAAAACAAGTCATAATGAACTAAAGTGTTTGAGAAGACTAGCATCTGTTGTTCATGCTAATTCGAATCAAATAGTCATTTGTTGTCCTGATGAAAATTACTTGAATGAACAGTTTTGAAGTTTGAGATTCTGTAGATTTGAATCTCTGGCTGTCCATCTTTCTGAAAGAAATATGACATGATCTTCAGAGGAATTAAAGGGTCATTCCACCTCTGGAAAGATGAATGTGTATTTAAAATGGGTAATTTATGTATTAGAAATGTGAAATTATTTTTTAATTTGGAGCTTTATAGACTGAGAAAAGCCAGGAAATGTATTTTTGGCTCATGTGGATGAAAGACAACAACTCCCAGAATCCACTTGCTTCGCTGCCGTAAGAGGCTACGCCTACCGGTAACAAAGCGCAGTAGTTAAACAATACTACTAGTGAGTCTCCATGATGACTATAAAAATGTGTTTCGAGATCGCCCAAAATATACGGGATTCGGCTTTTGCATTCGCCATTCATCATGTTTACTGTGGCGAGCGGGACGAGCGAGGGCCGCGGGAGAACGGCGCGAGTCATGTTTACTGTGGGGAGCGGGACGAGTGAGGGCCGCAGGAGAACGGCGCGAGTCATGTTTACTGTAGCGAGCGGGACGAGTAAGGGCCGCGGGAGAACGGCGCGAGTCATGTTTACTGTGGCGAGCGGGACGAGTGAGGGCCGCGGGAGAACGGCGCGAGTCATGTTTACTGTGGGGAGCGGGACGAGTGAGGGCCGCAGGAGAACGGCGCGAGTCATGTTTACTGTAGCGAGCGGGACGAGTAAGGGCCGCGGGAGAACGGCGCGAGTCATGTTTACTGTGGCGAGCGGACGAGTGAGGGCGCGGGAGAACGGCGCGAGTCATGTTTACTGTGGCGAGCGAGACGAGTGAGGGCCGCGGGACAACGGCGCGAGTCATGTTTACTGTGGCGAGCGGGACGAGGGAGGGCCGCGGGAGAACGGCGCGAGTCATGTTTACTGTGGCGAGCGGGACGAGTAAGGGCCGCGGGAGAACGGCGCGAGTCATGTTTACTGTGGCGAGCGGGACGAGGGAGGGCCGCGGGAGAACGGCGCGAGTCATGTTTACTGTGGCGAGCGGGACGAGTAAGGGCCGCGGGAGAACGGCGCGAGTCATGTTTACTGTGGCGAGCGGGACGAGTGAGGGCCGCGGGAGAACGGCGCGAGTCATGTTTACTGTGGCGAGCGAGACGAGTGAGGGCCGCGGGACAACGGCGCGAGTCATGTTTACTGTGGCGAGCGGGACAAGTGAGGGCCGCGGAGAACGGCGCGAGTCATGTTTACTGTGGCGAGCGGACGAGTGAGGGCCGCGGGAGAACGGCGCGAGTCATGTTTACTGTGGCGAGCGAGACGAGTGAGGGCCGCGGGAGAACGGCGCAAGTCATGTTTACTGTGGCGAGCGGGACGAGTGAGGGCCGCGGGAGAACGGCGCGAGTCATGTTTACTGTGGCGAGCGGGACGAGTGAGGGCCGCGGGAGAACGGCGCGAGTCATGTTTACTGTGGCGAGCGGGACGAGTGAGAGCCGCGGGAGAACGGCGCGAGTCATGTTTACTGTGGCGAGCGAGACGAGTGAGGGCCGCGGGAGAACGGCGCGAGTCATGTTTACTGTGGCGAGCGGGACGAGTGAGGGCCGCGGGAGAACGGCGCGAGTCATGTTTACTGTGGCGAGCGGGACGAGTGAGGGCCGCTGGAGAACGCCGCGAGGCCGGTGGTGTGATTACCGATGAGCGACACCTGTGAGACGCACAGGTCTCGTATCTCTCACGGAGGAGCAGGAATTTTCTTAGCGATGTTAAAACGCACATCAACCGATCACTTGTTTAGCGTTCATGTAAACACTACATTCAGATTCACCAATCGGGATTAATTCAGTTAGATTGAAACAAAAGCTGTGCATGTAAACAATGAATGGCGACTGCAGAAAGCAAAAGCTGAACCCGGACATCGACGGCCGGACATGGTAACCCTGACTACTCAGCTTTCTCCACAGAAAAAGAGCCTGCTAGCTTAGCTTCCAAAACAAGATGGCCGACACCGTGTGTAATCCCAATCCTCCATAATGCATCCGTCTGCGTATTCAGTGCCTTCGTATTTTCAAAAGGCTTCTGCTGGTGAAATCAAACGCACTGGCACTGATCTGTGATTGGTCTGTTAGCGCATTAGGTCCAACCCCCTATGGGCGGGTTTGAAAGGGTGGGATCTAGTGCTTGTAGTCTTTACAGAAATCCCCCTCTCTTACACTTCCTCCTCCAATAACGTAAATGACGATTTTACCAAAATGACCAAAAAAAAAAAAAAAAAACGATTTTTGTGTCATTGTAGGAGGAAGTGAAAAAGGTAAATAGCAGATGTCTTTCATCTCAGGGGAAAACGAGAGTGTTGTTGCACGACCATTCAATAGTACAACTGGGTTTCTAACAATGGAAAGCTTAATGCAAATGGGTGGAGTGTCCCTTTAAACCACACAACCACGCAAATAAGCTTTTTTTACAATATAATAATGGAGATCATTTACAGTAGACTCACCTTTTATAATGAAATCCAACTATTCTGCATCTGAAAAGAGTTTGCGAGGCACCAGACGTGTTGATCACACACTCCCTTTGTGTGTTTTGACAGTCTCTGAGATGATGACCCAGCCTTATCTATGTGTGTGTGTGTGTGAAACAGCTGCAGCCCATAACTACTAACCCATATCCAGGAAACAGATGAGCAATGGCAGGAAGTTTAGGTTTGACGTATCTGATCATTTTTACTGTGCAAACGCTGTGCATCGGCCGTACACTCAAATGATGAGATGACTAACAGAAGATATTCAAATAGTTTCAGGAACTCCGATACGCACGCGGTGTTGTGTGTAAACCCTGTGTATTGATGTTTCCACTCAGAAATCGTGTTTCATCAACATTTGCATTTGCATCAAATTGAGGATAGGAACGAGAACAAACTCAAGTGAGAAATAAACATGTCTGGTGGACTTTCAGAGGGGCTGATCTTTTACAGAGTTTGTTTCGCTGTAACGGGTATTTTGCGATGAGACCCGAGCTGTAATCTCGTGCGTGTGTGTGTGGGTGTGTGTGTGTGCAGTAGGAGAGGGCGAGATGTTGAAGTGTGTGTGGTGTGACAGTAGTCGTTATTAAAGTGAAACCCAGGAGGGCTGGAGCTAACTAAACCACTATAAAGAGGAAGAAACTATGATCACACGCAAGACAAACAACAGATCACACGAGAAACAGCAGTTTGTGTGTGTGTGTGTGTGTGTGTGCTATTAATATATAAACAATATTCTTGATTAAACTATTTAAAAGATACGGTTAACCCCCAAATAAAAATGTACTTTATATCTTTAATTGAACATTTATGTCTGAACACCTAGGGTATCAAAGACCACTACACAGATTTGTGCCTGAAATATGCATAATTTTTGTTTAATAGTCTACCAAGGTTTTATGATAACAATTTCTGTGGTCCTTGTGCTCTGAAAATAAACAAAAATTTAGACAAAAAACAAAAAAACATTTTAACCCTCTGGCGCTGTCTCGTTTTTTGACAGAAAATGTTGAAGTTTTTTTTTTAAAGACTTTTTTACTTCATCGGAATGATACGAAACTTGGTTTATGAACACACACACACACAAATCATGGAACTTATTTGAAAAGGTTAAATGGTCCTGAAAAAATTAGTCACACTTAAAGATGATTGCATTGGAAACTAATGTGAAACAAATAGTATCTAGTGGAAACTTCTGGTACTGCGCCCAAACAAAATTTTTGAGATATCAACCTCAAATTTAGAACTTGTTTCAATTTATCGCTTTGACTTTCTCACAGTTTTAGAGTAAAACATTTTTTTTTTAAATATGGTATATTTCATATAAAATGTAAAAATAGTATTTTTATCATAGACTGTGGAAAAATATTGACACGTGACGTCACCCGTACATTTCTGAAGAGCATTTTTGAAGCCAAAAGTCAGTGTGAGGAGCCAGCCGTCGGTATCTTGGCCACCCGTCACTCCGAGCGGTTTGTGTGAGAAAACGAACAGTATTTATTATCGTTTTTACCTCTTGTAGCCATAGCAATGTCCAAGTGATCTGAGGGCCCAAGCGCGGGAAGTGATCTTTCGCGCGGAATGCGAAAAAAAAATCAACGTTGTATGTTGATATATCGAAATCGTCTTCAATTTCCTGTATATCTAAACATGTTTAGATCTTCACAGTGAAGGGTAACACTTCTGAAATCTCTGTGTAAACAATGAGTGACGTACAGGCGCGAGAGATCACTTCCGGCGCTTTCTAGCGCTTACCGAAACAGCTGTGCCCTCAGATCACTTGGATGTGGCTGTGGTTACAAGAGGTAAAAACGATATAAATACTCTTCGTTTTCTCACACAAACCGCTCGTTTCGTGTCTTAGGCCATCAATGTGTACTTACATTTACGAGTCATTAAATCATGTTTAATCTGGACTTCTCTGTGCATGCTCTTTGAGGTGGTGACCATAGACCTCCACTATATGACTGAAGACAAGAACAGTTTGACCTAAAAATATCAAAATTGAAAATACTGTGGAAACAAAGACACCTACATCTTGGATGCCTGTGAGGTAAGCTAAAACATACCAAAAATGAATTTCAAAGTGAACTATCCCCTTAATCTTTAGAATAAGAACTTGGAATTGCAGTTTAAGTCAATTCCGTTGGATTCTAGAGAGAGAGAGAGAGACCATAAGGTTGCAGCATGATTTTTATGCATTTTTAAAAACAATAATAAACTTAAAGTTCTATAACTTTTTTTAGGTTCACTTTTTTCACTGAAGCAATAATCTGCCAAATGTCTTCTTTTGGCAGATCAAATTTAAGATTTACGACAATTCACAGATAGTTCACCCAAAAATGAACACTGCCATTTAAACCTGTGTTTGCTGAGTTTCTCAAAAAAGATGAGAAACTCATAAAAGTAAAAAGTTTTAATAAACACAAAAAAGATGTTTTGAAAAATGTTGGTAACCAGACGGTAGCCATTAACTTCTTCTATGGGAATCAATGGGGCCCAAGTTTGGTTACCGTTACCGACATGCTTCAAATTATCGTCTTTTGTGTTTAACAGATGAAAGAAATGCATACAGGTTTGGAACAACTCAAGGGTGAGTAAATGACTAAAGTTGACTAAATGTTTGGGTAAATTAATAATTTCCAGATCTATGCTCAAAAGGTGATTAGCCTAACAGGTAAGAAGGTAAAAAAAAAAAGATTTAAAAAAATGATGATTTAGTTCAGGAAAATCCCATTTATTTTAAACGAATCTGTTTGATTCAAAGAATCGGTTCAAACAGAATCAGTAGTTCTAATATGGGTATGTTGTACTATTCAGAAGGATTATTTCTAAAATTATTGATATTATTCATGTAAATATAAACAATTTTAATCATTTAATCAACAATATTGATCTAACTTCACAGTTTTACTCCTACTCAAAGTCCCTAACGGTCGAGTTTACAGCTTTAGTTTGCGAATCGTTTCTTCTGATTCAGCTCAAAATAACGGTTATATGACGTAACGGGATTTATAACTGTCTCTGCATTGTGCTGTTTAAAACTTAAATAAATAATTATGAGTTAAATACGGATTAGACCTTGATTTTTTTATTTATGTTTTAGACCTATTGCTTGCTTACAACAGCTGTGAAGAGTTTCCCACTCGGACACAATTCGTCATCAGTGAGAGTGAGCTGAATTCACACTCGGTGTAACTCAGTAAAACTCATCTAAAATGGAAGTGGAAGAGAATAGAAAGATGAAGAGATCATAAGAGGTGAGAGAAGACGACGGGAAAGAAGTGTAAACGAGATGCAAAGACACACACTTACTGAGATTAGCAGAGGAAACCGTTTTTTTTCTATTTCTAAAACACGAACCCATTACTGTTGAGAAACATGAATCTGTCTGCAAACATAACAGCTATAATATACATCCTAAATGCTTTGAAGGTGTTGTAGAAAGTTATCAGATGGATTAGTGCTGGTTTTCATTTCTTCTTGCTTTCCCCTCATGAACTGTGTGTCTCTAGCGGGCGACAGAAGAACTGCGGCCGGCGGAGAGACCGTGAAGTTGCACCATCAAATCAAGACCACTTCTCTCTAAAATACTCCGTTTATTTTTGTTTATAAGTGTGTGAAAATTGACATACATCAGATGAGAACAATTTATATACATTAACAAGAAACAAAATCGACTTAATATCACATTAATACATGCCCTCAGATCAAAATATAAGGACTCCCCCCCAGTAATCAGTTGCATTACTTTCAGTTTTCAGAAAAGCCATTGTTTCACTTTTGATTGTGAAATCCGTGTAGATTGAGGTAAAAAACAAACAACAGAAGTTCACCGCTCAAACAGCCTGGTTAATATTAATGTATACAAGCTAATTTATGGTTTATAAAGGTAAATACTCTGGAGTGATAATATAATAAACCATCAGTATCACATGGAAAAATAAAACCAGCATTTCTGAGGGGGAAAAAAAACAAGAAAACAAACAAATAAATATTAGTTTAGTGTTGGAGGAGCTTATTTATTATTATTATTATTATTATTATTTTAAAGCTCCTGATTGTCATTGATATTTTTGGATCTGTTTCCTCAAGAAAAAAGATTTTGTCTGTTAATAATGTTCTTTTTTCTTTTTCCTTTTTTAGGTTTTAGCAAATAGATGAACTCAATTCAGATCTCCTAGTCACAAGTGTTTACTGAAGTCTAGTGTGAAGATCTCTGACTGAACCTTCTCTCGTCTACTGTTATTTCTTCTCATCATCCTTTCAAAACACACTTACTGTACACATTCGCTGATGGCGCTAGATTATAGCTTTTTCTTCAGGGGCTTGAACCAGCAACCTTCGGCTTCCCAGCTCGATGTTCATGTTAGAGTTAGGGATCCCATCTTTTGTTCACTTTCACTATCACAATGATACTTTCTTTTCACACTGCCTTTTCTTCTTCCCGTTTCTGCCTTGTAACTACGTTTTCTCACCCATTTTGTCAATGTGGAAACTACTGACCAGTAGAATTGCGTTGGCGGTCTGAGTGACTCAATGTCAGTTAAACACTTACTAGCCACAAAATGCCAAATGAAGCTCAGTTAAACACACAGCATGATGTCAGTCCTTTCAGGAAGTGGATCTAATCCGAGATGCATGTCTTTGCTCTGAGGTTTCAGGTGTGTGCGCTCCTCAGAAGTTGCTGAAGATTTCCTGTTTCTTGCTCCAGTCCATAGGGGGCGCTCTCTTGTTGGCCCGCTTGGCCCGGGCTTTCTGCTTGGCCTCGGCCGCGGTCAGGCTCAGTTGCAGACCGCTCTGCCAGAACGGATCAGATTTGGCATCTCGGTTTGGTTTGCGGGCGTCATCGCTGGACTGATGGTCAGAATCTGTGAGCTATGAAAAGATACAACACGCTTTAAAACACACATGCATGATTGCGGAGAATAAAATATATTGTGCATTTTACTTAAAAAATAATCTCAGCTAACATGAGCAACATTACAGTAAATATTTCCTTACGTACATAATTTGCACATTTTAACGCTTATATTCAAATTGATAAACTCTGCATTCAAGTTATAGATATTTTGTGTTTTTCACCACAAAGTACTGTGAGTCACAGTGAAGCACATAATAATAATGATCTAATTCTTATTTTAATTGATTCATTTAATAATACATTGTATTATTAAATTAATATTAAACCAGATTAATTTATTATTATTATTGTAACAGAAGTTCCTTTATCCGAGACACATTTCTGCCATGGGAGACATTTAAAATTAATTTAATAATAATTATTATAATAATGTATAATTATCAAATTATTATTGTTACCACTATACTAATTATGTATTCTAATGATATATACATTTATAAATATATAAATTGTTAAATTATTTTTAGTGTTACCAAAAACAATGCAAATTATTTACTATTACATTTAGTAATAATATTCAATATTAAAAAATAATATTGAATTATGATTATGATGATGATTAATACAATGTATAATAACAACAATAATCATCATATTATATTATTATTATTATTAAAGTACTATTATTATAATTATTGTTAATCAACAATAAATAATAGTTATTAAATTGATTAATAATATATCAATAAACTATTATTAAAATCAACAACAACTATGATAATAATAATTCTTATTCTATTTAATTAATTAATAAATAATATATTGTATTATTATTATAACAGAATTTCATTTATCCAAGACAAATTCTGCCATGGGAAAAATTAAAACAACATTTTTTTAATTTGTTAATTAAAATTTGAATAATAACCAATTTAATTGGTACCAATAATAATAATACTATATCATATCCATCAGTTATTACTATAAATCAACAATAACAACTATACTAATAATATATGTTAATTTAATAATATTTCATACTGTTAAACGATTATTGTTACCAACAACAACACTATATTCACTATTAAATTAATCTACCATATTAGAACAACAATAATATATCATCATAAAAATGTTACCAACAATAATTATGGCAACTATAATAATAAGGATAATAATGTGTTAAAAGTTCTGAAGGCTAAACACATTTGTTTTGAAGAATTGTTCATTCTGAAAGCACAAAATGGAGACGTATATATTGTATTATGTTGCAAATATTGTTTGAACTGTGTGTGGTCCAGTGTTCCTCACACACACACACCCTGTTGCTGTTGTCGAAGCTGCTGAGTTCGGCGCTGGTCTCGGAGAGAGTGGAGCGAGACGAGGAGCTCCTGTGACTCTGGTGTCTCGGAGAGCCGTCTGTGATTGGTGGATCTGTCAGTGTGATGTTGACGATTGGCGGAGAGATCCCGGGGTTGTCAGATACAGGGCTTTCTGTGCCTTCCATGATCGGCCCGTCCACACAGTCCTCTGTTAAACAGAAAAATAATTACAGTCATCATAACTGATTGTACAATACATACATATGACACGCAAGTGTTTGCCCTGAACATTAGTAATATTTGCGTAGGGCATCGCCATGTTTTGCATAAACTTTCCTTCTAATGAACAGTCCCAGTCAGGTGATCTTTCCAGTTTAGTTTCCAGTTTTATGAGCACGTTTATAGCATTATTATCACATGTTTTATGAACATTTCATTTAACATTCAGCAATATTTTTGCTCTGGACGATGACATCACGGTTTACTCCAGAGGGCCTATATCCATAAATACTTTTCTACAACAAAAATGAACCATCACTGAACTTACTTAAGCTGAACTGTGACGCCATTTTCTTCTATTTATTTTGGTTATTTGGTTATTTTGGTAAAGCTGTGTTGTAAAAGGTGACTTGACTTGACAAACACACACTGTATTGTTACTCTGATGTGTTCATGTGTGTGTTTGTGTTGCAGATGAAGCCAGAGCTGAGCTCATGATCACGGTTTCCACACACACTTCAAATCATAATATTAGAGTGATTTCTGAAGGACCATGTGACACATGTGATAAAGAAAGCCCGTGGTGTACCTTTGAGATGAGTAGATGTGGGCACGATGCCCAGGCGACTGAAGAGCTCATCTGTGTCCGGATCGACCACCAGCAGACGCGTCTCTGTCCCGCCGGCCTTGACCAGCGCCACCACCTCAGCGTGACGCAGACCCTCAATGCTGCAGCCGTTCACCTGGAGACACACACCTCAGGTCAGTTTGGCTTCACACTATATGTGGCTGAGATACGACAACATTTTAAAGTTGTCCGTTCATGTTCGCGATTGTGATCCACTCACATATATATTTATGGTAGGAAATTTAAACAATACCTTCATGGAACATGATCTTTACTTAATATCCTAATGATTTTTTGGCATAAAAGAAAAATCGAGAGTTTTGACCCATTCAGTGTGTATTGCTATTGCCACAAAGACTGGTTTTGTGGTCCAGGGTCACGTACAATATACCAGATTACGAATCCCAATGCATTCAATTCCAGCGTCACATGATCAAAACACGACAGAGAGAGACCGAACCTGTGCGTTTCTGCTTATACACATGCACACTATATTACTTATTCATTATATTCTTTTTATAAACTATATCATATAATATTATATATAAAAGAATTAAATATATTATAATATACTATAAATAATATAAAATTATTTTGATATAACATAATTTCATATAATATAATATTAAATTAAATGATGTATAATACATAATTGGTCTCAATATTTTAAAACAACTTATTATACGGAACTATATTATTTATAATATTGTTTATTATATAATTTAATATAGTCTATTTTACGAAATACTTTCTAAAAATCTTAAAGTTTAATAAAATATATCACAAAATATAATATTAGTATTTTAAATTAATATATTATAATATTATGATAATTAATTATATTTATTTGTTTATAATATATTTTATTATAATATACTAAATATATTATTTTATAACATCATATTATTAAATTGAATTATGTATGTATCATTTGACGTTGTACATATCGATTATATACATAATATATTAGTGCTGTCAAATCAATTAATATATATATATATGAAGAGTTCAGATGCAAAAGCCTCTAAATGCCATTTGAAATTTTCTTCTAAAATGATCATTTTTATCAAGCTTGTATATTTAAGTTCAGTAGTTTCACTTAAATGACAATTAATAGGTAATCTTGATTGCCATTTAAGTGAAATTACTGAACTTAAATATACAAGCTTGATAAAAATCATCATTTTAGAAGAAAATTTCAAATGGCACTTAGAGGCTTTTGCATCTGAACTCTTCATATATATATATATATATATATATATATATATATGTACATATACAAACGTTTATGTTAGATGTGATTGATCGTGTCAATAACATTCAATCACAAATTGATTAATCACATCTAACATAAAAGTTTGTAAATATATAATATGTGTTATACAATAAAACAAACTTTTATGTTAGACGTGATTAATCGTGATTTGACAGCACTAATATATCCATTTATACATAATCTGTTAATACTATTACACATAAATATTATTTATATTGTAATCTACTAAATATAATATAATTATTTATATTGCATAATATAATATAATATAATATAATATAATATAATATAATATAATATAATATAATATAATATAATATAATATAATATAATATAATATAATATAATATAATATAATCGTGTCACACACACAGGGCTCGTCCAGCAGGTGGAGAGAGAGAGGCTGTGTCACTTCCTCTTCCTCTTCCTCTATTTGAAGAAGTCTTACGTAACTCACAAACTTTCATCTGGCATTTGTTTTCCAGCTGTCTCTGCCTGATAATAGTGTTTGGGGTGTGTGTGTTCCTGTGGATGGTGAGACACATAAAAAAACTGATGCAAATGTGAAAGTCGCCCACACAGGAGGAAGGGTGTTTTACCGTGGAAATTGTGGAATAATAATACGCGGTTTGTCAATGGCTTATTAATAAAGCAAACACACACGCAGGGTGTCCACCGCCATGTCACAAGACATCGGATGAATCCAGTCCAGAAAGTGTCACGTCTAAAATCCATGATGCTTATTCTCCTATTGTTGCTTTGAACAGCATTTTTAAGTTTCTATGAGATGAATTAATGCTGAATGAAATTTTACGACGCCCCACACCAGTAGTGATCAAAGAAACGTACAACTCTAGTTGGAAAGCTTCATTAATTCATTAAAGAAAGAAACATTAATTCATGATGATTTTGTGAATTACTGACTATAAATAAGTGTTTTGCTATTTATACTCGAATGCAGTCTGGGACGAACACAGCTGACTGGATTATACGCTGCTCGTCAGTCATAATTACTGATCTGTCTGTGATAATTACAGAAAACGGCTGCAAATTAAATCCATTAGGAGGGATTTGCTCTCTCTGACGATCACGGTGTCTCACACACACACACACACACAAGTATGATTTATACGCTGTTTTCCTCATGGGGACCATTGGCTGGACCCCACAATGTACTGTAGGTGATTTCAGGTTTTACTATACTTGTGGGGACACACAATGTAATATAAACATGAACAAGCACGTACACACACACACACACATAAAAGCAAACTAACTCCCTGCTCTAAAACGGGATCCTCCCTTCACAAAGTGAACAAACCGATCAGACAAACTTCCAGGCGTTTCTCTTGGATTGGCTAATCTGTCTCCCCAGAAGCGGTTTAATCTAATCCAGTGCTGCTAATCTGAGCTCGTGTAATCCCTTCCGATCACCTCGATGAGCCGGTCTCTCGGCCTCAGTCCCGCGCGCTCCGCTGGAGAGTCGGGGTCCACCGAGCGGATGTGCTGACCCGGGTGGGACTTTTTGCAGTGCAGGTTGAAGCCGTAGCCCTGCTCGCCCAGGGTCATGTGACACAGTCGAGGACGCAGGTCTTTCGTTACCGCGTCCACCTCCGATAATGCCTCCTCCTGGAGAGAGAGAGAGAGAAACAACAGATCAGAAATGAAATGGAGAGGAAATATAATGCTCCGTTAAGTCAACAAAACTGGAAAATTGACTGTTTCAGGCTAATAATTAGCTAATGAAACCCGATTCATAAATCAATCAGAGGAATACCGTTAAAGTGTTTACCGCTACAGGTTTTGTCTGGATGTGCAATCAGTCCACATTAACACTATTTTCTGTATTTTTATTTACTTAATACCTATTAATAGGTATTTTCCAATCCTAGGGTGTCATATAGTGACGCTTTTGACATTGCGTCTAAATCCGACACACATGGCACCCTTGAGCGTCAATATAACACGCTTCGGTTATGGGTAGGTTTAGGTTTGGGGTAGTGTTAGGGTTAGACCACTAGGAGGCGCCTTCTGGCCCATATATATCTGCGTCTCATATTGACGCTAAAGGGTGCCATGTGCGTCCGATGTAGACGCGATGTCAAAAGCGTCACTATATGACACCCTAGGATTGGAAAATACCTAATAATAGCTATTAAGTAAATAAAAATACAGAAAATAGTGTTAATTATATATAGTGTGCAGTGTATATTCTGTATTTTTATTTACTTAATACCTATTATTAGGTATGAACATTCCAATCCTAGGGCGTCATATAGTGACGCTTTTGACATTGCGTCTAAATCCGACACACATTCGGTTAATCATCACACACACTTCGGTTATGGGTAGGTTTAGGTTTGGGGTAGTGTTAGGGTTAGACCACTAGGAGGCGCCTTCTGGCCCATATATTTCTGCGTCTCATGTTGACGCTAAAGGGTGCCATGTGCGTCGGATGTAGACGCGATGTCAAAAGCGTCAGTATATGACGTCTGGGATGAGAACGAGCTGGTGTTTTCTGTTAAGAAATTAATATTTGATCATTTTACATGTTGTTCAGATGATCACTTCCTGTCTAAGGCTATGTTTACATGGAAACGATTCTGAAGAGAAAACGCAAAAGTGGCGTTGCGTTATCACTTTTTATTCTTCGTTTAGACGAGCGTTTTTGGTGGGAAATCCGCTTGCAAATGGTGTGAAATTCAATGTAGTATGCACTACAGGTGGCTTGGTGGCAATGTAGAGCACTGCCAGACAACAACCCCAAGTCCGCGCGCCTGCGTACAACCAGAGAATGTCTAATTGAAGAGAATTGGCACTGGCTGGTTACTTCCGGGTTCTGGACTGGCTGCAGTAACGCGTCTCTGTCCATGCGGGGGCGCTCGCGGTCGACTGCAGAATGAATGGGAGTCAATGGGGTTTCACCCCCAGAAATCCACTTTTCTCAGGATGTAATTTTTTGTCAAGTAATTTGAAAGTTGCATTCAAAAGGGAGGGCTAAGAAAATACACTCAGCTGAAAATTGCATTTTTAAGTTCACTTATCTGTTCTAAAAATCCGTTCAAAACTGTGATGACGTCACACAATAGCAGAATGCTAGCGTGTTCCGGCCAACAACGGCCTAACCTGTAAGAAATCAAAAGGGCATAAGTACTCGCTCATTCGACTTCTGGCCTATAATCTATATTGAACTTGCGGAATCAACAATAAAATCTATTTTGATTTAACGACAAGCAGGTGAAAGAGACACATTTAGCCGTTTAGCCCCATAGACTCCCATTCATTCTGCACTTGCCCGCGATCACCCCCAGTGGAATTCTAATGGAACTGCAACCAAGGTGATGCACAACGGGGCTAATAGGAAGTGCCAAGGCTCTCCGTTAGACGGGCTCTGGTACAACCTTCAGTTTCAAGCAGACTTTTGCGTTTTTACCCTTTATTTGTGAACACGACGGTGGAGCGTTTTTAAGATTTCCACTCTTTAGGGTGGTTTCACTTTTTTGCGTTTTTAAGCCCCCAAAACGCCATCGCCGTATAAACGAAAGGCACATCCGATAAAATATTTTTACGTTTTCACCCGCGAGCGTTCTCGTGTAAACAGGGCCTAAATGGGCGAACTCGCACCACTAAATTTTCAGGACTCGCAACCGTATTCTCGGTAAACCCGCGCCGTGTGCACTGCACAACTACTTTTCAGTCACGTCTAGCTAGTCTCAGACGCCGCGACCAGGGACCTACGGCTGAACGTCTGATGCAAACGGCACACTGATTGGTTGAATTCTACGGGACGTGTGTGTCGCGTTCTTTAACGATCCGCCAGGAAACAAAGATGCCGTGATGCCAAACCCCCTTATGGAAAATATTCAACGGTCCAACTGTCTTTAATCCCATTATACATTTTTTGTGCAATCATTTAGGCTTATTTATCTCTCTAAAATAAATTAAAATGAACGCCAACGTAAAAATCATAATATGCCAAATTGCATTTTGTTCATTTAATTAATATTCTATATTCAGCAATATTATGATTATGCTCTCACTAATGTTTAGGTGGGGAGCCAGTTTTCTCATTCAGAGGTGCGTTTCCTAGATCCGTCATTATTACCAATAGAGTTCAATGGAGCTTCTGGTTTAATGACAGACACTGGATGAAAACTACAGCTATATGTGTCTCAGTCACCCCTAGTCACATGTCTTCCTTTGTCCTGTTTTCCCGCCACTCATCTGTTTCTATGGTAACTGTCATTTAGTTCATTATCTGTACTGTGTACTTAAGCCCTGTGTTGTTGCTGATGTTTGGTTGTTCTGTTCATGTTTCTTTTGTTCCAGTTTGCGAGTATTCAAGTTTGTTTGAATAAACACTGGTGCATTTAAGATCCTGCATCCTTCCCTGCTTCAACTGCAGGACCCTGGACCTCCACGAGGACGTGCGAGTGCGTGACCAGTGGCTCGTTTCCTTACAGAAGTGAAAGACGCCCAGAAGGAATAAGGGACATTCTGTGAGACACCATGTCACTTCCTGTTCTAAGACAATACCAGGGTGGTGTCTGTTTGTGTCCCATGGGGAAGAGTGACTACAGAACCTCGCCTTACAAACACACACATGTGCTCTACCTCCTGAGGGTGAGACCGCTTAATCTAATCTTACACACACACACACACATAAAACAACGCTCTCACTGAATTCTGGGAAAATTTCCCAGAAATCAGACACCCCGGACCAGAGAGTGTGTGAACAAAGCAGGTAAATGAGAATTAAGGTCACTGAGAGAGAGAAAGAGAGAGGATGAGGACAGCGAATGAATGAGAGACACAGAGAGATGGACATATAGTTTCACTTAAAGGGGACAGATCTGTTTTTACAGCAAAAAATTCAAATGTGATGCCTTAAAGAGCTATTTGTACCTTAACTTATTTTAGTGTATAATGCAAGTCATGGTTTCTTGCGTGATTAACAGTCATAATTACAGTCTGATTTTGTTACTGTACCTTTAAGGCTTCCGTATATAAAGTGTACCTACCATATGCACTACTGTTCAAAAGTTAGGGCTCATAAGACACATTTTTGTTTATCATTATTTCATTTCAAGTCCCCCTGTGGTGAAAATCAAGCTTTTAGTGTTGTTTATGTGTCTATGTGGTGTTTTAATATGCTTTACGACAAATCATGTGTAAATAAGTCGACGGCATTGCTGAGTTTTTTCTCAAAAACTGAGTTTCTGACATCACACACTACCTAGTAACCAATCAGGTCAACAAGTGGAGGCGGAGCTCATTTGCATATTCATAGAATCACGTATACTAAATGAGGCACGGGTGTCGAGTTACATTCAAGCTATTTTAAGGAAAAAAACAAGCTATTTTTCGGTGATCAAAGATGAGTTTTAAAGGATAAAATGATTGACTACGGGAGACTTTAAGAACAAATTATAAAGAAATTAATATTTTAATTGAGCAAGGATGCATTATTAGTACTCACATAGTTCTTTTGGGTTTTCTGATTTCAGGATTTTATGTACAAACACCTACCAATGCTACTACGAATCGTGTTGAAAAGGACTTCACAGATCCACACAATAAAGACACTGCTGCTTTCACACAGACTGTACCTGCGTGCTGGTCTGCGATGTGCTGAGGTCAGTGATGAGGTCACAGACGGGGTCAGGCTCGGGCGTGGTGCTGGATTCGACAGTGAGTTCGGTGAAGGGTTCAGTCTTGGGTTCACGGGGGGACGCCAGACGGGCACAAGCTCTGTAGAGCGGGGAGCCGTTCATCACTCTTCCAGGGCTGCTGGGACTCTGAGAGAAATACCAGAAGACAAGACAGTCTGTGGTCGGTTCTGTACTCGGTAGTTTCACTGGTCAGGTGTGTGAATGCCAGCATTGTTTGTGTTGTGAGAGGTCAGATGCTAGTGTTTGGGGAAGCTGCTTTTAAACTGCTGTTTGCCAAGACACAACCTACTCATAATTTAAATCACAGTCAAACTAGCCTCTTGAAGATATGATTCATTTCTATAATCATAAAGATCTATATAAAATTATAAGATAACCCATTTTTTATTGTTTTTGAAGCCCTTCCTGTAGGGTTATCTCTAAAAATTCATCACTGATCACCTAAATGACATATTTAAATGTTTTTACCTTGAAAAAAATTCTTCATGTCTTAAAATAGCTTGAATGTAACTCGACACCGTTGCCTCATTTAGTATACAGGGTTCTATGAATATGCAAATGAGTGCCAACTCCACTCCAACTCCACTCACTCGTTGATCTGATTGGTTAGTGTGTGACGTGTTTATGAGACTGTCTTTGGTTCGCTGCAGTTTTAAGCAGAAAATACTCTGTCGACTTGTGAATTTACACATGGATTGTCTTAAAGCAAATTAAAAACACCACATAAACAACTTTAAAACGTTGATTTTCACCAAAGGGGGACTTTAACTGGTAAAAACACAGTAACATGAGACCTCAGATGGCTTATTTTGTATACAAACGCTCTTAGAAGAAAAGGTTCTATATAGAACCTTAAAAGGTTCTATCAGCGCAACGTATTTGGAACCCCTAAAAGGTTCTATACACTCTTAAAAAAAGGGTTCCTCTGGGTTCTATATAGAACCCTGGGGTTCTATACTTGGCCAATAGAACCTTTTACCAAAAAAAATGGTTCTATATAGAACCATTTTGGAGTTCCATATATGAAGCGGGGGATGGAACCATTTCTGGTTCTAAATAGAACCATTTCTTCTAAGAGTGTAATGACAACAACAGCAATTTGTAGCAAGTTACATGAATAGATTAATTCGGATTAGTTAGTAATACCAATAAGACTCAACAATTCTTCCACCAAGTAATTCAGTTAATTAGGTCAATTACAGGCTGTTCATGGTTGCCAAGCAACTTAGCTAATTAATATGGCTCATCTAATCAGAATTAAGAGTCAGATTTATTACAAAAGCTTCAAATCAGATCAATATTTACATGAAGCGAAGTCAGGAAGAGTTCAGTGAGGCTCACAGCATCAAACTTGAACACTTATTATAACTACCGGCTGAAATACACTACATGACTTTTAATATATTAAGTTAAAAACCCTTTAAAGTGAAATTTGTCAGCTCTGATTGGCCAAAATCTGCAGACAGCTAGGCATTGAGTCGCCCAGACTGTAAATTGGGGCAAAAATATGTGCCAAAGTGTAGGAATACCAGCCTTAATGAAACTAGAAAACACTCTAATTTCTATAAAAGAAATTAGAAATAGTACAGAAATGGCTTGTTACTGGAAAAGCAACACTTTTTAGTTGGTTTAGTCACTTTTAGTTTCTCTCAAACACTGGTAGACGGTTGTTGGATTGAATCCCATTGCAGATGGCGTTCAGAAAGTCTGCAGCTAAAAATAAAACCAACAATAACATGATTGCATGTTGACTATCAGTGGATTTGGGCTTACAGGACTCTTGCTGTGTTGATCCTATACCTGTCTGCTGTCAACACACCTCACCTGACCTGGACACATCAAGGCGCAGAAAGTGTCTTCGGGTGGATTAAATGTATCCCTCGTTTCTATGTAATTTTAGGCTTGGCTGATTTCACATCTGCGCAAATCAAAAGGTCTGATTGTCCTCAAAATCAAATATTGCAACGTTTAATAATCATAATTTTTTTAAAACATATACACTCTTTAGAAAGAGGGTTTTCCCAGCGATGTCATTAAAGGGGTGATTAATGTGTTCTTTGAGGTCCACTTATACTGTATCCAGTGTAGACAGCGTCGTTGATTATAATGCGTTCTTTTAGCTTTTGACGCACTGCAATGCTCACAATACAGTGTAACCAAATGTTAGCCGTTATTAAGTGACTGAATGCCAGTGGGCGGGGCCTATGGTCCAATAATGTAAAACTATTGGTCGATGTATTGCTCTGAAGGCAGTCATATGCAAATGTATTTGCCTGTGTGACGCCACAGATCCCGCAATATCCAAACAAGCCGTTTTTGGAGTTTGATTAAATAAATGCTTTGTTTATAATGAGGATGATATTTTAAGCTATGAAATTTAAAGGTTGTTTTAATGGTACTAAGACCTCTTACATTGATTTCTCATGTCTCGACCCCTTTAAAGAACCATTTTTGATTCCCCAACAATTCTTAAAATAACCATTTTTTTATCAGTGTGAATTTTGTTTTTTAATAATCTAAACTAAAGAACCCTTTTCCACTATAAAGAACCCTCTGTGGAATTGAAAGGTTCCATTGGTGTTAAAGGTTCTTCTTCTAAAGAACCTTAAGAGTGTTCTTAAGAGTCTATATGGTTTTTATTAGGTTTTAGTTTATATTATATATATTTCATTTCAATTTGAGTGATGAAAAAAAATTCATGTTTTTTATTTAGCATTAGTCAACAATAATAACAACCCTGCTTTGCAAAAATGTCACGTAACCTGACATGTTCACACACCTAATTTGACTAGCTTCTATCAAGTGACACATTCATTTCCTCCCGTTTTACATTGAGGGTTGGATTAGACCAAAAACTTGGTATTCCCCTGAAGAGCACATGCAAACACAAGCACTTCTGGAGCATATAAAGGTCCGGAATTAACTAAATGTGGCACATGGAATTGAATGAACCATTTCCCAACCCTATCCTTCATACAGTATGATCTAAACATAGCACACAGCTCCTCTCTGGGCTGGATTTCCCCTAGACTTCCTCTCAAAGAGTCTCCCACAACAAGAGGAAGGTGCATGTACGGAGAAGGAGAAGGTATGGCATGTTGCTTCCAAGTCCACCTATTTTATGAAAATAATACCTTGTTGATGAAGATGCCCTCTGAGCTGTGTCTGCTGTAGATAGGCGTGGCGGGGTCCCGCGGGGAGGCGCGCGGAGAAGACGCCGCAGAGGAACGAGCAGACAGAGAGCCCATCTCAATCGCCCTCTCCTCCGTACACGGTAGCCCGTGGAACTTCAGGAACTCGTCGGTGACCCGGTCCACCACCAGCAGTCTGGTGCGGTGCTCCACCTCCAGGATCCGCTCGACAACCTGAGAGAAGAGGAACCACTGAAACGTATCACACAGACATTACCACTGACAATTTAATCATAGTATTTTATTCTTTGAGGTACTGTGCATACTCTCTTTTGCGTACTCTCCCAAAGGTATTGCGTTCCTAGAGAAATGTTGCATTCTCTTGGAAAATCACTGAAACTGAAAGTTTTTCCTCCCACCTCGTGTTATTTCCATTACAAACATTTAGCAAATAAACGCAAAATTTCTCGGGGGAACGTGATGTTTCTCGTGGGAGCGCAAAAGTTTCTCGCGAGTGCGCAGATGTTTCACTAGCGAACGTAAAGTGTCTCACGGGAGCGCAAAAGTTTCACAATCGAATGCAAAGTTTCTTGCGGGAGTGCAAAAGTTTCACTAGTGTATGCAAAAGTTTCTCTAGTGAACGCAAAAGTTTCTCGTGGGAGCACAAAAGTTTCTCCAGCCAACGCAAAGTTTCTCGCGGGAGCACAAAAGTTTCACCAGCGAACACAAAGTTTCTCGCGGGAGCGCAAAATTTTCACTAGTGAACGCAAAGTTTCTCACGGGAACACAAAAGTTTCACTAGCGAACGCAAAGTTCCTCGAGGGAGCACAAAAGTTTCACTAGCGAACGTAAAGTTTCTCGCGGGAGCACAAAAGTTTCACTAGCGAACGCAAAGTTTCTCACGGGAACACAAAAGTTTCACTAGCGAACGCAAAGTTCCTCGAGGGAACACAAAAGTTTCACTAGCGAACGTAAAGTTCCTCGCGGGAGCACAAAAGTTTCACTAGCGAACACAAAGTTTCTCACGGGAGCACAAAAGTTTCACTAGCGAACGCAAAGTTTCTCACATGAGCACAAAAGTTTCACTAGCGAACGTAAAGTTTCTCGGGGAGCACAAAAGTTTCACTAGCGAACACAAAGTTTCTCACGGGAGCACAAAAGTTTCACTAGCGAATGCAAAGTTCCTCGAGGGAGCACAAAAGTTTCACTAGCGAACGCAAAGTTTCTCGCGGGAGCACAAAAGTTTTTCTAGTGAACACAAAGTTTCTCGCGGGAGCGCAAAAGTTTCACCAGCGAACACAAAGTTTCTCGCGGGAGCGCAAAAGTTTCACTAGCGAATGCAAAGTTGCTCACGGGAGCGCAAAAGTTTCACTAGCGAATGCAAAGTTTCTCGCGGGAGCGCAAAAGTTTCTCTAGTGAACGCAAAGTTTCTCGCGGGAGCGCAAAAGTTTCACTAGCGAACGCAAAGTTTCTCGCGGGAGCGAAAAAGTTTCACTAGCGAACGTAAAGTTTCTCGCGGGAGCGCAAAAGTTTCACTAGTGAACGCAAAGTTTCTCGCGGGAGCGCAAACGTTTCAAAAAAGTTTCATCAGCGAACGCAAAGTTTTTCGCAGGAGAAACGTTTTGCCAGACAAATCAAAGTTTCTCAGAGCAACACATATTTTTTACCATTAACCATGTCCCTTAGGGCAGTGGTTCTCAACTCCAGTCCTCGGGACCTACTGCTCTGCATACATGAAGATTATGTCATTCAGCATGGTAATAGCATTTTAAATATTTATTGTACCATGGATCACCATAATTGTTCAGATATAAAGACACTACAGTAAAAAGTAAAGAAAGACAAAAATCTATAAACTTATAAGGCGGTCCACTGTTTATAGTTTCCCCCAGTGAAGTAATAACTATGGTAAAATGTGATTACCACGGTAAATGTTTGTTAGGGTGGAGGCGAAAGTGTAAGTTTCGCAGAAGCGAGACTGAACTGTTTTCTTAACATCTACACACAATGATACAATCTTAAGCAAATATACATTAACTCTATTAGCCCTATTGGAATAGCCTACAACACGTCCGGTGTCTCAAAAACACACTCAGATCCCTATCTAGACAGCAGTGCGGGTCTCACGCGCGTTAGGAATGGCGTGTTTTACAGGATGATGCTGTCTAGGTAGGCATCTTACTAGGTTTTTTTTGGGACACGCCCCCAAGTGAAGTGGTCCAACAGGTTCTCCTCTCTCATTTACCTGGTGATGCGTCTCTTCCTCCACGTTCACCCCGTTCACCTCCACCACCCGATCGCCGGACCGGAGCCCGGACAGGTCTGACGGGGAGCCCGGCTCGATCTTGCGGATGAACTGCGCTCCACTGTTGCGCTCCCCGTGCAGATGAAACCCGTACCCACGATCCCCTTTGGTCAAATAACACAGCCGTGGACGAAGCTCCCGCTCCAGGATCTCTCTCTCCAGAGTGTTCGCCATATCCAACTGCACTCTTGTTCAGTCACAACATGAATAGGCCTATATATATGCTCCTATATGATGAGTTTTAAAGGTGCATTATTCCACATGCTGAGTCTGCAGCCGTTAAAATAAACAACATAGCCTACAAAACGGTGAGAAATAATAGGCTATTTTTTGTACTGATTTAATTTTAAAATATAAATAGCCGACTGTAGGCCTATATTAATAAATACCAATAAAAACTAAACAACACATAAAACACCGTACACGTCAGCGCTAAACGCGCTTAAAACCGTGTCCTCCGTTTGCTTAAATAAATCCCGCCGTGTTAAAAATATGTTTACTTCAATTTGTGGTGAAAAACAGATCTTTACTCGAGTGTATCGTCCACAAAATGACTCTCTTCATCACACTTACAGTCCGATAAGTTTTTTTCAGTAGGCGTTCCGTCAGTCGCGCGCATTCCACAAGCGTGCCAGTGATACACGGATGCGTATTCCTCTAAAATAATATAATCAATCAATAATAGTCTAAATGAGTCTCTGAGGCATCAGTGTGCGAGTGTGAGAACGGAACAGGTGGAAGAGGATGAGAGAAAAACTAAAGTGTGTGTGTGTAAAAGAGAGAGAGAGAGAGAGAGAGAGAGAGAGAGAGAGAGAGAGAGAGAGAGAGAGAGAGAGAGAGAGAGAGAGAGAGAGAGAGAGGAGGAGGAGGATTTGAGAGATCAAATGTTGGATAAGTCACAGATATCCATGCGGAACTCTTCCTCTTCATGTGTGCTTTTGGACAGATCTGGGATCAGCTCATCTAACCCACACTGATTCAATAACACATACATAACTGAGGAGCAGTGGTGATCAACTACTGTATAAGGTCCATTCTCACCCACTGCATTTAAAACAGGTCAGCTCGCCCACACGCTCAACACCAAAACACAACGAATAAATCATCCAGTTAGAAACCAGTAGATTTGCAATGCGTACAATGATGACGCTAGATGTACTGTATTTGGTAATCTGACGCTTTCCCACCTCATATTCATATCTGTAAATGTGTGTAGGTGCATTTTTTTGTGAAGTGATTTTTGACCAGTCTGCCCTCTAGTGTTGACAAAAACTGTTAAGGCTCAAATTAAATGTTCAAAATGAAATATATTGAATAATGAATGTTGCAAACAGTAGTGCGCTATTCACGTGACCTCATGACGTTGCACGTATAGTTCAGTGATTCGCGTCAACAACATATTTCAGAAGAAATGGTTATTTTATTAAATTGTGACACACCGTCATTAAAATGTTTGGGGTAATAAAAAATAAAATAATTCTATTCCGCAAGGTTGCATTAAATTGTACAGCAAAAACGTATTAAGTGTAACAAAATATTCCGATTTTAAATATGTTGTTCTTTTGAACTTTTTTATTCATTAAAGAATCCTGAAAATATGTATCCTGGTTTCCACAAAAATATGAAGCAGTTTAACTCTAATCAGCACTGATGATTATAAGAATTCAGCTTTGATCACAGGAATGAATTACATTTCACTATATTCTCATAGAAAACAGCTATTTAATTTTTTTTTTACTGCATTTTTGATCAACTAATGCTGCCTTAGTGATCAGAAGAGACTCTTTCAAAAACATTAATTATTCAGAACTTTTGACAATTTGCATATTGTACCTAATAAACACACTGCAAAAGTACACTAATATGCTGTTCTATACTGAATACTAATGCGCAGTGCTGCGCATTTATATCATGGGTTACAATGAGATGTTTAAGATGTCTGTGTTACAGTGCAATTATATAATAGTAATATTAGAGCAATATTAATTAAAAAAATGTTTTTACTATAGGATTAGGGTTTTGGTTGAGGGTTAGTTGCATGTAATTATGCCTAATTTACTGGTAAGTACATGTAACAAGGACACTGTAAAATAAAGTGTAACCACATCATTTATATGGAAAACTGACTCAATAGAAGGTTTACCGCAGTGCATTGTGGGATGCAAATTTTGGCCATTTTTATGATATTTTATGAAGGAAAATTTGAAATAAGAGTAGTATGCTGTTCTAACAATGTCCTTTAATCTAAAAGTACTATAAAACACGTTTTCCATTTAGTTACAATATTGATAACAAACGTAATCAGTTCAAGCTGAATGTAAGACAGAGGTCTGTCCTGATGGTGGCGCTCCTGCTTTCCCCTTCTGTCGGTTTCCTCTGGGCTCCTCATGTCCCAGGTTTCCTTTAACCTTTGGTGTTGGAGATGCTGGACTGGACTTGAGCCTCTTCCTGGGAGAGGATTGGTGTGCGGCGGGACAGGTGTGCTGATTCAAACACACGGAGCACAGCGGGCCGACAGGTAAACACACCTGCTGCCCGAAACCAACCAGCAGCCAGTTGATCTCGCTCCACAGATCTCTGCAACAAGGGGAAGGGCAGAAAAGAAAATTGCGGTACTTCAATGAAATTGTCTTTTGGAAATGAATGTTGGAAACAACAGGACGAAAATAGAGGTTACCGTGGTAACCACTCCTCGAGAGCTCTCCGTGTCTCCTCTGGTGTCTTGGTCTTTTTCCTGGTCCATCCGAGCCTGTTTGAGATTCGGTGGACGTGGGTGTCCACGCCTACACACACAAAATATTATAAATACAGTATCTACGACTAAAAAATTAAAACTTGTCAAAGTTTAAAGAAAGATTTGAAATTTTTAAGAATGTAGGGTGTCGTTTAAGAGATTGGTTGCTAAGCAGCTGTAAGAGTGTTCTGCTAGTTTAGAGGGCACTGCAAGGTGGTTGCCATGGTATTCCGAACGGTTGCTAGGCAATTACAAGGGTATATAGTTCTAGGTGTTCTAGTAGTTCTATACTGTTTAATACATAGGTGTTCTAGCTGTTTTACATGTAGTTGCTAGGGTGTTATGGCTAATATATAAGTAGTTGCTAGGGTATTCTGACTGTTTTATAGGTGGTTGCTAGGATGTTCGGACTGTTTTATAGGTGGTTGATAGGGTGTTCTGACTGTTGTATATGTAGTTGCTGTTTTTGAGGTAGTTGCTGTTTTTTTGTCTGTTTTACAGGTGGTTGCTAGGTTGTTCTGACTGTTTAATAGGTGGTTGCTAGGATGTTCGGACTGTTTTATAGGTGGTTGCTAGGGTGTTCTGACTGTTGTATATGTAGTTGCTACTAGGTTGTTCTGACTGTTTTATAGGTAGTTGCTGTTTTATAGGGTGTTCTGACTGTTTTAAATGTGGGTGCTAGGGTGTTCTGACTGTTTTATATGTGGTTGCTAGGGTGTTCTGACTGTTTATATGTTGTTTCTAGGGATTTTTGGCTGTTTTATAAGTAGTTGCTGTTTAATAGCTACCTATTAAACCCTATTGCTAGGGTGTTCTAGCTGTTTCATGGGTACTGTAGTTTTTAGGGAGGTTTGGCTGTTTTATAGGTAGTTTCTAGGGGGTTTTGGCTGTTTTGTACCTAGTTGCTAGGGTGTGCTGGATGTTTTATAGGTAGTTGCTGGTGTTTTGGATGTTTTATAGGTGGTTGCTAGGTTGTTCTGACTGTTAGGTGGTTGCTAGGGTGTTCGGGCTGTTTTATATGTAGTTGCTAGGGTGTTCAGACTGTTTTATAGGTAGTGTCTAGGGATTTTTGGCTGTTTTATAAGTTGTTGCTGTTTAATAGCTACCTATTAAACCCTATTGCTAGGGTCTTCTAGCTGTTTCATGGGTACTGTAGTTTCTAGGGAGGTTTGGCTGTTTCATAGGTAGTTTCTAGGGGGTTTTGGCTGTTTTGTACCTAGTTGCTAGGGCGTGCTGGATGTTTTATAGGTAGTTGCTGGTGTTTTGGATGTTTTATAGGTGGTTGCTAGGTTGTTCTGACTGTTACGTGGTTGCTAGGGTGTTCGGGCTGTTTTATATGTAGTTGCTAGGGTGTTCAGACTGTTTTATAGGTAGTTTCTAGGGGTTTTTGGCTGTTTTATTGGTTGTTGTTGTTTTATGGGTAGTTGTTAGGATGTTTTTGTGGTTTTATAGGTAGTTGCTAGGGTGTTCTGACAGTTTTACTGGTAGTTGCTAGGGTGTTCTGACTGTTTTATAGTTGCTGGTGTTTTGGATGTTTTATAGGTGGTTGATTGGTTGTTCTGACTATTAGATGGTTGCTAGGGTGTTCTGGCTGTCTTATATGTGGTTGCAAGAATATTCTGCGATGATTTTTCTCCGTTAACAGAACATAAAGAAACATCGTCAAGTCAAGATAATAAGTTAGCTTCCTCCCTACCGATGCCTGAAACCTGGTTCCAGGCGATGTCCATGGCCAAGTGGGCCATCTTAGGGCCGACGCCCGGCAGACGCATCAGACCCTCCAATGTGTCAGGAATGTCTCCGCCAAACTCCTGCTGGATCAGAGCCGTGGCCTGCTTGATGTACTTCACCTTTGTCTGAGAGGACACTAGTGAGTTTTTGACTCTTGAAATCTGTTGCCCTAATTATATACACATGTATTTGAACACTTATGTGACATTTACCCTCCAGAAGCCCACAGGGTAGATGAGTTTGCCCAGAGTTTCCTCATCCATGTTGAGTATTGCGTCCACGCTGAGGTCATGCTCACGTAACCTCTGCATAGCGCCAGCCGTCACAAGATCTTTCGTTTGACTGGACAACATTAAAGAGATCAGCACGTGGTAACGACGCACCTGAGGAAGGAAGAGAGAAAGCTGATTGGCTGTCGATTACCTCCGGTGGTCTGCGATTGGTTCTCGCTCACCTCAGGTGGGGCCTCTGTGTCGTAGCATTTTTCCGCTCCCATTTGGTCCACAGGAGCGTTCCGTTTGCTCCTCATCTCCCTGATAAATGACAGCTGTGTTCTCCAATCACACGGTTCCCTCTTAAGCCCTGCCCCTTCCTCTTCATACTCCACCTTTAAACTGCCCCGCCTTGTTTTCCTAGATGACATCACAATGGCTTGATTATCCACTGCTTCTTCCTTCACTTTTATGGTTGTCTTTTTGCAATTTGACACAGTTTCTGTGCAAAAAAAGGAAATATGCATGAATAATGATATAATATATTTAGAATAGCATTGTTTAAAATAGTTTTAGCACTACCTGTGCAGTTCATCTGACCTGTAGGAGGCTGTGCGTGCGTCTGCAGTGAAATACTCTGCTCGAGTACTTCTGCTTTCACTTTTGGAGGATCATCTTCTGATTTGAGCCCTTGAGCCATTCTGGATCTCAATCTACGGATTCCTCCTTTATTTACAGCACTTTCCCCCATCCTATCATTTGAAGAAGTGTCTAACCCAGATGTTGAATCGGTGAAATATGGAGAGTTCATTCTTACAGTCAAACTACGAAACATATACACACATAAGCTCCGGACTGGCGCCAACATTAGTTGACACTTTACGTCACAAATATAACATTAGTTTTATTAAACACATCTCCTAAACCCAACATCAGTATCCATACTGTCGAAAGAACGCGATGCCAGACTCCTGAGTGAATCATTCATTTGAGCCGAATCTTTAGAATGAATTCGTTCGCAATCACAACACCTCTCTGAGCGAATCGTTTAGAAATCGGATTGAATGGATCCGAGTGGAATGACACAAAGGACTCACTGAAACGACTGTTTGATCGGGTTCATTGAAAATGAAATGATTCTCGGATTACACGGTTTCATAAGCGTAAATAATTTGTAGTTTCTTAACACAGCATGCGTGTGTAAAGTGAACGAGCACTCGCTGCTCTCGGAACTACAATTCCCGGCCGTTGGCAGTCACTGACTTGTTTTTGTAGGAAGTCCATGTCAGTGTAATAAACATGACTTCCGGGGGGCAGTAAAGGGGGCTGGTGTGAGAGCTGGGGCAGTTTCTGCTGGGTGAGACACTGTGTCACATATAAATGCATAAATCTGGAGCGATTCGGCTATATCTTTTAATTTATATCTTCTCAATATCAGCCCACTTCTATCATCCGCAGACGGTAAATAACAGTGTTTGTTTGTTGCCTTGGCTTGTTTGTGTATTGAGACTGTTTTATTTATTTATTTCGCCTTGTTTATTTGTCCACAGCGGGTATCTGCGTGTATTTAAACGGTTTATTTGTCTTGTTTATTTTCAGGTATTGTTCTCTGTGACAGCCAGAGAAATATTCAATATTAAATGCACGCTTTTTGTGAGCTTGGACTGAACTGAACTGTCACGAGGTGTCAGACGTTTGACTTCTGTGTATTGTTTTTCTGCCCTGTTTTCATGACAAAAGAGGCAATATTTCACTGGAATATACATTTATTTATGTCGCAAAATGAGTTATGACTTAATTTATGACGTCTCAAGGGGTCTTAAAACCGTTACGTGCACGCGCAGGTCTCCTGAGGTCAAATGTACTTGAAATGACATGTCAGAAATCACACATGTAAGATTGTTTGAAGGATTTTTCTGACTCTGGGACTACACTACCAGACTATTTAATATATGTGTGATATCTTTCATTAACAACATAAAAATCATTTATTCGTAATTCTTAAGATATATTACAAAGAAAGAAAAATAATATATATAGGTGTAAACTAAAGTATCTCTCATTCCATCTCGTTCAGGGTCTGTCACAGGTGTGAAGATGAATAAACAGCCCAGTAAAGAGTCTCTGCGGGACCGGCTGAAGGGAGTGTTTGGCCTCGGCCCGCCACGGCCCCACAGCAAGCAGACGGAGAGCAAACCCTCAGAGTTTATCATCACACTGGAAATCCTCATGGTCAGAGATGCTCTAACTGAACGTTCACATCTTCTGTACTTCTTGTGTTCCTCATATAATCTCTCTTATCCCATCGTTCAGGAGCTCACTTCAGAGTTCAGCCTAAACCACCGGATCAGAGTCATCCACCAAGTGTGTGAGCTCGCCAAATCCAAGAAGTTTGAGGAGGTGAGATCGTAGAGGTGCAGCTGAATGTATATGTGCGGATAAGTGGATCTAAAGTGTGTGTGTGTTTCAGCACGCGGTGGAGGCGTTATGGAAGGCCGTGGAGGATATGATGCACCCCGATCAACCGCCTGAAGCCCATCATGCAGTGCTGGTGCTGCTGAGAGCCATTATACAAGGACAGGTGTGCATTTTCAACACTTTAGGAACAACAGTGCTGTGCCCTGCGAACAGAGCTCACGTTCTCTTCATGCTCTTCTTGTGTAGGGTGAGCGGTTGGGTCCATTGAGAGCGTACTTCTTCAAGATCATTCTGGACTATCAGCCCTCTAATGAAGATATGGCCGAGAGACTGGAGGTGTTCAAGGCCCTCACGGAGAACGGGAAAGACATCACTTACCTAGAGGAGGAGATCGGTATGTTGTTTATACATATGTATTTATCAGTCCCTCCAGAAAAACGCGATTATGCGATCGCTGAATTCAATGCAAAATCAGCCAAAGTCCGCATATTTATGCGGGGGCCGCATTTTTTCAAATACGCTGCACTTTCGCCGCATAAATTGCCGATTTCCGTGCAAAATATGCGGGGTTTGCATAATTTCATAATCCTCGCATTTTCGTTGCAAAAAAAGTCACATGTATCTTAGCAGAAAGTTGAAAAATGTTGCGTTTGCTTCACACAAGAGCAGCCATTTCCCCCTGTTTCCATGGGAACGTTATGAAGTGACGCAATTACGCGACGCCAGACAGACTCACGGAGGCGATTGACATCTCACAAATCGAACTCGTATAACTGTCTGTCGAACGTTCTACTGTCACATCGTTACTTAATAAACAACATAAGATAAAAGAAGTAGCATCAAACAGAAATTACCCGTACACATGGGGTGTTCGAGGCGCACATATAACACTGCAGAGAGTTCAACAGGGAGCGCGCAGCTCTTAAAGGGGCCACACCTTATTTACACTCGTTACAGTATGAAATAAAACAAGATGAGAAATTAAATATTCCCAGCACTTTCTATGATGTAGTATGCTTGTTTATCAAAGGAAGTAATAAGAAATGACTCTTATATTAACAGGATGTTGGGGGAATCACTTTTTTTCTCTTTTTCATCAAACCGCAATTTTTGCAAGTTCCCTCAATTTTTGCAAATTCCAGCAATTTCATCGCATAAAATTGCATAAATATCCCACATATTCCATCGCATTTTTAAAGAAAACTGGCCGCATAATCAATCAATTTTTGCCCGCAACAATCACAAAAAAACTCCGCGTTTTTCTGGAAGGACTGAATACTATTATGGTAAATATTAAATATAAATCGCAAATTTTTTCACAAATTTTTGGAAATTACCACCACAAAATCAGTCATTTTGATCGCAAAAAATCACAAAAAAAAAATCGTGAAATCCTGGAGGGACTATATGGGGCTGTTTACACCTGTTATTAAGATGTGTTTTCGTCAATCTGATTACAAGGTGTAAATACAGGTGTAAACAGGGTTTTGAGCTCGTCCACTTTGCAAAATGTGTTAAACACATTTGTCCGGATTGCTTTCATAGTGTAAACGCCCATGTGGTCGACTGTGTTCAAACAGCCACAAAAGACCCTCTTCTCTCCGTCTACTGATCTAATGCGTGACATTATGAAGAGCGGGGTTTAAAGTATCGGCTGGAGACTCAAGTTTGGTTTGAAGATGAAAAATGTGTCAAGCACAATGTTATCTCATCATTCCTGATTTTTAACACGCACTCGCAGCGTTCGGCTGATCTTGCGTCTGTCAGAGCGGAAACTAAAGCTGATGCTCACTGTGTTTTTCCGTCGTCTCCGGTCCCTGTCCATTAGATCGAAAAGATCTGAAAACACACACTTTTACCCGCCAAAACACATCTTAAAGGAGTAGTTCACTTTTAAAACAAAACTTTTGCTGATAATTTACTCGCCCCCATGTCATCCAAGATGTCCACGTCTTTCTTTCTTCAGTCGAAAAGAAATTAAGGTTTTTGATGAAAACATTCCAGGATTTTCTCCATATAATGGACTTCAATGGGAACCAAACAGTTCAAGGTCCAAAAGACACTTTCAGTGCAAACTGCAATATGTTCAAAGGGCTTTAAACGACACCAGACGATGAATAAGGGTCTTATCAAGCGAAACGATCACTCAAATGCTTAAATTTGAAATCAAATGCTCGCTCAAATGCTCGCCTTGCTCTGTTCTGTGTGACTCTCCTGTTCGAACTCATTCATCAAAATTAACGAATCTTTTTCCGAGTTATATGGTTCATTCAACGAACGAAACAAACGAATTGACTCGGAAAAAGATTCGTTCATTTTGATGAACGAGTTCGAACAGGAGAGTTACGAACGCTCATCACAGAAACAGAGCAAGGCGACCATTTGAGCTTATAAAACTTAAACTTTGTTATTTATTTATTAAATGAGCGATCGTTTCGCTTGATAAGACCCTTATTCATCGTCTGGAATCGTTTAAAGCCCTTTGAACAGTTTGCAGTTTGCACTGAAACTCTCATTTGGACCTTGAACCGTTTGGTTCCCATTGAAGTCCATTATATGGAGAAAATCCTGGAATGTTTTCATCAAAATTTTTTATTTCTTTTAAACTAAATGAAAGAATGACATGGACATCTTGGATGACATGGGGGTGAGTAAATTATCAGCAAAAGTTTTTTTAAAAGTGAACCACTTTTAACACCAGGAGTAAACAGGGCCTAAAACTCATTTACTCACCCTCATGTTCTCCCAAACCTGTGTGATTTTCTCTCTCTCTCTCCGGTGTCCGTCTGAGCCGCTGTTTTCCGAATAATGACTGTGAATGGTGTTTGTGTGTCTTTCAGCTCGGTTCGTCCTGCTGTGGATGGAAATCGGTCTGTCCTCTGATTTCCTGCATGTCCTCGTGAACCTGGTCAAATTCAACTCGTGCTACCTGGATGAGAACGTCTCCCTCATGGTCCAGTAAGAAAACACTCGCACATCAATCTCAACAAGTATCATAATGGATGATGAAGTATCCAGCACACATGCTCCTCCTCCTGTAGATTTCTAAAAGTGGATAATGAATATGCAGAAAATCGAAATGTTAGAAGGTTTTCATCTTTGTTTCTCACAGGAAAATCTGCTTTCTGTGTAACCGGACGACTTCCTCCACCGATATTGAGGTACGTCAGATCCATTATTTCAGGATTACCATCAAGCCAGTGATTGCTGATCCTTTATCTGTGTGTGTGTGTGTAGGTTGCGCTGCAGGTGTTAGACGCTGTGGTGTGTTATAACTGTCTGCCCTCGGACTCTCTGACGATGTTCATCATCACGCTGTGCCGAACTGTTAATGTGAAGGAGTTCTGTGAATCCTGCTGGAAGGTACCCGGAAAAACCCAGTCCATTTGATGCATTCAGCCGGTTTTAAGAAATCATTGATGCTCAATGTGTTTAACGTGTCTGTTTTAAGCATGCTTTGACTTCCTCTCGCTTGATCTTTTTGTCTCATTGTGTGTGTAGTTGATGCGTAAAGTGTTGGGGACTCACCTGGGTCACAGTGCCATATACACCATGTGCCGTATCATGGAGGAGAGGTACGGAGTGACTTATACGGATGTCCACACAAGTTGGTTTTTATGAATATTACAGTGAAAAACCATCAAAAAGCATTTTTTTCCTCCATTTTCTTTTAATACCACACATAACCACATTTTTTAGTAATTAAAAGAGTCTATATTTAAGAAATGATGTTCAGCTTTTTGTGACTATAATAAATGTAGGCTGTTGTATGTGCCAATTAATAATATGTGACTATTTTGAGTTTGACGGTTTGTTAATACAATAATTTCAGTTGTTTGATTACTTTTGTTTTTTTCGTTATCTGAATGTTTACTTGAATACTCGATATTAATATTAGACACCTGGAAAAATACTTAATTTTTATCTTATGATTTTCATCTATATTGCTTAGTTTTTTTTTAGGAGAGCTGTCAGTCCATGAATAGGAAAACAAAGTAACTTTAGTTACCTATTTGGAAAAAGTACATTTAAAAGTAATGCGTTACTTACAAGTTACTTGAAAAAAGTAATCTGATTACTTGTAATGCGTTACCGTAACACTGTTCTTGATACATATCATATTTTTATATTATTACGACTATTTGTAATACCTTATTTAGTATAAATCAATGAATGTGCTAAAAACTGTGATGTTGGCAGCACTGGTGATCTCAGTGTGTGTGTGTGTGTGTGTGTGTGTGTGGTGTAGGGTGTACTCGGAGGACGCCGCTCTCCTCAGGGGTGCAGTGTTTTTTGTTGGGATGGCGCTGTGGGGGGCTCACAGACTACCGGCCCTCAAAAACACCCCGACTCTGGTCCTGCCTTCCTTCTACAAGGTATCTATCTATTTGCCATCAGACTATCTATCTATCTATCTATCTATCTATCTATCTATCTATCTATCTATCTATCTATCTATCTATCTATCTATCTATCTATCTATCTATCTATCTATCTATCTATCTATCTATCTATCTATCTATCTATCTATCTGCCATCAGACTATCTATCTAATCTATCTATCTATCTATCTATCTATCTATCTATCTATCTATCTATCTATCTATCTATCTATCTATCTATCTATCTATCTATCTATCTATCTATCTATCTATCTATCTATCTGCCATCAGACTATCTATCTAATCTATCTATCTATCTATCTATCTATCTATCTATCTATCTATCTATCTATCTATCTATCTATCTATCTATCTATCTATCTATCTATCTATCTATCTATCTATCTATCTATCTATCTATTTGCCATCAGACTATCTATCTATCTATCTATCTATCTATCTATCTATCTATCTATCTATCTATCTATCTATCTATCTATTTGCCATCAGACTGACTATCTATCTATCTATCTATCTATCTATCTATCTATCTATCTATCTATCTATCTATCTATCTATCTATCTATCTATCTATCTATCTATCTATCTATCTATCTATCTATCTATCTGCCATCAGACTATCTATCTAATCTATCTATCTATCTATCTATCTATCTATCTATCTATCTATCTATCTATCTATCTATCTATCTATCTATCTATCTATCTATCTATCTATCTATCTATCTATCTATCTATCTATCTATTTGCCATCAGACTATCTATCTATCTATCTATCTATCTATCTATCTATCTATCTATCTATCTATCTATCTATCTATCTATCTATCTATCTATCTATCTATCTATCTATCTATCTATCTATCTATCTATTTGCCATCAGACTGACTATCTATCTATCTATCTATCTATCTATCTATCTATCTATCTATCTATCTATCTATCTATCTATCTATCTATCTATCTATCTATCTATCTATCTATCTATCTATCTATCTATCTATCTATCTATCTACCTATCTATTTGCCATCAGACTATCTATCTATCTATCTATCTATCTATCTATCTATCTATCTATCTATCTATCTATCTATCTATCTATCTATCTATCTATTTGCCATCAGACTATCTATCTATCTATCTATCTATCTATCTATCTATCTATCTATCTATCTATCTATCTATCTATCTATCTATCTACCTATCTATTTGCCATCAGACTATCTATCTATCTATCTATCTATCTATCTATCTATCTATCTATCTATCTATCTATCTATCTATCTATCTATCTATCTATCTATCTATCTATCTATCTATCTATCTATCTATCTCTTTGCCATCAGACTATCTATCTATCTATCTATCTATCTATCTATCTATCTATCTATCTATCTATCTATCTATCTATCTATCTATCTATCTATCTATCTATCTATCTATCTATCTCTTTGCCATCAGACTATCTATCTATCTATCTATCTATCTATCTATCTATCTATCTATCTATCTATCTATCTATCTATCTATCTATCTATCTATCTATCTATCTATCTATCTATCTATCTATTTGCCATCAGACTATCTATCTATCTATCTATCTATCTATCTATCTATCTATCTATCTATCTATCTATCTATCTATCTATCTATCTATCTATCTATCTATCTATCTATCTATCTATCTATCTATCTGTTTAAACCTACTACTGTTTGACCTCTGACCTTTGTGCCCAGGCCATGAGCTGCTCTAATGAGGTGGTGTCCTATGAGATCGTGCTGTCGATCACACGGCTCATCAAGAAGTACGGGCGAGAGCTGCAGGTGGTGACGTGGGACATCCTGCTGTCCGTTATAGAGAAACTCCTGCAGCAGATACAGGTACTCACACACACTTTTTTTTTTTTGTTCTGAAACACGGGTTAAAGTTATTGCAATGTTGCAATTTCTTCTTGGTTTTGGTTCGCTTTTACAAGGCAATAATTCTAGTCGAACCATAGTTTGGGAATAGTTTGAGCAGGAATCAAGGCTTCACTGGGACAACATTTGTATCATGAACATATTTCGGAAAAGAGCAATTAGGTGGCGTTTTAACCCTCTGATGCATGTAAAATGAACTAAAGGAGAAAACGCTCCAATTGAGTAATTTAGATGTCGGGTGTTTAATATCTCCTGTGTGCAGACGATGGGCAGTCCTGATCTGAAGGTGATCGTTTATGAGCTACTGAGCACCGTCGAGGAGCTGTACGAGCAGAACGACTTCCACGGGTCCTCGGAGAGATTCTTCAGCCTGGTGGAGAAGTGTTCTGACAAACGTCCCGTGAGTTCATCTATCTCTCTACCTCTCTCTCTCTATCTTGACCTCTCTCTACCTCTCTCTTTCTCCATCTGTCCTCTTCTGACGCCGTCTGGTTCGATTGACTGTCGGTGACTCTTCTCTGGCAGGACGCGTCCGTGTTGACGCTGATTTCCTACAGAGCTCAGTCCATCCAGCCGGCTAAAGACGGGTGGCTGCAGAACCTCCTGAAACTCATGGAGAAGTTCTTCAGGTCTGGAAACTTCAAGTCAACATTTATTTATTTATTTAGCGCTTTAGACAACACAGATCGTTTCAGAGCAGCTCCACAGGGAGTAAAACGAGAAAATTACAATGTCAATGTTGTAAAATTAATTTCAATTGAAGCTGTTCTAACGAATCCCCAATCTCTCTCTCGGTCAGGAACGAGAGCCGTACTATGATCAGGATCAAGGTTCTGCACATCCTGTCCTTCGTGCTCAGCACAAACCGTCAGCTCTATGAAGTCAGTCCTCATCCACACACACGGATCTCTCCATACGTTGGTGAGAGCCGCATTATTCTTGACCATCTGTTCTCTCTCTCTCGGACAGGAGGAGCTGATCGAGGTGGTGGTGATTCCTCAGCTGGGTCAGATCGCCGAGGATCGAGACCTGTCCGTCAGGAAGCAAGCCACGCAGCTGCTGGTGGACCTCGCCGAGGGCTGTAACACACATCACTTCAGCAGCCTGCTGGACATCATAGAGAAGGTGCTCGCTGATCATCATGATGACGTCACTAACGGAACTCCATGTGTTCCGTTTTTCTCCTGTTTGAAATTTAAATTTAAAAATTCCATTTTTTTAAATGTGTTCTATTCACGTCATTTAAACAAGCACGTCACAATTAATACGAGGTTATTTAATGTGATAATTCTCAATAATTTAATTAGATTTTTACTTATAATAATTATATAATTCATTCGTTTTCAATTACATTTAAATGTAGATTTATTATATATTTATTAAAGTTGCCTATTAAATTTAACATTAGTATAGATTTATGTAATTGTATTAATACATGTATATTACATTTAAATTAGTCGTTTAAAAAACGCATGTTTACTCGTGATCGACAGCTATTAACTGGAGCAAAATTATTCAGTCATATATTTTTTTAAAGCTAAGAAGTCCTCCTACCACACAATCACTATTAAGCGTTTATAAATTTTTTTCATTCATGTTTTGGAAATTTTATGTTGATTCTTTTTGTTATGTAGCATCTCAGAATTGGCACAGCAATATGTGGATGAAGCTCATCTCTCCTCTGCTCCTGTAGGTTGCCAGCCGTCCGTTATCATGCTCTGTGGAGGGAGAACGGGAGCTGTGTGTGGAGTCGCCCATGGAGGACGTCCGGACCGCCATACTGGGTCTGCTAGACATACTGCAGGTACAGCCACACCTCGCCGCTTTAACAGAGGGATCATGAATATTCTCCGTAACAGCTCCAGTGACTGTGTTTCTACGCTTCTCTAGAGTAAACTGTACAGTCTGCCCGCCAGTCACGCCAGTCGAGTGTTCGAGCTGCTGATTTCCCATCTGCAGCTTCACTATAAGAACAAATACTGCAGCGCTATCGGAAGCTCCATACGGCTAAAGGTCAGAGTTTGTAAAGCAGCACCACAGCTAATAACTGACATAGCTAATGACTAGCATAGCTAATAACTGACATAGCTAATGACTAACATAGCTAATAACTGACATAGCTAATAACTATCATAGCTAACAAATAAGATAGCTAATAACTATCATAGCTAATAACTAACATAGCTAATAACTGACATAGCTAATGACTAACATAGTTAATGGCTAACATAGCTAATAACTGACATAGCTAATGACTAGCATAGCTAATAACTGACATAGCTAATGACTAACATAGCTAATAACTGACATAGCTAATAACTAACATAGCTAATGACTAACATAGATAATAACTAAACTAACATAGCTAATTAAAGCTGCAAGCAGCATTTAGCGGGGTTCAAGCAGTTTAGGCCTTTAAGGCCTTTAAGCACAAAAGCATCAAAAGACATTAAGGTTTAAGTTTCAATAATGGCAATTTACCATAGGGAATACATTGTTTTTAACATCTTTAACAGTTATAGCGCCACCTATAGTCCGATCTCCATGAAACTTTGCATGCTTGTTGAATAAGTTATGACACATGTGCTCATCAATTTTTGTGAAGTTCTGACTTTTCCTTTAGGATTTATAGGCTTTTGGGTGCATTTTGTCATGCCCCCTTTTATAAATGACCCTGTTATAGCAAAACAAATGACAAAGTTCAACTTTTTTTTGATAATTATTGATTTAGAGAGTCCAAAGAATTATCCTAGACTGGTCTGGTTCCGATCGGGCAAAAAACCAGGGACTAGTTTGCAAAAGTACGTTTTTAACATATTCGTGAATATTTAACGAACAATTTGATTGACAGCAATGGTTCTTGAGGCAAAGTTGTTCAGCATGAGGAGATCTATCAATTGATATACATATTGTGGGGGGGTGTGCAACACCACGTGATAACAGAGCCATTAAACTCGTTAGCGCCAACTAGTGGCCGATTTCTTTCAAAATTCTTACAGACCTCTAGGGCCATGAGTCAAACATGCCCAATGAGTTTCGTTCCGATCGGCCTTCGTTAACCTTGTTTCATAGATGCTCAAACTTCATTGGCCGATGGCGGCCATGTTTTTTTAGATACGCCAATGTCCTCATAGATATACATGGGGCCTTGGTCCAAGACACTGCATACCAATTTTCAAGTCAATCGGACTAACGGTCATGTGGTCATAGCCCTTTTTATGTTTTTTTCATGTTATAGCGCCACCTAGTGTTCAATCGTCGCTATTTTTTTACTGTGACCTCAAATTGAACTCTTACAGATGTGTACCGAGTTTGGTGAAGATATCTCATTTACTTCTCGAGTTATAGCCATTTTAGTAAAATAGGCTCCTCCCACAACGTTTATTTTGCTTCCCCTAGCGACCGGAACGAGAAATTTCAACATTTTTTTGATAATTATTGATCTTCAGACTCCAGAGAACATTTCTGCACTGGTTTGGTTCCAATCGGGTAAAAAACCAGGGACTAGTTCGCAAAAGTAGTTTTTCGACAAAATTCAAAATGACGGAAAATCTATCATGACGGAAATGAAATCGGAGATATACATTTTTTTCATCAGGTGACCAGCTTTCCAATGATATAAGACACTTCAGTGTACGACTTACGGTCTAGGAGTTATGAGCAGTTTCGCGCAATTGGTCGCTATAGCGCCACCTATGGGCCAATCGGGGTCATAATTTGATAACCTCTCCTCGATTTTTGTACTACCATCTGACAAAGTTTCAGAGCTCCAGCACTTACGGTTTGGGCTGCACGATGCGTTTTAGGGGAGAATAATAATAATAATAATAATTAAAGCTGCAAGCAGCATTTAGCGGGGTTCAAGCAGTTTAGGCCTTGAAGGCCTTTAAGCACAAAAGCATCAAAAGACATTAAGTTTTAAGTTTCAATAATGGCAATTTACCATAGGGTATATATTGTTTTTAACATTTTTAACAATTATAGCGCCACCTATAGTCCGATCTCCATTAAACTTTGCATGCTTGTTGAATAAGCTATGACACATGTGCTCATCAATTTTTGTGAAGTTCTGACTTTTCCTTTAGGATTTATAGGCTTTTGGGTGCATTTTGTCATGTCCCCTTTTGTAAATGACCCTGTTATAGCAAAACAAAAGACAAAGTTCAACTTTATTTGATAATTATTGATCTAGAGAGTCCAGAGAATTATCCTAGACTGGTCTGGTTCCGATCGAGCAAAAAACCAGGGACTAGTTTGCAAAAGTAGGTTTTTAACATATTCGTGAATATTTAACGAACGATTTGATTGACAGCAATGGTTCTTGAGGCAAAGTTGTTCATCATGAGGAGATCTATCAATTGATATACATTTTGTGGGGGTGTGTGCAACACCACGTGATTACAGAGCAATAAAACTCGTTAGCGCCAACTAGTGGCCGATTTCTTTCAAAATTCTTACAGACCTCTAGGGCCATGAGTCGAACATTCCCAACGAGTTTCGTTCCGATCGGCCTTCGTTAACCTTGTTTCATAGATGCTCAAACTTCATTGGCCGATGGCGGCCATGTTTTTTGAGATACACCAATGTCCTCATACACATACATGGGGCCTTGGACCAAGACACTGCATACCAATTTTCAAGTGAATCGGACTGACGGTCAGGTGTTTATCTGTTTTTTTCATTTTATAGCGCCACCTAGTGTTCAATCGTCGCGATTTTTTTACTGTCACCTCAAATTGAACTCTTACACATGTGTACCGAGTTTGGTGAAGATATCTTATTTACTTCTCGAGCTATAGCCATTTTAGTAAAATAGGCTCCTCCAACAACGTTTATTTTGCTTCCCCTAGCGACCGGAACGAGAAATTTCAACATTTTTTTGATAATTATTGATCTTCAGACTCCAGAGAACATTTCTGCACTGGTTTGGTTCCGATCGGGCAAAAATCCAGGGACTAGTTTGCAAAAGTAGTTTTTCGACAAAATTCAAAATGGCGGAAAATCTATCATGGCGGAAATGAAATCGGAGATATACGTTTTTTTCGTCAGGTGACCAGCTTTCCAACGATATAAGACACTTGAGTGTACGACTTACGGTCTAGGAGTTATGAGCAGTTTCGCGCAATTGGTCGCTATAGCGCCACCTATGGGCCAATCGGGGTCATAATTTGATAACCTCTCCTCGATTTTTGTACTACCATCTGACAAAGTTTCAGAGCTCCAGCACTTACGGTTTGGGCTGCACGATGCGTTTTAGGGGAGAATAATAATAATAATAAAAATCAGTACAAAAACAATAGGGTTTCAGCACTTCGTGCTTGAACCCCTAATAATAATAATAATAAAAATCAGTACAAAAACAATAGGGTTTCAGCACTTCGTGCTTGAACCCCTAATAACTATCATAGCTAATAACTAACATTAGTTAATGACTAACATAGCTAATAACTGACATAGCTAATAACTGACATAGCTAATGACTAACATAGAATGACTATTTTAGCTAATGACTAACATAGCTAATAACTAGCATGGCTAATAACTGACATAGCTAATGACTAACATAGCTAATGACTAACATAGAATGACTATTTTAGCTAATGACTAACATAGTTAATGGCTAACATAGCTAATAACTGACATAGCTAATGACTAGCATAGCTAATAACTGACAAAGCTAATGACTAACATAGCTAATAACTGACATAGCTAATGACTAACATAGCTAATAACTGACATAGCTAATAACTAACATAGCTAATGACTAACATAGATAATAACTAAACTAACATAGCTAATAACTATCATAGCTAATAACTAACATTAGTTAATGACTAACATAGCTAATAACTGACATAGCTAATAACTGACATAGCTAATGACTAACATAGAATGACTATTTTAGCTAATGACTAACATAGCTAATAACTAGCATGGCTAATAACTGACATAGCTAATGACTAACATAGCTAATGACTGACATAGAATGACTATTTTAGCTAATGACTAACATAGTTAATGGCTAACATAGCTAATAACTGACATAGCTAATGACTAGCATAGCTAATAACTGACAAAGCTAATGACTAACATAGCTAATAACTGACATAGCTAATGACTAACATAGCTAATAACTGACATAGCTAATAACTAACATAGCTAATGACTAACATAGATAATAACTAAACTAACATAGCTAATAACTATAGCTAATAACTAACATTAGTTAATGACTAACATAGCTAATAACTGACATAGCTAATGACTGACATAGAATGACTATTTTAGCTAATGACTAACATAGCTAATAACTAGCATAGTTAATGGCTAACATAGCTAAAGACTAACATAGTTAACATAGCTAATGAACATAGCTAATGACTAGCATAGCTAATGACTAGCATAGCTAATAATAAGGTCAGACTTTTGACTTGAGTTAGTAAAGAATTACCATAGCTAACTAACATAGCTAATAACTAACAATTCATGGAAACACCTCGACTTCAGAAAAGGTTAAAGTGTAAAGTGTCTTCTCTTGTTGTTTCTGTGTCAGGTCTTTGATTTCTTATTGCTGATGAGGGCGGACTCTCTTCATCGCCTGGGCGTTCCCAATAAAGATGGAGTCCTGAGATTCAGCCCATATTGTCACTGTGACGTGGGGTAAGAACACAAACATGCCTGTTTGTTGCCGTTTTCTCACACACACTTATTAAAGAGGATATTTACCAGAGTTATTATTAATTTTAAATTAATATATTTATTTTAATTAATTAATTAATACATTTATGTAAATTAACTTAAAATGTATTATTAAATTCAATTACAATACAAATAAAATGTATTTATAGAATTAAATGAATTATAAACCATTAGGAGGGTATTTCGATTATTTAAGATTATATCATATTATTTTAGATTATATAGACAATATTCAAAGGTAATAATTAAAGTATAAATGCATTTTAACATATTTTTAAATCCAATTAAAATGATTTAAATTTAATTAATAATACATTTATTTAAATGTATTGGTAAAATTAAATTAAGTATAGAATATTAAGAGTGGTGCTTAGAGTAACTCAATTTAAATTATTTTTAATTATTATTATTATTATTATTATTATTATTAAATTAATTATACATTTATTTTACTTAATTGTTAAAATTAAAATGTTTCATTAAATGAAGTATACAAATGTATTATTAATTCATTATTTATTATTAAACTAAATTAAGGAGGATATTCAGGTTGACTAAATGTGAAAATTAACAATTATTTGTATATTTAAATTGTATTACAAGTTATTAATATAAATATAAAATATATGCATTTTTAAATGGTTAATTTTTTATTTATTTATTGATTTTAAATTACATAAAAAACGATTAAATCCAAATGAAGTATACATTTATTTAAATGTATAAATTATTAAGGAGCATATTCTAATATTATTCATTTTAAATAAAGTATTAACTTGTTTAAATTTATTATTAAAATTAAACTAAGTATAAATGATTAAGGGGGCATTCAGGTGGATCAAATCAAACATCTGATGATGATGATGATGATGATGATTTATTTGTCCTCGAGAGGAAATTGGTTTACCGTACATAATACAAACACACATTTATTACATAATAAGAGCATGAACATATAAACATCTACAAAAAAAATAACAACAAGAGAGCATACGTGACGTATCACAGGCCGATTTCCTGTACTTAGAGCTCATGTAGATACAGGAACACAACTCTTACTAAACTTGGCCTTCCTGCACATCGGTAACCCAGAAGGATAAAATACTTTTAACTCATTTTTTTTGTCTTTCGCAACGTGAATGTCGCGACACTATCCGATAAACTGGGGGTAGGGATACCAATAATTTTACTCTCTAAATGAGTCATCTTTAAGAATGTGTTTTTCAGTGAGTCGGAGAAGAGGGTGTCGGATAAGAAGCCGGCGGGAACGGTCTCTCCCCCGGCTGGGAGTCCAACACCAGCGGCTCCGCCCTCATCCATCCGCACCGCAAATCTGCCCTACAACCTGGCCTTCAACGTGCTGCTGCAGTGCCTGAAGATGGTACACACACACACACACACGCGTGCCAGAGATATTCCACCATAAAATACAGTTTTAATACTATTGCAACACATTTTTCGGGGTAAAAAGTAGCACTTGAATGTGAGTTGCACCTGGTCACATTATGTTAAACACACTACATACATGTATATCCATGCATATACCGTCATAAACAGCCCTTTGTAAGTGCCGATCTTGTGTAGGAGACTGACTGGAAGGTCCTGAAGCTGGTTCTGGATAAGATGTCGTGCACGATCCAGTATAAAGTGCTGATCTTGTCGTCTCCGTGCAGCATCGATCAGCTCTGCTCCACCCTATGCTCCATGGTACCGTACACACACTTACAAAACATAAACAGTGACTAGATGAGATGAACCTGATGGGAACTCGCTGATTTGAGAGTGTGTGTTTGTCTGCAGGTCACGGACCGGCTAATATCGGAGCGTTTAAAGAAGACTCCCGATGGATTCTCCCTCACGGATGTTCAGCTGGCTGTGGTTCCTGTCCTCACTGCCCTCACCTCCTACCACAGCTACCTAGAACAGTCCCGACAGGTGACACACACACACACAGTATATTATTACAGAAGTTTATAGTTTGGATATAAACACTGATCTCTGTATAACAATAAATATAGAGCAAATCACCTTTGTAAAGTAACTTGACGCATCTTAGCTTGCAACGTCAAGGTCACAGGTTCGATTCTCAGGGAAAGCAAGAGCTGATAAGAATGTAAATGTGTACCTTGGCATTTCTTTGGATAAAAGCATCTGCCAAATGCATAAATGTAAATACCAATTGTATCAATTACATCATTACGCCAGTAGGTGGCGACAAGTGACTTAAAAAGTGTATTCAATCATTAATTCAAGAGATTTATTCAAAAACGCTGAAACAAATTAACTACTTCATGCATTCAACCCCGAATAATTATTTTATTTGAAATAGATTGCAGCAATTAATATTTTGTCAGGACCTCCAGTAATTCACATGTTGTCTGAGAATCGTGATCTTTGTTTGAAACATTAAATTGTGATTCTCGGTTGATTTAGAGTCGTGCAGCTTTACCACACAGCCTATTGGTTTTATAAATAGCTAATAATCAGAGTTTCAAACCAGTTTTTGTCATTAACAAAAACGAAAACTACTAAAAATTTGGGCTGTAAAACGATTAATCACGATTAAACGCATCCAAAATAAAAGTTTGTGTTTCCATAATATATGTGGGTGCATTGTGTATAATTATTTTATATATAAATACACACACATGCTTGCATATATTTAAGAAATATTTTCGTGTATATACTGTATATAGATTTATATATAATTATTTTATATATAAATATAGATATTTTATATATAAATAGTATTTTTTTCTTAAATATACATGCATTTGTGTGCACCCACATATATTATGGAAACACAAACTTTTATTTTGGAATGCGATTAATCGTGATTAATCGTTTGACAGCCCTACTAAAAACATTAATGTTAGTTGAAATAAAATAAATTTGAATAAGGTAATTGATATTTCAGGTTATCACCAAGGCAACATTTCTAAATTTTGTTTAGTTGAAGTACTAAAAGTGAAAATAACAAAAAACTGAAACCAATAAATTCCATACAACTTTTTATCATCATATTTTTTATATTAAACTGAGAATAAAAACAAATGGAGGTCCAAACCTGGAAAAAAATAAGAGATAAATAAATAAATAAATAAATGTATTAATTGGAAAATTAATAATTAAATAAATGACTATTATTCTATTTATTTATTCCAAAAATATATATATATTTGTGATACTATAGTAAAATAAAGCATTACTTGCTGTATTTATGAGTCATTTTTAATATTGAGAAGGTTTAGTCAGATCTAGGAATTTTAAAGTGAAATCCAAACGTAATATTTTTTTTGTGTTAGTACATTTCAATTAAATATAAATTTATTCACATTTATTATGACATACAAGTGTATTATTCAGTTCTGAGTTGAGAGCAGGCAGTCATCTGAGCGAATGATCCAGTCACATGACTCATGTTGGATTTGCTTTGTTAGAGGTGTTCTCCATATATGTGTGTGTGTGTTTCAGAGGGAGCTGGTCCAGTGTTTGGAGAAAGGCCTGATTTACCGCTGCGCTAAGCAGTGTGTGGTGGCTCTGACCATGTGCACCGTGGAGATGCCTGACATCATGATCAAACTCCTGCCCGCCCTCATCGTCAAGCTCACACACATCTCTGCCACCGTGGCCATGGCGTCTCCCATGCTGGAGTTCCTGTCCAGTGAGCCCTCGCCTTTCTTTCTAAATCCCGCCCGTTCTCACCCGCTGACCAATCAGAATAAAGCACAGTTTGTCTTTTTCGTCTGCAGCATTGGTGCGGCTCCCGCGTCTCTATGCTAACTTCGTAGCTGAGCAGTACGTTAGCGTGTTTGCTATATCCCTGCCGTACACCAACCCTTCAAAGTGAGTATCGTCACACACAGACGTTACAAATAATGTTACAAACACAAATAACTTTCTGTTCATCAAAGAATCCTGAATTAAAGTGAATTAAACTGTTTGTTTAAAACTGATAATAATCATAAATGTTTATCATCATATTAGAGTGATTTCTGAAGGGACTGGAGTAATGACGCTGGAAACTCAGCTTTGATCTCAGGAATAAATTACATAGTAACATAGATTTTAAAATATAATAATATTTCACAATATTACTGTTTTTACTGTATTTTCAATCAAATAAATTCCGCCTCTGTGAGCTTTTTTTGTCTATTTTAACCCTCTGGGGTTGTTCGTTTCAGAGTCACACTCGGGGTGTTCGGGTCCAAATGGACCCAAAGGGCGGGATTCATATTTAAAAAAAAAAAAAAAAAAAATCATGATTTATTTTTTTTAACTCGTTTTTTATAATATTTTTTTTTCTTTTTTTGGTGTTTTGAGAAAATTTCAAAAATAAAAAAAATTATAATTGGTATTAATGCAATAATTATGACAAAATTTCCCCCCATTGAACATAATAGAAAAAATATTTTAAAATATATTTTTTAATTTTTTTAAAAGCTGTATTTCATTTTAGAGTCAAGCCTAGGCCTCATAAAAGCAATTTTTGAAATGAGATGGATGCCATCTGGTGGACAAATATGTCACATGTATAATCTGAATTTTTTGGTGTGTTTGTGTATAAAAGTGTGTTTGTGTGTGTCTGGATGTGTCTGTTTTGCACTCTTGATGTTTTATAGATTCACCCCTTCACTGTTGTGTGCTTTTTTTCAAGATCGTGGCTGATTTGTAGATTGTACGCACAAAAAAAAAATCAGTATTTTCACATTTTTGCCAATTTCCCATTAATTTTCCATGCGGGTCCATTTGGACCCGAACACCCCAAGTGTGACTATTTTTTTTTACTATTCACATCCTGTCCCCAATTTTTTTGGGTGTTCAACCAAATACCAACAAAGTCACCAAATTTCGGACCATTCCGAGGAAGCTGTGATTTTTAAAACATTTTTATTTAAATTCTTCGGGTCCATTTGGGCCGAACAACCCCAAAGGGTAAAGGGCAAATTGGTTTTAAATGACATATATTTGTGTTTTTCTTCCATCCTCTGTAGGTTTAATCAGTACATCGTGTCTCTGGCGCATCATGTGATCGCCATGTGGTTCATCCGCTGCAGGCTGCCGTTCAGGAAAGACTTTGTGCAGTACATCACCAAGGTGTGTGGCGGGACTCGTGCGTTCCCAGTTTCAGACTCATCGGTTTGTGTTGACTCGTTGTTTTTGTGTCGTCAGGGTCTCCGTTCGAACGCTCTTCTGCCGTTCGACGACACACACGAGCAGAGCAGCTTCAGAGCGCGCAGCACCAGCCTGAACGAGAGACCCAAGAGGTACACACACGCACACACACACACTCTCACGATCATGTCAGGTTTCGCCGGTGGACTCAGTCATTCAGGCGCCTCATTGGTTCATTTTTTGATGGTAGTGCCGTTGGCTTTGTGTCCGATTACGTCACATGCGACTCCCGGATGCCAGTCTGACTCGTCTCTTTCTCTCTGTCTGTTCTTATCAGTTTCCTTTCTTTCTCTCTGTTTCTCTCTTTCTCTCATCATCTGCCGAAGCGGTGACTATCACATTAAAACCATTAACGCATTCATTTATGAGTGTTTCTTCAACTGCGGACGTTTAATGTCTCAGGGACTGATTTTTATCCAGACTAATAGATTTTGACTTCTGAATATTTGTTACTTGAAGGTCACATTAAAACTGATCTGGAGTTGTTGTTTTTTTTTAGCAATGCTTTTTAGTTTTGATACTATTCATGCCCTTTTAGTTTTGATGCCTTTTATGCAATTCAATCTTAAAATAAAAAATTATTAAACTAATCTAAGGAAAGACATATATGTATAAAAAAAAATATATGAAAAAATAAAAAATACCTTAAATAATAATTAACATTTATATATATATATATATATATATAAATGTTAATTGTTATTTAAGGTATTATATTTTATATATATATATATATATATGTGTAAATTTTAATTATTATTTAAGGTTTTTTTATTTTTTCATTTAAATACACTAAATTTTGATGTAAGGCTGCATAAAATGCTGTCTATGATTTTGGTCATTTTATTCCCCAAAAATATAAATCTTCATAAAAGAAATGTGTTTATACAGTGTTGGGTGTTGCTAGTAGATTCATTAATTTAGTAAGTTTAAAAAGTTTGTGTTAATAGAGTTTAATTTCTAAAAGGACTTAAAATGGCCATAGTCGAAGAAAGACCTGAGTATAAAGTACACACGGCTCTAAATCTTGTGTTGATGTGTAATGAGCCATCCTGTAATACTCTGGTCTGAATAACTAGTCACATGATGTCTAAGAAAGGGACCCGTAAACTACAGGCTAACCGTAACGTGTGGATTTGAACTCGATCCTATTTATATTATTTTTGCATTAAGCAGACTCTTTTCTACTTCATTCATTCTGTGTCTCCCCCTTTCTTCATTTAAAAACCGAAAGTATCTCATAAACCATTTTAATTTGACAGGAAATTTCCATGGTTATGACTTAATAAACCATTGTATCCAGACTTATCACTAACAAAGTCCATGATCAACTATTTCCAGAGCCACAAAACCATCTAATCTCACTGTCATGACAAATTCCAGGTTCATTTTCAGTGTTTTTATTGTTTTCCTGTGTCTTGTCCTGACGCTGAAGCTGGAACTTTGAATTACAAGCCTCAAAAAGAGAAAGATCAACCAATGCGTTTACATGCACACAAATATTGAGATATGAATGAGAACTTGATCATATTCTGATTATGTAGGATTCATTAAAACGCAATAACCTGATTGTCAAATTAAGACCGAATTATAGTCTCTTAATACATTTCTGTGAATATTATAATACTTATTCTTGTATTAATCAGACTTTTGGGTCATGTAAGACTGAACATTTGTTTATATATGTACATGTTCACACAAAGGTAATTCTGGGTATTCAAAGGTAATTCAAAGGTAATTTTTGAGTGACGAGGAGATTTTTTTTATTTTTGTTTATTACTTGCATTTTCAAACATCATAACCATAATAACATGAATAGTCGATACATGTGCTGCACATAATTAATTTAATGCAGTGTAGTATGTTGATAAAAAACTTGTGGGATTGGGCAAACAATTACATTTATAAAAAAAGGCAAATTAAATAAATAACTTTCAAATAAATCATAAAACACTTACTAAAAATATTATTTATTTTATTATTGCACTGTAAAAATGAATATGCTTTATCTAATCAATAAAATTGTGGCAACAGATTACAAGCAATATTATTTATTAAATTGAACAAATTAGAATTGAGTAATAGTTAATTAAATTAACATTCTAATTAATTCTAATTTGTACAATTTAATTAATAATATTGCATTTATAAAAAATAAATTAATTATGTTGCCACAATTTTATTGATTAGATAAAGCATATTATTTTTTTTTAGTGTGGGCTGTCAAGCATCCAAAATAAAAGTTTGTGTTTACATAATATATGTGTGTGTAGTGTGTATAACTATTTTGTATATATATATATAAATACATACACATGTATGTATATTTAAGAAAAAAAAATTATTTATATATAAAATACTTATATATATAATATAAATCATATTTAAATCTATATACAGTATACACATGAAAATATTTCTTAAATATACATGCATGTGTGTGGATTTATATATCTAAAATAATTACACGCAGTGCACCCACATATATTATTTAAACACAAACTTTTATTTTGGATGCGATTAATCGCGATTAATCATTTGACAGCCCTATTTTATTCGTGAAAATTAAATGTGAAAATGCATATGCGACGTTAAATTATTGATGTAAACATTAAGGCTTCACCAGAAAATCAACCTTAATCTGAAAATATGCATGTAAATGTATTTCAAAAATATATTTTCAATGCCAGGCATCACATTCTCCATTCCAGCTTCTAGTTTAACTTCATCCCGTCATTCATCTGTGTGTTTATTTGCTGTATTAATTCACATACACATGATCACATCACTGTTTTCCTATTGCTATTAATTTCCAGTATAATGATCATTGCAGTGTCTTGAGTGCTTTTTTTCTTCCCCTGTACCAGTATGTTTGTGCTCTCTGATGAGTGTATTCTTTGTTTTCTCCAACTCTTTCATTTTTTTGGTAGAATGCTGAGAGTATATTGCTTACTTTATGCCTTGTCATGTGACTGTTGATCTTTTATATGCTGTCTCTCCTTCCAGTTTTCAGTTTCCTCCTCTGTTATTGTTTCGTTTTTTAAATGTCGTCCCTGTTTTCCGGTTCTCAGTGTGCACTGCTGACCAAGTTACCTTTTGTTTTCCTTTCACTTCCTTATTTGACCCCTCCCCCCCTCCTCTGATTGGGTGTGGTTTGGGGGGGTGCCGACACTTCGGATCCGTCACCTGTGATTGGTCGCTGGCCCCTTTCGTGACACTCCACAACCAATCGCACTCCCCCATCCACCCATGCCGACGTGGTTAAAATATTCCCCAAATTCCCCCCAACTCTCCCTGGTCACGACCTTACCCTGACGCACGCCCTCGGGGCAGTTTGCGGACGACCAAAGTGGCGAAGCAAGGCCCCAGCGCAAACTCTCCCGTTAAAGACCTGAAAGATCTGTCGGCCATGGACGCCTTCCGCTCCCGAAGCATCAGTGTGTCCGAACATGCGGTGCGCAGGTAGACCATTTTTGGTAACATCAGCAACCGATTTATATCCCTACTTTTCCTTTTCTGTATGCAGGGACGGTGGGCGGGGCTTGGGCATTGGGGGCGGGCGATGCGGGCTGGGCGTGGAGATCTGGTTTGGGCTAATTCTGATTGGGCAGGAAAGGGTGCATGCTGGAGGGGGGGGTTTGTCTTTTTCTTTCGTGTCATTGGTGGAAATGTTGACCGCATGCGCTGAGCCTGGCCACTGACTTGCGTGCACCCGTTTTGATTTGAACCTAACCCCGTTTTGTATTTGCTTTTACCGTGCTTTATTGTGCTGTTTGTGATGGTGTTCATTCGAATGTTGTTGTTTTTTTTTTAACCATGAACAAATGGTGGTATTACGGAGGCCCTAAAGGGATATGATGATGAGAAGAAAAAAATGAGATGGGAGGAAAAGTGATATTTCAATGCTTTTGCTATATTTCGCGAAAAATTTTTTGTTCGGACGAGAAGCTTTGCGTTTACTCTCCAAATTTTGTATTCTCTCACAAAATATTTACGTTCCCTCACAAAAAAGTTTTACGTTCTCTTGCAAAACTGTGCGTTGCATTGCAGAAACTTTGCGTTCAGTCTCAAAACTTTTACGTTCTCTCGCAAAACTTTGCGTTTCTTTGCAGAAACATTGCGTTCAATCTCAAAACTTTTACGTTCTCTCGCAAAACTTTGCAGAAACTTTGCGTTCAATCTCAAACCTTTTACGTTCTAGCGCAAAACTTTTTTATTCGGCCGAGAAGCTTTGCGTTTACTCTCCAAACTTTGTATTCCCTCACAAAATATTTACGTTCCCTCACAAAAAACTTTTACGTTCTCTTGCAAAACTTTGCAGAAACTTTGCGTTCAATCTCAAAACTTTTACGTTCTCTCGCAAAACTTTGCGTTTCTTTGCAGAAACTTTGCGAGCAATCTCAAACCTTTTACGTTCTAGCGCAAAACTTTTTTATTCAGCTGAGAAACTTTGCGTTCAATCTCCAAACTTTTACGTTCTAGCGCAAAACTTTTTTAATCGGCCGAGAAGCTTTGCGTTTACTCTCCAAACTTTGTATTTTCTCACAAAATATTTACGTTCCCTCACAAAAAAGTTTTATGTTTTCTCGCGAAACTTTGCGTTCAATCTCAAAATGTTTACGTTCTCTCGGAAAACTTTGCGTTTCTTTGCAGAAACTTTGCGTTCAATCTCAAAACTTTTACGTTCTAGCGCAAAACTTTTTTAATCGGCCGAGAAGCTTTGCGTTTACTCTCCAAACTTTGTATTTTCTCACAAAATATTTACGTTCCCTCACAAAAAAGTTTTATGTTTTCTCGCGAAACTTTGCGTTCAATCTCAAAATGTTTACGTTCTAGCGCAAAGCTTTTTTGTTCGCCCGAGAAGCTTCGCGTTTACTCTCAAAACTGTCGTTTTCCATCAATAATATTCTCTCGCAAACTTTTTCTTTCCCCTCAGAAACTTTGCGTTCAATCGCAAAACTTTATTTTTTTTACGCAGAAATTTTACGTTTACTCAAAACTTTTACGTTCTCTTGCAAAACTTTTGTGTTCCCTTGACAAACTTTGGTATTCACTCACAAAGCATTAACCTCACAAAAACTTTTACGTTCATACGCAAAACTTTGCGCTTTGTTGGTTGCGTTTTGCATTCCCTTGAGAAACTTGGCGTTTGCTCACAAAACATTTGTGTTCCCACAAGAAAAGTTGCATTCACTCACAAGTAGTTTGTGATGAAAATAATACGAGGTGAGAGGAAAATCTACGTATATTTCAGCTCTTGCAAAAAAGTTGTACGTTCTCTCGCAAAACTTTGCGTTCAGTCGCAAAACTTTTACGCTCTAGTGCAAAACTTTTGTGTTTGCCCGAGATGCTTTGCGTTTACTCTCAAAACTTTTACGCTCTCTTGCAAATCTTTTACGTTTACTCGCAAAACTTTAGTATCCCCCTGACAAACTTTGGTATTCACTCACAAAGCTTTAACCTCACTTTTAAACTTTTACGTTCTCTCGCACAACTTAGTGCTTTGTGGTTGCGTTTTGCGTCCCCTTGAGAACTTTTTTTTTCTCGTTGTTTTTGCTCGCAAAAACTTTTGTGTTCCACCAAGAAAAGTTGTATTCTGTCGCAAATAATTTGTTCCCTCTCAAAAAAGTTGTACGTTCTCTCGCAAAACTTTGCGTTTCTTTGCAGAAACTTTGCGTTCAATCGGAAATCTTTTTCATTCTAGTGCAAAACTTTTCCGTTTCCCTGAGAAACTCAAAAAATGTACTTTCTCGTAACTCAAAACTTTTGCGTTCGAACGAGATGCTTCGCGTTTAATGTTACGCTCTCTAGCAAAACCTTTGCGTTCCACTGAGAAAATTTGCATTAATTCGCAAAACGTTTGTGACGGAAATAATAGTTGAGAGGAAAAACTCTTTTGCCAGTGAACGCAGTTTTTCGGGAAACACAGTGTTTCTGTGAGACAATACAAAAGTTTTGCGAGCAAGCGCACAAGCATTGAAATGTAGCATTTCTTCCCAACTGTTTATTTCCCCTTCTCCATGTCCCTTCAAGGGCTCCATACTGTACACAGGAAGCATGTGATATTGAAAAAGCGTAAGTAGACAGACAGTCACACAATCTAGCGTCCAGCTTTTCTGTCTTTGCCGTTTCTTGAGCGAAATGAACAGCAGAAATTCAGCTCCCAAACACTAGGGGGCGCACTCAACTTTCACAGCCTGCCGCCTGTTTTAACCTTCACTTACTCACATCATATTATTCACACTCTCTTTACACACGATCCAGGTAAGTATCCATCCATGCTTCATCAAAGTGGATTTTGAACCATGAACATAGAGCAAAAAACGCTGCAAACACACTGAAAATGCTACACTGACGCCCTGTTTTTACCCAATTTAACAAGTATGGAAATTCTGAAATGTCATTCCAAACCCATATGAATCATATCTGTGGTCTTTCCACTACACACTGGTCATAATCAGCCTCATTTTCATTCGCACACATTTAAATATGAAGTGCTCCTGCTACTCAATAACTCATAACCAGCAGAGGGCAGCGTAGCATCAGACGAGAGACTCGCAGTAACGTCTGTTTTATTAACCCAGTGCATCTAATTACCATTAAATCTATTAATTAGTTCAGTGTCTACAAGTTAAAGGATGTTTAGAGAATAGAAAGTCCTTTATTATAGCAAGCACAGGGATTTCATACGGCATATTTGTTTTATTATCTAGATTACCCTGTCATTGCTTTCCTAAGTATTTCTGTGCCAAGGGGTTTTGTGTTTGGACCGTTCCAAGGTTGCTCTTTATGATTTAATGACATTTTTGGCAAGCTAATTATTCTTGGATGGATTTAAATCGCAAGCCTGAGTTGAAAGTCAACATGAAGAAACTGTACCGCTTTGGTTTTGTCGCATAAATCAACTGGGAAATGAAACTTTTTCTGTGTTTCCCCTCTAAATGAATCAAATATTAATTGCTCACTAGATATCTAGTGAAGAAATGAATATACTCTGAACGCATTTATATTCAGCGGCTTAATGCATCTTATTATCATCATCTAGTCAACACTCATCAACAATCATCCGCTAATGGAGGGGCTTGATGAACAGTGCAATGTTTTCAGTGTGTGACACAGCCGAGAAAAGATGTTTATGTTGGAATTTGATTCACTTGGATCATGATACCAAAGGAAGGGTTTGATATTATGATCAGCTGTACTGGACGCCCACGATTCAGAGACTTGATGGAGGTTTCATGAATCTTATCTTGGTTTTATTTGGGTTTTTCTAATCTGGGATGTGCAAACAGATATGCTGAGGACATTAAAGCATTGTAGTTCAACTCTGAGATGAGGCGTCCACTTCAGCTGGACACAAACTGGGACAAACTCTCTCTCTCTCTCTCTTTCACTCTCGCTCTGTCTGTGTGTGTGTGTGTGTGGGACCTGATTGCACAGACTCATTGGACTCGTGTCACTTAAATTGAGGTCTCCATGGGTTAACACGCTTATAAATCATACAGAATTATTATTTTTTTAAATGTATAAATGCAAAATGTGTCCTGTTATGGGTAGGGTTAGTGTCAGGGGGTAAAATGTACTGTATAAAAACCATTACGTCTATGGAGAGTCATCACAAAGATGATAAACCAGACTGTGTGTGTGTGTGTTGGATGGACGCTCCAGTGATTTGCTATGGTGTGCTACACCAGAAGGTTGTTGGATCGATCCCGGTGAGGAAAAAGTCAATTGTGTCCTTGAGCAAAAGCACCGAAGGAATGCTCTCGATTCAGCGTAATCTTTTATCTACAGCATCGAGTCAATTACTACGGAAAATAGCGTTGACCCTTCCATCAGGTTGAGTTTGTTTACATAAACACATTTATAATGGGAGTAAAGGGCTTAAATGCTTGATTTCTTTTGTTTCTGCACAAAAATTGTTGCTATTTAAGCTGAAAACGTATTGGTGTTAGTATTGTTTAGTGGTTTTATGACAAGGAAAGCAAGTGATTTCAGCACACTGATCTCATTTTAAAATAAATATTACGTTTTTAGTACCTTAAATGTATTACTTTTCCCCGTTTACTTCTATTTTATGTGCATTATTATAACCGTGAAAAGCTGATTTTAAGTCTTCGTCCTTCATGAAATTAGTTCAATTGACTAAAAATGTGCATTTAATTAGCTGGAAATTACCTTTAAAAATGTGCATTTAAGTTTGATGCATAATTATGTATTCATTTATTTTAGAAAATTATTTGAAATATTTATATACACACACACACACACACGCATAAATAAGAATATTTTACACTTAAAATAATTAACATATGTGTATATATAATTTATTTAAGAATCAGATATAATTATTATTTACTAACTTTAATAATATGAAATAATAAAAATTATATATATAAATTTATATATATATATGTGTGTGTGTGTGTATAGTAAATACAAATATTTTATATGTAAAATAATTAATGTTATTGACTATATCAAAATATAATTAGTACCTACTTTATAATCAAATAAAAAATGTGTATGTATATTTTGCTATATTAAAATATAATTATTTACGTTTTATAATGAATTAAAGACAATTTATTAAAGACAACGTAAACTTAATTATTTTAGAGGATTATTTCAATATATATTATATATAAATATACACACACACACACGAGAGTAAATAAAGTAAATAGTACGTAATAAGTAAAATAAGTAGATAAAAATATTTAATACTTAAAATAATTAAAATGTGTAAATTTAATTTACATCCTATTAAGATATAATTATTATTTACTGATAAAATAATTAAATATATATTTATAAATAAGTAAATACAAATATTTTATAATTAAAATAATTAATGTTATTAACGATTAAAATATAGTTATTACTTTATAATTTAATAAAGTGGATGTATATTTTACTTTATATTAAAATATTTTTTATAGTCTAATAAAGACAATTTATCAAAGACAAAATAAATAACAAATATGAATATTTGAATATGCAATTTTTGAAATAAATATTTAGTATATTTTTATTGCTGTCTTTATTGAATAGGGTAGTGTAGAGGAGACATTTCTTTGCACACCAGAGATGATCTGCGTCACAACCTTATCCGTGGGAAATATTGACCTTCAAGTCCAGGTTGCTGAAGGTGAAGTATAGTTATAGTTTTTATTTTGATAGTTTGATAGTTTATAAAAGTTTGACATCAGATGACGCAGGTCACACTGAAACTCCTTTATTATGTCGAGTGCGCTTGACGCCCACATGGACTCGTTTCCTTTGTTCCCTATTGAGATACAATGAAAATGGCCTTAAGTTGATTACATGCGTAGACTTGTGCATGTGTGTGTTTTGTCATTGTCATCCTGACTCAGGCTTGTTGTGAAGGTGTTGCTATCGGAGGCGGTTCTGGATGGTTTTGTGCAGTTGCTAAGGACATCTCTAGTTGGTTCATCACTCACACACTCATTAGAGTGGATCTAATACGGGAGGAAAACGTCGTCACTTCCACGTCTCCTTAGCCAGATGTCTGGAGCTTAGGGTCTGTTGGTGATAAATGGCTGCTGTTTACTCCTCGCCAGTATTGTTACACACACACACACATCAAATTTGTGATTTCTGGATGAGGAGTTCACCTGTTCCTGATGTAAATGTCAAAAGTGTGTCGTGTGTGTCGTCTTGCATGGAGATGATGTGGACTCTGTTGATTTCCCCTGGGATGCGGTTGCCGTGGTTACAGAAAGGCAGGATGCTGATGGCGGTCTCAGATTAATGTGATCATCTAGATAATCACACAAGTGTGTGTGTGTGTGTGTGTGTGTGTGTGGCAGCTGAACGTGTCTGGTGTGGTTTCGTCTTGTTATGCCCTCTCTCTCTCTTGCTCAAAGTTTGTCCCTGTTACAGACCTAGTTTTGTGTCACTTTAGAGAGAAGTAGAAAGGACGTCAACTAAACAAAATGATAAAAGGAATCGTTCACCCAAAAATTAAGATTATTTAAAAAAAAAAAACACACACAACACGATTAGTCAATGCACAACGGTGTAAAGCACAAATGAGATTTACAGTGAATAATTACTGAAATTTGGATCTGTTCCTTGCAAAAAAAAATTCATAAATATCTTCTAAAGACTTTGAATGTAGTGCACGAGTCATATGGGCCACTTTTAGGAAACTTTAAATGTTTTACGACAGTTTTGAAGCTAGTCAAGTGGTTTTAGAATGACATGCGAGTGAAAGTGTTATTTTAGTATTATTTATATACTATTTTAGTATTAATATTCTGAATGAACTTTTATTTTAAGTTTAAATAAAGTTTTAGTAATTATGTTCGATGTGATGAATCAATTTGACCGCACAAATTTCTATACAAATCTATTTTTATATCAGTTTTTAGAATCATTTTATTTTCGTTAGTTGCCAAGGCAACATTTCTAATTGAAATTTAATTGGTTCACCTACATGGTTTCAATTAACGATTGAAATAAAATGACTCTTATTATTCTCCGGGTTAGATAACACTGGCGAGTGAGTCCTTTTTTTTTTTTTTTTTTGGGTGAGCTGTTCCTTTAAGCAAAGATGAACAAACATAATATGTTTAATTTGATTCATGGAGTGTGAGTCTGTGTGGAGTTTTAACTGCATGTGTGTGTGTTTTCAGTGGGTCACTCCAGCTTCAATCATCATCTGAATCTGACTCTCTGGCTTCACACGGTGTCCTAAACAGCCGTGACTCCATGGCAAGCAAAAAAAGACAGTGTAGCTCCGCCCACACTGTGATGTCATAATCGGAATCAAGTGAATCGGAACTGGAATCAGTTATTAGTTGAACATTCCGTTGGCATCATGTCTGGTTAGGACACTGTGAAGCAATGACTCCTCAAGTACCAGTTTGTGAATCTGACCTCTGACCTTATGCGTGTGTGTGACCCCTGACCCCCGTCCTGTGCAGGATGCAGACGTCCACCACCACCTGCAGCCTGGGCTCGGCCGACGAGAACGCGGTGATGCAGGCAGACGACGCGCTGAAGACGGTCCACCTGGAGCTGACCGAGACCTGCCTGGACATGATGGCCCGATACGTCTTCTCCAACTTCTCTGCGCTGCCCAAGAGGTGCCCAGCTGGACTTCACAATCACAGCACTAGTTTAATCACATTTAATTCAATTAATCACGATTCAATGCGTCAATATTTGCAGTTGAATATCAGTGTTTGATGAGAAACACCATTGAGTGAAGTGAAGATAATTAAATGTGTTACATTCTCATGTTAGATAATTGCGTTGAGCATTTTAATTAATATTTTTAATGCGTGTATATTTTATATTATATTAATTATATTATTTAAAAAAACATAATAATAATATATAGTAATAAAAAATGCACTAAATTAACACATCAATTTTTATCAGGTTTAAAAAAAGGATAAAATATTAATTAATTAATTATAATAATTTCCCTAATTAATTTCCTATTTCCCTAAACTGAAACTGATTAACTGTTAATTTTTTTTTAGCATTTATTTAAGTTTAATATTTTTCAAATGTAATGCATAATAATAATAATTAATTAATTATAATAATTTCCCTAATTAATTTCCTATTTCCCTAAACTGAAACTGATTAACTGTTAATTTTCTAGCATTTATTTAAATTCAATATTTTTCAAACGTAATGGATGATAATAGAAATAATAATAGCATTAATAACAATTGCTCAACTTTACACCGACACATTTATTAGTTATTCATTTGTATTGTTTAAATTGTATAAAATAAAATAAAACTACCTTAAAGTGGTTGGTAAATATTAAGTGGTAAACTTAAATAACGAAGTATTGTGAACATTTGTTTAAAATATATTTTAAAAAATATTAAAAACAACTGAATCAATAACATTTTAATTTCTAGAAGTCAGTATTCGTGTTTGAATGTTTGAATCTCACTGGCCAATAAAGTATAATCTTTTATCTCGCGCATCAATGCACTAAAAGCTCTTTTACCGTCGGATTTTAAACGAAAGGAATTGTTTTCAAAGTGAGTTACAAATGAATGAAATTACAAAGTGTCAGCTAATTGAACGAATGCATTGAAGATGCACGCGGAGCTGCTGCTGATTCGGCTTTTCTTCTTTTCTTTAGGTTAGTTTACACACTTTTAGGCAGAGCTGTAATTGCTTGACCTTCATCCTTTTGTTTGCTTTCTAATCTTCAAATAATATTAGTTTTTCACCTGTGCCGAAGCAGACCGGCTGAACGCGCCCTTGATCCACCTTTTGTTCCAGAGCAAACTTATTTCTCAGTCAGTCTTGCAATAGTTGTTTTGGTCTCTATGTGAATATTCAAATGAACCGATATCCTCATTCGGCCGATTGTTGGGGAAAGTGTAGATCTACTTTTAGTGTGAGAACAGAAAAC